AGTCATTCAGAGCAAACGGCAGAGAGGGTTTCATTCACACACACACACACACACACACACACACACACACACACACACACACACACACACACACACAGAATAATAAGACGTTTTTATGGTCTTTGTTCGTGCACTTTATTCTGTGTTCCTTATTTATTAACCTGGTTAGCTCTCAGTGTTCTCCGTCTGTTTGACTTACATTTATCAGATCTTGAGTAAACTTAGACGTTGACTTTTTTCTCACTTTATTCTGTTATTATGAAGTTTTTCATATCTTCAGTTTGTAAAACCTTGGACTTAATCTGATGTTTAACTTTGCTTGACTTTGATATTTTGCTGATCATTTCTGGTCAGATTCCTTCTGTTGTGTTTCCAGCCTCTGACTCGGTGCTCCCTCTTGTGGCTGACAGCTGAACTTGTAAATTAAAGTGAAAACTTTCAAAGATTTAGAGGGTGATATGTTGGTTCATGAATTTGCAGAAACTGAGGTACTGCTTGCATCAAAGATCAGTTTGTCTTTTAAGTTTGTCCCGTACTTGGGTTAAAACTCCTCTCTAATGGTGCACATAGTTGAAAACCCCCTTGCCAGGCTCAAAAACTCATGAAATCGAGCAGGCTGTTGGACCTGGCTAAAACTCACGTATTTTACCCTGCTAGTGCACCCTACAGTTTTCATGCTCAGGGAGTTTCCTGTGTAACTTCCTGTACACTGGTTCCAGCTCCACCAGCTTTTAGTCATTTGACAGCGGTCCAGCACCGGACAATTTCACACCAAACCTTACTATGACATTTTGTTGGACTATACTATGATATTTTTATCATACTGAACTATAATTTTTTTCATCATACTATACTATGACTTTTTTTTATAGTAAAATTATAAATTTTCATTATACTATACTGTACATTTTTTTATATTAAAATGAGAATTTTTTATTAAAGTAATCTTTGCCATTTTTATAATACTAAATATGTATACTATAACATTTTTAACATAATATACCATGACAATTTTTTTTACATGCTATACAGTTAAACTTTTTCATACTTAAATTTTACAATTTTACCATACTATGCTACTTTTTCAACCGAAACTCTGAATTTTTATCATAGTATTCAATGACATATTTTTCATACTAAGATTCTTAATATTTAACATACTATACTATGACCTTTTTTTCTTACCAAAATTCCAAATTTTTTCTCATACTATACTATGACATTTTTTTTCATACTATACTATGACATTTTTTTCTCATGCTATACTATGACATTTTTTTAACCATACTATACTATGACATTTTTAATCATACTATACTATGACCTTTTTTTCTTACCAAAATTCTAACTTTATATCATACTATACTATACTATACTATTTTTTTTCATCCTATACTATGACATTTTTTTCTCATACTATACTATGACATTTTATTTCATAGTAAAATTCTAAATTTTTATCATACTATACTATGACATTTTTTTTATCATACTATACTATGACATTATTTTAATCATACTATACTATGACATTTTTTATGACTATACTATCACATTTTTTTATCATATTATACTATGACATTTTTTATCATACTATAATATGACATTTTATTTCATAGTAAAATTCTAAATTTTTATCATACTATACTATGACATTTTTTATCATACTAAACTATGACATTATTTTAATCAAACTATACTATGACATTTTTTTTGACTCTACTATCACATTTTTTTATCATATTATACTATGACATTTTTTATCATACTATAATATGACATTTTATTTCATAGTAAAATTCTAAATTTTTATCATACTATACTATGACATTTTTTTATCATACTAAACTGTGACATTTTTTATCATACTATACTATGACATTTTATTTCATTGTAAAATTTTAAATTTTCAATCATACTACACTATGAAATTTTTTCTTAATAAAAATCAAAATTTTCATTATACCATATTTTGACTTTTTTTAATCATACAATACTATGACTTTTTTTAATCATACTATACTATGACATTTTATTTCATAGCAAAATTCTAAATTTTTATCATATTATACTATGACATTTTTTTCTCATGCTATACTATGACATTTTTTTAACCATACTATACTATGACATTTTTAATCATACTATACTATGACCTTTTTTTCTTACCAAAATTCTAACTTTATATCATACTATACTATACTATACTATTTTTTTTCATCCTATACTATGACATTTTTTTCTCATACTATACTATGACATTTTATTTCATAGTAAAATTCTAAATTTTTATCATACTATACTATGACATTTTTTTTATCATACTATACTATGACATTATTTTAATCATACTATACTATGACATTTTTTATGACTATACTATCACATTTTTTTATCATATTATACTATGACATTTTTTATCATACTATAATATGACATTTTATTTCATAGTAAAATTCTAAATTTTTATCATACTATACTATGACATTTTTTATCATACTAAACTATGACATTATTTTAATCATACTATACTATGACATTTTTTTTGACTCTACTATCACATTTTTTTATCATATTATACTATGACATTTTTTATCATACTATAATATGACATTTTATTTCATAGTAAAATTCTAAATTTTTATCATACTATACTATGACATTTTTTTATCATACTATACTGTGACATTTTTTATCATACTATACTATGACATTTTATTTCATAGTAAAATTCTAAATTTTCAATCATACTACACTATGAAATTTTTTCTTAATAAAAATCCAAATTTTCATTATACCATATTTTGACTTTTTTTAATCATACAATACCATGACTTTTTTTAATCATACTATACTATGACATTTTATTTCATAGTAAAATTCTAAATTTTTAACATATTATACTATGACATTTTTTTATCATACTATACTATGACATTTTTTTTATCATACTATATTATGACATTTTTTTATCATACTATATTATGACATTTTTTTCTCATACTATACTATGATGTTTTTTTAATCATACTATACTATGACATTTTTTTAATCATACTATACTATGGCCTTTTTTTCATCATACTATACTATGACAGTTTTTTCTTATACTTTACTATGACATTTTTTTCAAACTAAAATTCTCAATTTTTTTAACATACTATAGTGTGACATTTTTATAATCATACTATACTATGACATTTTATTTCATAGTAAAATTCTAAATTTTTCTCATACTATTCTATGACATTTTTTAATCACTATGACATTTTTTCTTACTAAAAAAACAAATTTTTTATCACACTATACTATTACTTTTTTTATTATACTAAACAATGACATTTTTTTTTCACCAAAATGCTTAATTTTATCATACTATACTATGACATTTTTTCATTTTACTATACTTTGACATTTTTTTAATCATACTATACTATGACATTTTTTCATTTTACTATACTTTGACATTTTTTTTATCATACTATACTATGACAGTTTTTTCTTATACTATACTATGACATTTGTTTCAAACTTAAGTTCTTAATTTTTATCATACTATACTATGACATTTTTATATTCATACTATACTATGACATTTTTTTTTCATACAATACAATGACCAATTTTGCCACGATAAAAGCATTAATTTTTATCACACTATACTGACATTTTTTTATCATACTATACTATGACAATTTTTTATCATACTATACTATGACATTTTTTTATCATACTATACTATGACATTTTTTATCATACTATACTATGACATTTTTTTATCATACTATACTATGACATTTTATTTCATAGTTAAATTCTAAATTTTTCTCATACTATACTATGACGTTTTTTTAATCATACTATACTATGACCTTTTTTTCATCATACTATACTATGATCTTATTTTCATCATACTATACTAGGACATTTTTTTAATCATAATATACTATGACATTTTTTATGACTATTCTATCACATTTTTTTATCATATTATACTGACATTTTTTTAATCATACTATACTATGACATTCTATTTCATAGTAAAATTCTAGATTTTGATCATACTATACTGACATTTTTTTTTATTATACTATACTGTGACATTTTTTATCATACTATACTATGACATTCTATTTCATAGTAAAATTCTAAATTTTTATAATACCATACTTTGACATTTTTTTATCATACTATACTATGACTTTTTTTTATCATACTATATTATGACATTTTTTTTATCATACTATACTATGACATTTTTTCATAGTAAAATTCTAAATTTTTCTCATACTATATTATGACATTTTTTTCTCATACTATACTATGACATTTTTTTTCATAGTAAAATTCTAAATTTTTCTCATACTATACTATGACGTTTTTTTAATCATACTATACTATGACCTTTTTTTCATCATACTATACTATGACATTTTTTAATCATACTATACTATGACATTTTTTTTCATAGTAAAATTCTAAATTTTTCATCATACTATACTATGACATTTTTTAATCATACTATACTATGACATTTTTTTAATCATACTATACTATGACATTCTATTTCATAGTAAAATTCTAAATTTTTATCATACTATACTATGACATTTTTTTATCATACTATACTATGACATTTTTTTCATAGTAAAATTCTAAATTTTTCTCATACTATACTATGACATTTTTTTTATCATATTATACTATGACATTTTTTTATGACTATTCTATCACAATTTTTTTTATCATATTATACTATGACATTTTTTTAATCATACTATACTATGACATTCTTCTTCATAGTTAAATTCTAAATTTTTATCATACTATACTATGACATGCTTAAAATGCTTAATTTTAATTTTTTTATGCTGAAAAACAGCAGGAAGTTTTTACGTTGTCGGGACAAAAGCTAAAACGTTCTGCTGTTAAAGTTTGCTACCTCACTGATATGAAGAATTATTATCAAAACATAACATAAAAAACAACACAGAGATGCATCAGGGATTAAATTGCACCAAAAACATTTTTATTCTACAAAAGAAGAAGGGAGGAACGGGGAAATAATCACAACTGTACAGGGAGAAACTGACTTTTAAACACCATGGGTCACAGTATCAAAAAGCTCACGGTTTCCTCACTGATCTTTACACATTTGTTCTGTACAAATACAAAAAAAGAAACAAAATATTATTAATAATTGTATTATTATAATGATAACTGCATTGCACTGAGTAAATATAGTACTGGCCCATAAGTTACTGCATTCAATAGAAAATACCTAAACTTTGTGGTTTTCAGAGGAAGTGAGCGGCGGTGAGTCGAGGCACAGACGGGCACGCTCAGTGTCGCCCCCTTCAGACACGAACTCTACCCCAAAAAGATCTCACAGGGGATCAAACTCGACAAGTTTCACTGCCCGTTCACACATGAACATTCCTGCTTTCGCCAAGAACAGAAGATCTAGAAGAATACCGAAGGAAAACAAGCCGCACAGACTGCAAAAACCAACAGGAGGCAGGAAAAAACACAAACACATGCATCGGTCTCCCTGCAGAGGAACTCCAACACCAGCGGTGAGACTTCATCTGAGTCATCGTCATCAGGCTCTGAGATCGAGGTTCAATGTGTTTTAATGATGGGCTCTGCTGCTATAATGGACCTCAGAGCGGCTCAAAGGGATAAACTCACAGACGTGGTCATCTTATCTGTTTGATTAAAGACATTCAGAGGAGGGTTTCTATAGATGTAGCTTCTCTCTGAGCTTTCTGATGCAGTCTAAAGAGTCTTGACTGTCGTTTGATATCAGATAAGTCTTCACAAAAACAAACGCCTGAATACGATGGGTTATCCACAGATATTAAACTAAAAAAAAACGAGCTTAAAATTGCATTTTTGAACCTTGAAATGAGAAAAGCCAAAACTGTCATTTCAAATTATAACTGTCCAAGAACACCAAAAATATATCATGCAAAATAAACTTCAAAATACCTGAAATATGGTTTCTGCTTCAGAGTCTGAGATAAACAGGTATGTGCTGCAGCAGTGGATTTACTATTTCAGCCATTGTCTCACCAGACGGTGCGTAATAATGGGTTTTAGTCGTCAAGTAAGTTAATTTATTAGCATTCGAAAAAAAATCACCTTTAGGCCTTCAACTATGCAGGAGCGTGTCCAGTAGGGTGAGTCGGGGTGGCATGTGCCCCCGTAGGATTGGCCACCCTGGGTTCAACCATCATTCCTATGTGTAGAAACTTGATGAGTAACTTTCTCTCATCTCAAAAATATATTTTTAACCATAAAAACAAATCCAGGTCCTCTTTCAGGCTTGTAATATCTCAAAATAACACATTTACCTGAATTCTTTATGTGAATATAGCTCATATCAACAAAAAGACATAATTAGTTTTTGCAATGTGCCACTTCTTCCACTTTTTTGGGTCTTTTTAAAGGCTTAAATTGTCCAACAAAAATGTCTGATTTTACAATATTATATGCAAAATATATGAAATAATTGAAAAAATAAAGAAAAAACTTTTCAAGTATCTTGGAATAAGAAAACGCCATGATTCAACAATCTTATTTTTGGTGTAATATCTTGAAATGAGACATTTCTCTGTGCTTGCTGGTGTAAATTATTCTAATAAGACTTGAAAATAAAACCAAAAATGTGCTGATTTTTGAGTTTTTGCAGAGCGGTGCCTGAGCTGGGCCACTCTTGTCGGAAAGTCCGGACACGCCCCTGCTGCTGTGCGATAATCTTAAGCGATTACTTAAGCGATTCACTGCAACAAGCAAAAGTTACGCTATTTTTGATCATAACTGGCCTGATGTGAGTCTGAAGAGTATAAAACCGCCCCGAACATCCAAAAATATTCAAAAACTTTTCTAAACTTTTAGCCCCGTCTGACCTGAAATGTTCTCAACACAGCTGAAACTGAAAGATTAAACTGTCTCCTGACTCGAACCAGCTCCATGTCACATTTCACTCACTGTTGGATCTTTTTTTTTGGTGATATGGATTCCTAATCACTAATTCTCAACGTGGGTTTTTTTTGTTATTTTCTGGGGTCGTCGTCGTAAAGGGACACCCACAGTCTCACACATGGACATGACATGCTCACCAACGTCACTATAAGAAAACAAGAAGGCTACGCTCCATGCAACAAGTGTGCACAACACAAGTGGGACCAACTTTTTTTGTTTTAGAAACTACGAAACAAATGTATTAGATCTGAAATTTAAAAAAAAAAAACGAAAACAACACATGATGAAACACATGTCATCAAACCAACAGAAGAAGAAGAAAAAACAGATTTTTTCACATTTTCTAGTCAGTGTTAAAAATAGAAATTCACCCGTTACATTTACTCTGCACTTTTTGATTATATACATTTATGTACATGGATTTATCTTAATTATTTGTCATTTTCCTTAATGTCTTTATCAACAGTTTACAAAAGAAAGAAAATTGCAATCAAATGCATATACTTTTCTAGAAAGATGTGCTTAGTAACGATGTTTTTTTTTTTAGTTGAAGCAGACGGGGGTGTTAGGAGAAATGGGAACATTGGGTCGATCTGCGCGCCGAAAAAGGAGAAAAATCTGTCCGAACAAATCAACGAATCGAGTTTAGATTCTTGATTTTAGCCGAAAACGTCAAACTAAACATCTGACTTTGATTTCGCTAAACAAGATTATTGGAAATGCGACGTTCACTCGTTCAGACGGATATTTCTTTTCGCGTCGTGCGGATCAAACACTCCGCTCTGTTCACTGGAAGCCTGCGCGTCCACCTCAGTGTTCGTCCTGTTTCGTGAAAATTCAGGTCTTCGACGTTTTGCTCTCGCTTACTAGCGTTTGAAATGACAACAGCAACAGCGGCTGAACGGAAAAGCGAACGTGTGCTGCTTTCTGTTTGTGAAGGGTCGCATTAGGACGGTGGAGCGTGCTGCGTTGATCACATGATCGGCGACTTTTTTCCAACAGACTCCGACGCGTCCTGACCTCCCTTTTAAAGGTTCTTGTTATACGACAAACTATCAGCTAGTGCTCTACTACACAGTCCAGAACAGCGCTCGGAGCGAGGTCTGCGTTTTATGTTGCATAATAAAGTTCAGTCCAGAACAGGGGCTGAAAAACAGCCCACTTAAGACATGGACGCCATGGGTCAAAGGGCAGGGTCAGGGGTTCAATTCTGCTCCAACTGGATCTACGTGTGCAGATTAGATTTGTTCAGTACGACTTAAAGGAGACCCACTTCGCTGATCGGCGTTATGATACATGCAAGTCATGTTACGGCGTCGGAGGTCCGTGCTAAACCTCGGCAAAGCTTCACAACAGGAGATAATTTCATCACCTGTTTACGAGAGACTTGGTCTGAACCTGATGTCAGGTTCTGCTTTTGGTTTGTTTATTTTTAAAAATCAGACTTTGGAAAGTTTGGGGGTCAAAACCTCGACCTGTAAGTAACATTAGAACAGAGGATGGTGTCACAAAAGCTAACTTAACTGTCGCTACCCGATCCGTCCCGGAAACCCGATTTGTACTGTGCATTTGCGAAAAGTACGTCACTTCCTCTCTTGGCATTTCAGTGTATTTTACAGCAGTGAGTCATGACCTACACGGCGGCGGCGGCGGGTACTCCGGTTTCCTCCCACATCCCAGAAACATGTCTAAGTGCGGTTAGGTTAAATGGCCACTTTCAAATCGCCCGTAGGTGTGAATGTGAGCGTGGATGGTTGTTCGTCTCTGTACGTCAGCCCTGAGATGAACTAGCGTCTTGTCCAGGATGTCCCCTGCCTTCGCCTTCGATATTATTTTAATGTTTTCTTTTTAATATTAAAGTGTCTTTCTTTTTTTATCTTATTTCAACATTATCAACTGTTTTAAATATTAAAATGATGTTATAAGGATTGTAAAGGATAGGCAACTATAAGCATTGTGCTTCCGCCTAATCCTTTTTTTGGTCAAGTTAATAATTCTGTTTGTTTCTCATTTGTTGTTATTGTGACAACAAATGATGCTGGGATGGGTTTTTTTTGCGCAAGTGCAAATTTACTTCACCTTAAAAACTTTATTTAAACTACCGATCGATTCAGAAACAAGCCGGCGATGTGACAGGCTAGCTAGGAGGAGGTTAAGGTCCAGAGTTAATACCGAGGCGTTCGCCGGAGCTCCTGCCCAGAACGCTGAGACCTTTTGGGCCACAGAGAGCGCCACCACCAGGTCAAAATTATAGTTCTCTGACTTTTCTAAGAATTAATGGGGGATTTATTTCATTTATTTTATAAATTTAATCTATTAACAAGAAGCCGACACATTATGGACGATGAATTTCAGCGTTTTTATACAGCGTTTCTGTTTCAACACTGAAATATTTAAATTCATTCAAGCTTTTTAGAACTACGTTAGAATTTTACAATTTAACTGGAGCAGGAACCTTTAATGGTAAAACTGGGCGACATTCTCTTGACTTTCAGGCGCTCTGCTTCAGTCGGGGGAAGAACTCTGTTCAGGAGAAAAGAAAAGCGTGTGGTTGTGATGAACTGGAGCATCCTCTGACTGAAGCGAGCTCGCTGATGTCGAAGCTGTCGCAAAGACGGCTAGTAGAGGAAGTGACGTACGTTTCACACATGCACAGTACAAATCGGTTTCCAGGACGGATCAGGTAGCGACATTAACATTAGGGGGCTAATGTGGGTGCTAATAGCCATCCTCAGTCGTGTTAGTTTTTACAGATTTGTATTAAAACTGTGTAAAAAGAAACACCCTGAAGTTTTTTTGAGCTGTGACTCTCCAGGTGTCTCAGACCGGTCTAATGACAGGTCCACAGTCTCATAGGTCTCCTTTAAAGTCAAAATAAGATGTAGTTTTAATTTTCACTCTGGGGTTTTAATAGTGAGGAACAGAAGATGGTCTCAGTTGGAGAATTGACCCCCTGCTCCGGCAGAAATGCTAGTGAGGAGAGCGCTTAGTTTCCCCGTGTTTTTACTACAGGCGCTTCGGGACCCTGACAGCCCGACACAGTGCCTGGTTTTCTCCCAGAATCACAGACAGACGGTCCGGTCACCGCGGCCTCCAGCTGCAGCCATCTTGGCTCTTATTTCAGCAGACGGATGCAGATTTTACACCAGCGTAAGGAGGTGTTCGTGCTTCACTCTCTGAAAGTAAAAACTGTGGTGTAAACAAACGAGCGTGAAGCTGCTGAAACTTCAGACAATTAGGATCAATATCTGATAATCTGGTTTTCTTCATCAATCGTCCAATCAGCTTTCGACCTGCTCAGGTGGGTCACTTTAAAAAAAACTCTGAATACTTGATGGATTGATTAAATCCAGAGCCAGATTGGATCCGTGACCGAACATCGTCTGTCGGTGATTCTGGTTTCGCCCTTTACAGATTGACTTCAGTTATTAAGGCTCAACGGGCAAGAGGTAAAAGAACAACAAGTGCCCGGAACACACACTCGTAAAAATCTGAAATTCTGATTATGCGTTTGTTTCAAAACATGCACACTCACCCACATACACTCACACGAACAACACACTCAAAAAAACACTCGTAAAAGCTCCCCTTGTCCCTGCGAGAGAGAGAGTTCGACTCCTAATCTCAAAACCACGTGTGTGTGTGTGTCCTCCGTCTTATTCACAGCCTTAAAACACAACGAAAGCAAATGAACAAAAAAACAACAACGCCGTTCTGTTAAGAGCGCCAAAGGCCTTACTTTGTAAAACAACATCAACAACGACAACAACATGAACGCATTAAAAGCAAATACTGTTATTAAAGAAGAATCGGGAGAGGAGGTGTGTGCAGGAGGAGAGGGGGACAAGAACGTGATTGATACACTGAAAACAAACGAATCTGTAGAAAGTTCACAGTCTTGTAGCTCCGTGTACCAGGAGGAGGGAGAGAGGGGGTCTGTGAGGGGCCGCAGGAGGACGAGAGAAATCGAGTTTTTGATCAAAGCCTCTGACAGGAAAAGGAAATATCAGTCTGACGTCGCTGCAGCTGCTGAGGGAACAGAGTCTGTTCATCACCACTAACTTTAATAACATCCAAATCCTGCGAAGAGATGTTTTCAGATCTAAACGTTTTTTTTTTCTAGATGTTGTTGCGTTCTCTGGAAACTGTCGGTCCAAATAGATTTATAGTTTTTAGAAATCTTTAAATTTACGGGTTTGATTCTAAGTTTTTGGATCAGAACTTCAGGAACCTTTTATCAGAACCTGTGTTCATGCTTACTGTGGACGTGATGAAGAGACGTCAGGTTCAGGTTGGACAGGTTTGTAAAAACAGCGACGAGCAGAATAAAGGTTTATTTTACGGGCCGTCAGCTAACGGCAAAAACTCCAAACTGAGCGAGTGTTTTTAACTTAAGTCAATATTTTATATGAACCCTTCTGGACAAAGGGTTTGGTTTACGACAAAATGAGGCCATCAGACGTTATTCCTGTACGAAGAAAATTTTGATTCAAGAAACTTTGTAAAGATCTGTAATTTCATAGGGAGGCATGATATTGAAATAAATAAAAATAATAAATCCTGAATTCTTAAAATTGTTCTTTTAAAATTTTTGTTTCCAGGAAAGGAACTTTTTTTTTTTTGAAGATTAAACTTTTTAACTCTTAAACTGTCAAACAGAAACGAGCAGCTGAAGCGACGTCAGACTTAATGTTTCCTTTTCAGATGTCTTAAATGTTCAGATCACACACACACACACAAACACACTTTCACACACACTCACACACACACATCTCTCCTCCTTCCGTCCACTCCTCTTCCTTTTCCTCGTCTCGTCTCCTCGTCCTGGAGTCGTGTGTGATAGGTGAGGTCCAGTTGGGGGATTGTAGAGAGGACTTTGTAATAGGCTGGGTGGACGGTGATGATGATCATGTGTTGAAACACACACAGAAAAATCCCCCGACTGTTCTCGCTCACACAAACTTAAAGACACACTCCGGATATTTCCAAACGAAGAGGAGTCGTCGGAGGAGGAGGAGGAGGTGCAGCGTGTCTTTTTCACCTGCAGACGGCGAGGCTTTAAATCCGGACATGGAGCAGAGGTCGATTCAGGACGGGGGTCTCTGGTACAAGATGTGCTGTGAAGGGGGGGGGGTCGGGGTTGTAGGAGGTTTGGGTGTGGGGGGGTCACAGTTCACATCATGACGTGGCGGCGGCGGTGCAGGGAGAGGTGGTCGGACCGGGAGAAGGAGCGGTCGCACTCAGTGCAGCGGAAAGGTTTGATCCCCGTGTGCTTACGGAAGTGTCGGGTCAGCTCGTCGGAGCGGGCGAAGCGCCAAGTGCAGCCCTCCCAGGTACAGTGGTAGGGTTTCTCCCCTGGAGGAGGGAGGAGACGAGGATGAGAGTTAGGAGAGAGGAAAGCAAGGATACACTTTAGGAGGAAATGTCGACTACGTGAAAACAATTAAAATATTTGACCTCTTAGTGTTTTTGCCAAAGATGATTATTGGAATAAAATGAGTTTTTGTCGATCAATATTTAGAGACTCTCCACTCCATCTTCACACAGAGATGGAGGCAGTGATGGGCACGGCTGTTCTTTTAGATGTACTGAATCACTAGAATCAGTTCACTAAAAAGATTTGTTCAAAAGATTCGTTCACCGAATCACCGAATCATTTAGTGCAGTGGTGGGAGGAGCCTGTGACTCCGACCTCCTGAACTGATTCACAGCTGAACGGTTCAGGATTCAGTTCAGATCAGAGTTCCTGGGACCAGGAGACGAGAGTGTTTGTCTGTGTTACTAAAACAGGTTTGAAAAAATGAACTTGTTTATAAGTCATGATGTTTTAAGTGTTCTATGGTCTGATATTTATCAGGTCTGCTCAGTAAACTGGGCTCAGTGAGTGATTCGTTCACTGAATTCACACTGAACATGAACTGTTCCCTCGCAAACCGCTGCAATTAGAGGATACTGTGGGTTTAATGCACTACTTGTTACCTGCTGTGTCCTATTGTATGAAGTTGTTGTGGCAATTTAGCAGTAAAAAATAAAAAAAGTTATTTTAATAAGTTAGACCCTTAAATGGTCAATGAAATGAAAAAAACGAACATTTAGCACTTTTTCTAGTTAAATATTAATACTATTATAGATCAAATATATTTACCCATAATATTATCAAAACTCACTTGACTCTCTTTAGTCGGTGGGCTCAAATGTCTTGTGATGGAGGCGTGGACTTGAATTAAATCTGGTTGTTTTAGTCAAGATTAAGCTACAAGATATTTTCACCAACTATATTTAAGTTCCTGTTGAGGGCCGACCTTCAGTTTTGTACACTTCAGATTTATTCCTGTGAAAGTTTCCTGGAGTTTTTCCGCCCTCGTTGTCCGTCTCACCTGTGTGTATCCTCCTGTGGGCTTTGAGGTGGGAGCTCTTGGTGTAAACTTTTTTACAGCCTTCATAGTCGCACATGTGGATCCGCCTCCTCTTGATGTCCGGTGAGTCCGGATCGACGGGCTCCAAGTCCATAACCGACCTGTGAGGAGGACGAGAGGAGATCAGTTCATTCTTTTACATGTGAAAGTCAAATCCCGGCCACACGGGGGCGTCAGAGAGCAACTATATTCTCAACACAGCTGCACAACTCCACCACTTCTCTCTCTGTTGTTCCTTTTTGTAATCTTTCACTCTTTTCACTCTTTATTCTGTTAATTTAACATTTTTAACCAGAATATACAAGTTAATAATCACATTTTATTCATCTGCCTCTTAAATCAACTTTAAACTTTCATGTTTGAGTTTTTCACACATTTTTCTCCTGAACTTTTCCTGTTTTTTTTTCCACTTTCTCCTGGTTGAACGGACTTTGAACGGACATTTAAAGCCCCTCTGCTGCTCTGTTGGCTCTTTTACAGGGAGGTGTGACGGCAAACTGCATTACGAAACAATGTTTACACCCCAGTCCTGGGACAGCCCTGCCCAGCAACACACACATAAACACACACAGACTGAGGAGCGTACACACACTTACTGAACAGAAGCTCACAATCAAACCTCTTCTGCACAAAATATCACAAAAACACACACTCGTATTAGACACTATTTCTCTTTGAATGTCACACATGCTTAAATGCACACATACACACATGTATATATCACACACACACACACATGCACACACACACTGCAGATAACAGCGCTAAGCTAACCATCTCATCCACACCCTGACTGTCAGTTGCAGCCATGCGGCCTCGCCCACTGGGTGTGGCAGCAGCTCTCTTACAAACACACACACACACACTTACTCACATTCACACTCACACACACACACACACACACACACACACACACACGAGCCTCCAGTGTCACAGCAACCCTAACTTTGTATGTAAACTTGGACTTGTACGACTTGTACTCTGCACAAGTCCACACATGTCAGATGTCCACATTTTCACCTGAGAGGCTGAAATTAGCTCCTTATTGACGTGTCAGCTGACCCCTCACACACACACACACACACACACACACACACACACACACACACACACACACACACACACACACACACTCACACACACACACACACACACTCAGACAGGCTCCTGTCTCCTGCTGGGGCGTCTCCGGTGCGTTCAGGCTCTGTTCTGGGTTATATAAGGTTATATAAGTGTCCAGTCGAGGCAGCGCTGCAGTAATGTAATTAGTCAAGAGGCTGCAGGGGAGGGAGGTGATCCAAAGACCGCATTTCCCAGAAACCCTGCTATGCATTAGTGTCCCCCCTCGCTGGCTCTGCCCACTCCTATAATGGACTTGACTTAAAACGCCGGCGTGCTCCGTGGTTTCCCCGCCCTCCTGAAACACGTCAGACTGAAACCATCTCTGACTCAGACCACATCCACCTCCGAACCGTCGAACATGTCAAAACTCGCGGTGACATTAAATCTGTAAACGTCGACATGGAGCTAGTTCAGGCGAACACTTCTGGAGGACTGTTCTGCCTCCAGCTAAGCCCCGCCCACCAAATAAAAACATATTAATGGGGTCAGCTGATACTGGATATCCAGGGTCCGAAAGGATTAGTTTTTATGGTACTTTTTCAGACTGATGACCAAAATTAAGATCAATATAATGTGAGATCGTACACAGGATCACAGGAGCCAATCAGAGAGTGTTGTGGGCGGGACAAGAGGTCAGCCAAAGAAGAAGAAGAAAAGAAAGAAGAAAAAGAAGAAAAAAAAAGATTAATAAGAAGAAGAAATGAAAAAGGAGAAGATAAAAAAAGAAAAGAAAAAGAAATAAAAAAAAGGTGAAAAGATAAAAGAAGAAACAGTAAAAAAAGAATAAGAAAAAGAAAAGAAAGAAGAAATAAAAAGAAGAAAAGAAAGAAGGAGAAAAAAGAACAAGAAAAAGAAAAAAAGGAAATAAAAAAAGAGAGTGAAGAAGAAAAAGAATAGAAAGAATAAGTAAAAGAAAAGAAAGAATAAAAAGAAGAAATGAATTAGAAGAAGAAACAAAGAAGAAAAAGAAGAAAAGAAAAAGAAATAAAAAATAAAGAAGAGGGTGAAGAAGTAAAATCAGAAAAAGTAAAAAATAAGAAAAAAAGAAAGAAGACAAAAAATAAGAAAAAGAAAAGAAAGAAGAATAATAAGAAAAAACGAAAAATAAGAAAAAGAAAAGAGAATAAGACAAAGAAGAAGAAGAAATGAAAATGAAAAAGAAGAAGAGGGTGAAGGTGACCGAGAAGTAGAAGAAGAAAAGAAGAAAACTTGTTCGATCTGATCATAGAGCTTTTTTTTCTCTCGGTGGTCAAACTCACCCGGCGTCGATGCTCTGGGCGCTGAGGGAGGCGGACCCAGACTCTGTGCCGCTCTCTGCATCGCTGTCGCTCTGATACTCGACCGGAGACGTGGACCCGGGTTTGATACGAACTGAAGAAGAGAGACAGAAGGAGAGACGTTAGAGACAAAAACCAAAATTAAACTTAGAGGAGGAAACAGAGACGATGGGGGGAATAAACATTGAAACAAAAGAGACGAATTCAAGAAAGAAAGAAACGAGAGTGAAGAGAGGAGGAGGAGGAGGAGGAGAGGAGGAGGAGGAAGGGTGCAAACAGGAGAAAACAGCGGGGGGTTAATAAGTTCCTGATAGTTAAGATTCCTGCAAATTAACAAGACAAAAGGTTTCCCTCTGAGTGTGTGTGTGTGTGTGTGTGTGTGTGTGTGTGTGTGTGTGTGTTTCCTCGTTTCTACATCTTTAAATCCTGTTATTTAAAAAAAAAAACTTTTAACGACCTTCCTCAAAGTCAAACCCGTATCCAACAACATAAACAGATGTGGGTGAAAATATTTAATATTAGGAATAAACTCAAAGATGAATCTGATGATCTTCTCCAGGTTTGGGTTTACTCTGAGATATCCGACCGCTGGGAATCAATTTGTGGAAAAAAAAACTGAAATAACCGTCAAATACTGAAAAATCGATTATTGATTTTCATGCATGGTGGAGTTTTTTAATTCCTGAAGAAGAAGAAGCAGCTGCTGGTGATCCAGGTGAGAGAAGATGAGACGCTTTTAAAAACGGAGATAAACCGAGAATCCAAAAACAACATCAGCGATCAGACGTCACAATTGTGTCGTTTCATTTTAATAACTTTATCGAGATATTTTTTATCACCAATAACTGAGAACCTGCGCTGGTGTCGGTTTAACAGTGTAATCCAGTCAGAACCACTTTCATCAAAATAGTAAATTATTCGCATCTCTGCTTCATTTCAACTTTAGACGATGGACACGCAAATAACCACGCTGAACCGGACTAAACGCTCATGAGGCTCCATCTCTCTCTCTCTCTCATCAGAAACTGCATCACTAAAGACACGAGTAAAGCGAAGGAGCAGAAACGGGTCAGAATTAAAATATCATGACTGTAACAGATTAGTCAGATTCTCCCCGCCTCCTGTTTCTGCAGGAATGTGGCGGCCATACTGGTCAAAGTCCACCCAGGCTGGCGAGAGCGAGGTAAGAGGAGGGGGCGGTGTGGTCGGGAGGGTGACGCAAGGAATTTGGGTGGAGTAGCTTTATAAGTGTGTGTGTTTCTCTGTGTGTGTGTGTGTGTGAGGTAGAGAGGGTCACACACCAAAAAGAAGTCTTCTTTGTCTCAGCAGACAATCATCCCCCCTCCACCTCGTCCTCCATGACAGTCTTTCTCTTTCAAAAGCAGAGCGACCCATCTCCTCTCCTCTCGACCCCTGCACCCTCTCCTCCTCCTCATCCTTCCTCACCATCCCCCACACCCTTACCTCATCTGTGTCTACCTTTCCTCCTCCCACACACATGAACAGAGGAGATCAGCCTCCTCCTGCTTGTTAAGTCAGCACGTACAGGAGGAGACAGGAATTATTAGACTCGTACAGAACTCCTCCAACTTCAGTTTTGACGAGGAGATAAGGCGTCTCCTTCACAGGCCGCTGAACCTCCACCTCTCTACTTAGCAGATTAAATCATATTACATTACGTTAGTGAAGCGGGACACTTGAAACTGCCGCAGAAGTCAGATCGAGTTCTCCAACCATCTGGTAAATATGTCACCGAGAGAAAACTCAGAGTCAAACAGACCCTCGATTTTATTTAGCGCAAAGATAACCGATCAAATGAGTCAGGACCGCATCAGACCTGGACTCTTCTCCTACAGAGCTATGTCCTTGTCTGGATGGACGCAGATGTTGATCCTAAACCTGGAGATATTGTTTCAAACTGAGGATGCAGCATCTATGATTTCCAGTTCTTCGTTTAAAGAGTGCTACATGTAGATCCATCAGACCTCAGGACAGTTCACTGAGCGGAGGATGTGGCGCCATATTTTCATGAGTCAGACCACAGGACACGCGTTTCTGGATCATGTTTAGACCTGGTTCCCTCTCTGCATTGTTCATTCAGAGCCTGCGCAGGACTTCCACTACAGAGTCATGTCTGGATTAGGCCTGAACGATATATCGTTTGAACATCGTCATCGCGATGTACGTGTGTGCGATAGTCACATCGCAGAGCCTGCGATATTGGAGGTGAATGAACTCAGTTAATTTCAAGGGTAACCGACTGAGATACACTCCATGTGACTCTGCATGTGCTGTGCAGCGATCCACCAATCACCTTCGTCCTTAACTCAGTTGCCAATCAGACTCACTTCTCAGTTGCCAATCAGACTACCCTGCCAGCTGTCAATCAAAATCAGAGAGGAGGAAACCCACCCCTGCACATGTTCTGCACATGGAAGGAGACGTGTGTCCGCTGAGAATTACTTTCGGAACTTTACTCATGACTGTTAAGCCCAACAAATAAGAACTGGATGGGTTTTAAATTGTACATTTCCGTGGACCACTCTACTATAATCGGTGCGCGTTTTGCGAGGTGCATGCAATTCTCGGAGGACATGCGTTTCTCAGCACAACACCGCTAACAACAACAACAACGATCGCAAAATGAGCAACGAACAAGCGAAAACCAACGAAAATGAAGATTTGTTGCCAAAAAGAAAAGGAAAGTCAGTTATCTGGAATTATTTCGGTTAAAAGAAGGATGATGTCGACCAAAACACGTCTTCTGTGTTCATCTGTTTCCACAATAACGTCCCAGCACAATACAAGTTAAAAATATCTCTGAGACAGACAGAAGCCGTTCTACTAACATTCACAAAAAGAGGTAAGATCAGAGCAGATTAACTGTCCTCAAGATTTCAGCAGTGCAGTATAACATTAAGTGCTATTCATCTAGTGAAAATAGTGTATTTTTAATATCGCAATATATATCGCAGGGTTGAAAAAATCGCAATATTATTTTTTTCCAATATCGTGCAGCCTTAGTCTGGATGTTGCATGTCAACATAAATCAGGGGGTCAGACTCTCCCTCTTAAATACTGAATAAACAGTTTTCTATCTGCACGGTGGACTCTGAAAACCTCTCCCCTGTAGACCGACCTGTCCGGCTCCACTCATAGACGGTTTATTGGTCTAGTTAGAGCCGCCATGAGAGCTTTTAGCAGGTAATAAAACAGAGTAAAATTAATTTTTGAAGCCTCTTCAGGGGGTAGAAGAGTGAGAAGTGTATAAGAAGAGTCTTTTATTTTGAATGTTTTAATAAGAGGAGAAAAATAAATCTGTGATGCTCACGTTTGGATGAAATTATTAACACATCGTCTCTGGGAGTTTCTGAAAGTAAAGCAGGGAGATGATGTAAAGTCTTGGCACGCCGCAGACGTCATCCGCTGATGAGGTCAGACAGTCTGAGAGCGGGGGGGGCGGGATTCCTCGGACTGTTTACATTCCTGAGTCGGGGCTGCGCCGAGGTGTTCTGACTGTACAGAGGGACTTCAGAGCCGTTTGTCAAAGAGGTGGAGACCTGTTTTCAGCGGCCCGCCTGAGCAAATGTCGAGTTTCTCTCTTTTTAGTGTTTATTCAGAGACAGATGACGCTCACCGTTACCCTGAGAGCTCAGGATGCTGAAGGCGCTCCTGAAATAGTGAGGGCGGGAAGAGCTGGAGCTTCAGAGACAAAGATCTCAGATTAAATCATCCAAACATGGTGAACCGCTCTGCCAGGAAGAGGTCACTGCGGCCGCCAGGAGCAGAACTTAGCGTAGAAGCTAATGATCAATAACTCAGCGAGTCGCCTTCATGGTACGTAGCATCATGTTTGTGTGTTTTATCTTTTAACTCTACGTCTATTCTAGCTCCAGTATTTGCAGGTTTCTGACATGAAATCACCACATGGTAAATCAGCCCGCCTTTAGCTAAGTGGGTTTTACTTTTGGACCCTGTACCTCACGCCGATGTTCACAGATTCGTAGATAACCCCCAATTTTCGCCACATCCGGACTGGCTTCGCTTTTCCTACTAGATCCGTTTGTGAGGCGAATTTCATGGTGGATTACAGACAGCGGTAATCACGAGAACTCACAAAAACCCACGGATTCACGTTCGATCGCACGATAACGAGTTGTCTCTATAAAGACAGACACACAGACATATTAGGATGTTTTATTTTGTGTCTGTGCCTGACTTCCTTTCCAGCACGGGTTAATCTGTGCTGAATTTATCCGCCATGCTCCGGCGTCCAGAAAGAAGTCGGTGTAAATTGACACGTTAACTTGAATGGTTACGATCAGCTACGATCGGAGGATACGACCTTTTAGGAGACGATCAGGATGAAGGTGGAGATTGAGCTTCATTTCCACTCTTGTTAGTTTACGTCTGCTGTAGATCTGTGAATAACTAGATGAACTCACTTCTAGTGTTCAATGCAAACGATCTCTTAGGATTGTAAATCTACAGAAACGAGGCGCCCATCAAAAATCGACTCCAGCGCCTCGGTCCTGTTATGAATGAGCTAAGAAGACGTCCTCATGGGTGTCTCGGGTCTCATTTCCTGGTTTGTCCTTCGGTTCCTCGTCTGTATTAATCATCTGTGATGAACGAAGAGGCTGAGATAGATAAATATAGACACGAAGGCAAACAGAGGGCGAGTCTGACACACTAACCACAAACTGAAGCATCCCTGTTGAGAAACACTTTGTTTCTTCAAGACCAAGAGCTCCTCGAAAATGACAGAGTGGGAGAGAGCGACAAAACACGGAGAACAATGGCGGGCGTGGCGGTCAGAGACGGAGACTGTTTTCAGTTATCCAGCAGCATCTGTGAGTGTTTGTGTTCCCTCTTTGGGATGAGACGGAGAAACCGCTCCAGAGGAAGACCGAGGAACGTTGGGGGGGGTCCGTGCATGGGGCGCCTACTCTGCCAACAGAACCAAACCAGTGCCTAATAATGTGGGGGTCTTAACTAACGAGACACGTGACGTTCTCACTCACCTGATCCTTCTGAGCGCCCGTCGCTGCCTATGAGCGGCACCGTGATGGCTGCCGTGGCGACGCCGTCGGTGGGCATGGTGGTGTAGACGACAGGCAGCGACTGCACCACCACGGGGATGGTCTGCAGCTGGCCCACTTTGCTGGGCATGCTGACGGAGGGGATGGTGTGGATGACGTGGAGAATCTGCTGGCCCCCGGCCCCCTGAGTGGCCAGGATGGACCCCGGGGAGAGGACCTGTGAGAGGAGGAGGTTATTCAGCACTGGGACTCAACTGAGCATGCTCTAAAGGGCTGTATGGGTGGAGTTTGAGGTTACCATGGAGCCTATGGATTGTACTGTTGAGGGGACGGGTGTGGCGGACAGGCCGGGTTGGGTCACGGCTCCGCTGGGCGCAGGGTTGACCGTGGTGCTCGTCGTAGAAGAAGGTAGCGTTGAAGAGCGGGGTTTGTTGAGCGACAGGTCGACGGGCTCCGTCTGGTCCTCTGAGGGACTCGGTTGGGGCGAACAGGGTTCTGTCTTACACACCGAAGGCTCCGTCTTCACTTTGACCAGGTCTGTGGGCTGTGAGCAGTCATCACCAACATCGGCCTGATGGAGAGGAGGGAGGGAGAGAGAAAAGAGAAGAGCTCAGACCGGAGATCTGGACCGACACTGAGGGACATTTCAGGACAGAAACAGAGACTTTGAGAGCGCTGGCGTCGTTGTGATACCCTTACACTTCCTGTTTTGATCGTTGCATCAGATTGTTTTCTAACTACCAAAGTTTACACTCTTAAGTCAAACGTTAGTGTTGATTAAATCACAAAGAAAAGGGTTATTAAAGTGACGCTGACCTGCTGACAAAAACACAAGAGCAAAAGAGACTAAACATGCACCGATAAATCGGCCAGACGATTGATCAGCACCAATTTCCTCGATTTTGGGGGATTGGTGATCAGCTGATCCTTACATATGAAACTGATTTTATCCACCGATCTTATTGACACCAGCAAAGGTCTGAGAGTCAGCTGTTGGAGCTTTTTGCTTCGCCAGAACGACAGGCCCGCCCACCAGGTCAACGTGTTCACACGGAGCATGATCAACCGAGCATGTTTGACCCACTTCAAGGAAACCTAAAACTCAGGACAGTTTCTTGAACCGGTATAATTTAATAGTTTGGACAGCAATATTCTAAACTTTCCATTACAGACTACAGCGGGGTGCCGCAGTTCAAGGAAGAACATTTATGATCATTTCTTCATGGAAATACAATCAGACCGAGACGCTAAGACAGAAGAACTACAGCGTCTGTAAAATGATTAATATGGTGATTATTACTTCAGGGAAATGATTAAGAAATTATCATAAATGTTCTTCCTTGAGCTGCGGCACCCCGCTGTAGTCCGTAATGGACTGGCCTGAGGTCTCCCTACAAACAAGCGTCTGCTGGAAGAGAGTAGGTGAGTTGTGTTTAGTCTCTTTGCTAAAGAAATGAGTCAAAGTTAAAAAGATGTTTGGTGTCTAGTACTATGTCTGTGACCCTATATGTCCTGTTGATGAAGTTAGGTGCTGTTCTGAGCATTATTTGTGGCTATAGAGTGGCGTTTTGGTTGAGGGCGTGGCTCTCTGTATTTCTATCCTGCGGTCATTACTAAAGTTGGTATAACTAGAGAAGCAAGCGGTCGACAACATTCATCTCTGAGGTGGGGTCTAACTCAGTGTTACGGTGAGTTTGACCCTAAATTAATTTTCACGGGATTATCCCTTTAAAGGGGCCGTCACAGATGATTCCCAGACCGTCAGGGATGCTGAGAACAGGTCAGGTGGACCCTCTACTCTTTAAAACTGAGGATGCAGCATCTATGATTTCCTACTCTTTGTTGAAAGGACGACGTCTTAAGTCTTGAGTTGACCTCTCCATGTGGTGATTTCCACTTCAGAGTCTGTCTGTTCTGCTGAATAAAGGAGGGTCTTCCCTGAGAAGGTCCCTGAAGTTGAAGCTGTGAGGTTATCGGTACTGAACTCTGCGTCAGTTTGGGTCGTGAAATAAAGATTATCACTCAGTGTAAAATGTCGATTTACAATCTTCTGCGATCGTGTCTCATCAATCGTTTTTCTACAGTGGAGTAAAGTGACTCCATCTGCTGAGGGACCGCTTCATCCTTCAGCCACACTTGGTGCTACGCCCTAGTTTTTCTCCGCTCTTCACAGAAACTCAGCACCCTGCTCGCCTCTCCAGCCACCCAGGGCTCAGCTGGCATGGAGCTCGAAAAGCACGGGGGAACAATGGCTGCTGTGTGGGACACTCAGGGGGGAGGTGGAGGAGAAGGAGAGGGGGGAGAGAACGAGAGAGCAAGAGAGAGAGAGAGGAGAGGTGGATGGGTATAGAGACAGACTGGTACTGACTCAAAGAGAGGGAGAGAGAGGGGGGTGGAGAGGAAGACGAATTGGAGTGGAAGAGAGGGAGCAGCAGCAGCAGCAGCAGCGAGCCTCCAGTCCAGATCTTGGCCTCCTTCCAGCTGAGCTGAGCGTAGCTTGGCTCTGGGTGAGGAGGAGTTGGGTGGAGACTCAGCTACGCCCTTTTATCGGTTCACACAGTTCAGCTGGAGGCTGGGCTGAGCGACGGAGGAGGGTGAAGGCACAAACACAACGGCTGATAAACAACCGACTGCAGACAGTCAGTGAAGAAAACACACGCTAATAACCCTGTTAGCTTGTTTAGCATGTTTTAGCACCATACAGGTTTTATTTACGGAGTCTGACGGATGAATTTAAGCAGCTATGCATGCTGGGAAGTCTTCTCTGAAAGATGTTTCTGCAACGTTTGGAGTGAAATACAGAAACAAAGACAAAATCAAACCTGAGCTCTTTTTTAATTCTGTTATTGTCTGACTGACGGAGTCTTTGCTGCTGCTCTCCCCGCCTGTTATCTAGAGCTGCTTTCATCAACGAAAATTATGACGAAACATCGCCGTCAACGAACCTTTATCACGTGACGAAAACGAGCCGAGACAAAATGTAAATGGTGGTCTTGTGACGATAACTATAACTAAATATATAATGTAATATTGTTGATGAATAAAAACGAGACTAAATATGGTTCATGAAATAAAAACTCTGTTAAAATGTCTCTTCATTTTCACGTGTGTATCCTGTGACTAACATGTGTGTAGTGTGTGTCCAGCTTAGCGCATGTGTGTAGTGCACGTGTGTGTGTCTAGCTTGTGTGTGAGCCGTCTGCTCAGAGTATCTTCCACATCTTGAATGGATGACTAAAATAGACTAAAATAGATTAGAACAGTCATGAATTATTGTGACTTAAACTGGGCTAAAATAGACTAAAATACTCATGGATTATTATGACTTTAACTAGATTAAAATAGTCTAAAACAGTCTTGGGTTATTCTGACTAAAATAGACTTAAATGCTCAGAGTTTTAGTCGACTTAAACTTAACAAAAATGAGTTTGAACATGACTTAAACTAATAAAAACTAAAAACAAAACAAAAATTAAAACAGGTCGACAAAAACAACACGACTGTTATCATCTGATCTCGCTCTGATTTACATGAACGGACGGGGAGAGACACAACGCCGTCCATCATCCTGGTTCTGATTTACACAGAGACCAGAATTTAAGTCCGAAAAACTGTCTGAACCTTTGCAGAACTTCGCTAAAGTGAAGACAAATATAAACCCGACCTGGCTGAGGAAAGGAGAGAAGGGGACAGGAAAGGACGCCAAAGAGGAAGGGTGGAAAAGAGAGAAGGAGATAAAACCTGAGAAGAAAAGGATGAAGTGTGAAAGAAGTGAGGGAGTGGATGAGGCAGAGGAGACACAGAGAGAGAAAGAGAGTGGGTGGGAAAGGCCCAGCGTTGCCATGGAAACTGGGAGCTATCAGCTGACTCCATGTTTTCCACTCGTTCCCCACCCACCTCCACCTCCGCCACCCTTCCCTTCCTTTCTCCTCCCAGTCTGTTTCTCCATCACCTCCTCCACCCTTTATTTCCTTTCTCTCCGTCCTGACCACGCCCTCCTTCACCTTTCTCCCCCTCCAGCATCCCTCGCCCTCTAAGCTAACCACACCCGCCTCACCCTCCCATCTCTCGCCAGCTCTCGTTTCCACCCACTCGCTCTCCTTTCCCTCCATTATCTCCTGCTCTCTCTCTTTCTTTTCCTCTTTTCTCTGCAGCTCGGATTAAACCCACTTTTGTTTTTTTTGACTAAATCCCCCCAAAAAAGAAAAAGAGGATGCTGGGAGGCTGAACACGGTGGGAAAAGATGGAGAAGAAAAAGCCTCGCTGGACTCCTGTGAGATCTGCGATCAGAGAGACTGAGTGAGGAGGAAAAAACGAGGAGAGGAGAGAAACTTTCTGATAGGAGGACAGAGCGATTAGCTTCAAAAGGAGCTCATTATCCAGCGCTGAGGAGGAAAAGTGTCTTCAGACGACATTTCAGATGATTAAACTGTAATTCTATATTTTTAAGAGAGAGTTTAAAGCTTCAGGAGACCGAACAAAACAGAGTCTGTTCGGATGATCGACACAGAAAGAGAGAGTTTTACTTAAACTGAGAGGATCCGGTCAGTTTATGAATCTGTTTGAGTCAATTCTTTGAGTTCATCGTGAATTAGGGCTGGGCGATAGGTCCTCAAATGTTGTCGCTCCTCAGTCACAGATTTAAACAGTCAGAGCTCTATCAGATTCTGGTGGTCCAGATATACAACCGCTATCCTAAAAGAGCCGGGAGGCCGAGTAAATGTCGATAAAAACAGAATTTGATGGAACTGAAACAGGGCAAGGACTAGGGCTGGGTGATAGGTCCTCAAATCAATATCACGATATATCGATCAGTTCACCTCGATAACTATAAATGGACGATAATTACTCCACAAGCTGCTCACCCCCTCCCACATTAACTTCGTCTACTTCAGCCGCTCCAACTTTCTCTCCATCCTCCATCTCCTCACCTGTCTTTCCCTCTTTGTTACAGACTGGATGGGGTGGAGTCACGTCTCTGATGTAGGACAGCGTCTTAAAGGGACATGAGACCATAGCCTACCTACACACATCCAAATACAAACTTTGATTCATTGATTTCTTTGACACGGATATGAGCAGAATGACGTTGGTTATTGTCATAAATTTCAGTATTGGTAAATTTTCAGTTTATCGCTCAGCCCTATCCAGACGCTTCCCTCACTGATATCTTCTGTCTTGAAAAATGATGCATCACAAAAGTAACCAATGAGGTTATCCCAGCAGAAAGAAGACGCTAAAATAAAGAAGGCTAGCTAACTGACTGTAAAATCCACTCGCTTTGTGAGACCGACAGCTTCTCCGTTATAAACTCTGAAATTGTTTCTGCAAAATCGAGGATATTTTTCTCCTATAGAGACAATCAGGGAAAATATGTGATGGTTTATCAAATTTAGTGAAATAGTGACACATAATTTTTGTCACAGAATATACCAATATGGGCAAAATGACGTCTGTTATTGTCATAAATTTTTCGATTTATCGCCCAGCCCTATCATGAAACTTCCTTCCTCTGTCACAGTAAAGAAAGTTTCACTCCTGACTTGTGGGGCATGTGAACCCGGTCCAGAGCTGAGACTAACTTAAACCTGACTTAGAGTTGGATTTTTCTCTCTGCAGCCACTTCACATATTTTCTCATATGGACTTTTTTTTAACAGCCGTTTGCTGCCAATAGAGGATTTGTGAATCCTAATGGGACGACAACCACACTTTAGAAAAAAACTACTACAGCACCGTCTGTGTAAAAAAGAGAATAATAAATAACTTGAAACACTTTTATCCTGCATCCGGATATCTGAACACCCCAAATCTTGAGCTTTGTGAGTAAAGCCTGAGATTTGATGCTTCTTATTTTAGACCAACTCAAACAGGATTATGCAAAATAATAAAAAACCATCTCCCAAGGCCGGTCTGCAGCCACCAGCTCAGACTCCAATGTTTCACTCCATGTATGAAGCGTCGCATGAAGACTGAGAGTCTGAGCTGTTTGAGTTTAGATCGACTTTTAACGGTTTTCAAGTCTTCACGGGGTCGAGGATGTCGTGTTGACTCTGTTTCTCCATCACTGCATTGTATAAAATAACCATCTCTGCAACAATCGGACAATCCGCCAACCGTCCACCTCCAAACGCTGACCTGTCTGAATACAACATCACAAAAAAACCCCGTCTCTAAGCCGCAGCTCAGCAGACTTCTCTGTTTCCCTCTCGCTTCACTCCTCAGTTCATCTGCTCCTCCATAAAATGGGTCACCCAGTCTTCGCCTTGCAGTTAATTCATGTGATCTCTGAGCTGAATGGGAGCGGAGAGCAGCTGTGACTGCAGCGGTGAGAGAGAGAGAGAGAGAGAGAAAGACCTAATCTGTCCAGAAGACTTTAATCATGTTGGACGAAATATGGAGGAGAAGTTACGGCTGATATCAGTTTCCTTCTGTGCCCAGAGAGGCCTGTGAGTGTTCATCTTCAGCAGCAGAAACGCAGCAATAAAACAAACATGTTTGAGCTTTTTCAATCCTTTATCTATCCTGATTTTATAAAAGGTTAAAGAGATATCACAGTCAGGCTGTGTGCACGAGTTACACATAAAAAAAAACATCTGCAGAAACAGGATGAGAGCGAGGCGACAGTTTTCTGAAAACATCAGATTTAGCTCATATGAGAGACTCTGATCGGAGCAGCTATCTTTAATAAACTGGGTGTAATCATGTTTTTATTCACACAAGATTTCAGGAGTTTTGTTCACGTGTAAAAACAGATTCTGCAACAATAAGAGTTTTGCAACTTCTCTTTCCAATCTCAGAAACTCTGCAAACTTAAGGTTGGACAGATTGCTCAAACTTTTACTAGTTCAACTTCTAAAACAAGAAACTATCGCTGCCTTTGAAGAGACCCCGCCTCTTTAGATTAGACGGCGGTCGCGGATCAATAGTCAGGTCTTAAAAAATGCTCTTTATCGTCAGCATCAGACGAAGATGAGGCAAAGATCTCTCAAGCGTAGAGAAGTCATGCAAATCCCAAACAGCTGAGTAAAGTTGCAGATGCAAACTCAACGGTGGTTCTGATTTCTATCGCCAACTATCTTCTTCATGCAAAGATGACTTTCAGTTCCTGGGTAGTTCTTGGGAAAGGGCCGAGAGTTTCTGCACAGACGTTACCACAGGGGACTGACAACAGACCCGGTTAGCTAACTGCAACTTCACCGGACTGAGAGGGAGGGTGTGATGATGTTTGAAGGAGAGGAAGGACGGCGGCGCAAATAGAAAGAAAACTGAACGCCATCGAGGCCTAATGAGCCGACAGGTCGAGTCACTGATGTTGTTTCTTTCTGCAGGAGGAAATCGATAGGTCCCGAGGTGAGACAACAATACACTGACTGCTAAAGGTGAGGGGAGAGGAAGAGAGGAGGAGAGAGGAGGAAGAGGAGGAGGAGAGGAGAGGAAAAGAGGAAGAAAGGGAGAGGCCGCTTTGGTATTGATTTCCTGGGTGTGTGTGTGTGTGTGCACCAATGTCATCTGTGATAAACACTATTAAAATTCAATTTAATCTGGTGTGTGTGTGTGTGTGTGTGTGTCATGAACATGGATATGGACGATATAATAAAGACTGAGTGCAAAAAAAACACAACAGCTGGGGGAGATATTAACAATGAAGCATGCAGCCCCGCCCAGCACACACACACACATGCACGCACACACACACACACACACATGCAGCTCCACCCCTCACAGCCTGACCCACCCTGGTGAAACACCAACCGCTCCCTCCCTCCCTCCCTCCTCCCTCCCTCTCTCCCTGTCTCTCTCTCTCTGGCTCACCCACCTGTTAGCGGCCCGGCTGTCTGTTAGCGGGCGCTAACGCTGATGTTATCTAACAGGAGTTGCCACTGCTGATTTCCTGGGTGTTCAGTAACCTGCTCCTCCCGCATGCCAACACGGCTGGCCTTAATCTGACCTCGCAGCAAAGTCCACCTGACTTTAATGACGAACTTCGCTTCCAAATCAGCCTTAAAATGCAGTTTTGCTTCATAAAAGCACTCACTAAAAGTTTAAGTTTGAGAGGAAACAAAAGATAAACAAAGAAATCCTGTGAATTTAAACTGAAACTAAGATTTTAAAGGTGGAAATACAGCGATTTAACATGTCTGCTACACCCAAACACCCCGCCTCCTCTCCTTCAGTCTCATTACAGAATAAAAACAACAAGAAACCATCATCAGTTAAAGCAGGATGAGAGACACGTGTGAATAAGATCATAATTACATATCGAAGTGTGTGACTGGCAGCGTTCTGAATTCTTTTTTGTGTTTTAAGGATTAAACTCTCTCCCTGTCGTCAGCTTTGATCGAACCTGCTGTACAGGTCATTTTTATCCCCGTGACCCTGGAGAATGTGCCTGAACTCGTCACATCCAGCTCTTGAATATACAGACAGACAGACAGACGGTGTGGGCGTGAGGAGAGACAGCCTCTCACTGGTTCATGGGTCAAAACAGTTCGATGAAGCTCCCGGCTCGTCGCTCCTGTCCTCAGATGATTCCTCGTAAACAATAAGGGAGGAAATTCCTGCACTAATGGACGCACACACATGAGAGAAAATCAGTTCCTCTCATTTCTTTTCAGATGATATCTCTCGGGCTGGAGACGAGCTTTTCTCTGCTTTGTGAAGAAATCATCGTGTCTGTCCAAAATGACACGTTTCTCAAGGACGGGGTAAAACCGTGAGCATTGAGAGTTAAGTACGACACTGACAGCCTGAAAAAAGACTTTACAAATTAAAAGCCTTTGTATTTGTATTTCTGAGCCACAAAACTGTAGAGGGCGGAGAAGCATTAACTCCGTCTATTCACTCATTGAACAACGGGCCGTGTTGAAACGGGTCTATTGACCCATCCATTATTTCTAAATCATCACCTTTTCTAAATGGAAAACCACAGACTTTCAACAGAAACACCTCCGCTTCACTCAGGAAACAGTCTGTTAGTGTTGGAAACAGGTGCACCGCATTTACTGCCTGTTTTATGTTGTTCTTTTTTACTTACTTTACTCAGGTCAGTTACAGGATAACCTTTAAGGACAAAACGACTCCAGATATTTCATGTTTGACAGAAAAGAGGAACTTTTTAAAGTCTGAGTTTCTGAAAACGATGGAGTGCAAACTACTGACTTATTTCTTTAGCAAAGAGACTGAACACAACTCACCTACTCTCCTCCAGCAGCCGTTTGTATGTAGAGACCTCAGGCCAGTCCATTACAGACTACAGCGGGGTGCCGCAGCTCAAGGAAGAACATTTATGATCATTTCTTTATCATTTCCTTGAAGTAATAATCACCATATTAATCATTTTACAGACGCGGTAGTTCTTCTGCCTTAGTATCTCAGTCTGATTGTATTTCCATGAAGAAATGATCATAAATGTTCTTCCTTGAGCTGCGGCACCCCGCTGTAGTCTGTAATGGACCGGCCTGAGGTCTCACTACGAACAAGCGTCTGCTGGAAGAGAGTAGGTGAGTTGTGTTTAGTCTCTTTGCTAAAGAAATGAGTCAAAGTTAAAAAGATGTTTGGTGTCTAGTACTATGTCTGTGACCCTATATGTCCTGTTGATGAAGTTAGGTGCTGTTCTGAGCATTATTTGTGGCTATAGTGTGGCGTTTTGGTTGAGGGCGTGGCTCTCTGTATTTCTATCCTGCGGTCGTTACTAAAGTTGGTATAACTAGAGAAGTAAGCGGTCGGCAACATTCATCTCTGGAGGGGGGGTCTAACTCGGTGTTACGGTGTTTTTGACCCTAAATTAATTTTACGTTGTAATATCCCTTTAAAGTGCTGACATGAGGGTTTTCATGGACGCCTGTATGAGATTAAAAAAAAAGAGATTTTGGAGCGCAGAATCATGAAAATTAACAGAAAGTGACCCCGACATTATCCGATCCCATCCATGTCCCCCTGGAGCTTCAGTAGATCCAGAGATTCAGGACTCTGTCGACCTCTGAGTTAACAAATCTACTCCGATATAAAAATAAACACAAAAAGAGTCTCCTCTGCTTCCTGTGCCCCTCAAACAGCTGCTGCGTTTTACTTCCTGGACGCCTCACTGCGAGGAAAGTGGGCTGCCAACAATGACATCATCATCCTGCACCAGCAGAGGGAGCCGCATCAGTATCACCACGATCTGCACTGTAATCGTCCTTTCTTCACCCCACAACATCATCATCCCTCTCTCTCTCTCTCTCTCTGTGCCTGCATCCAAAACATTTCAGCATGCCGTCCGCTGAATGGACTGAACACACACACACACACATACATGCACACACACAGACGTGAAATTCACTACACAATGAATACACACAAACTGACTAACACTCATGCTTGCAAAGTGCTCCTGGCAAAAGCACAGCAAACAGGCCTCTAACCTCTTATGTCTAATGCACACACACACACACACACACATGCACACACACACACACACACACACAGTGATAGAGTGTGTGTGATAGAGTGTGTGTGCATGTGTGTGTGTGTGTACATGCCTGTGTGTGTTTGTGTCATGGCCTGTCTTTGTGCATGAGTGCTCCTGTTTGCTGGAGGACAACTGACTTGTTTATGTGCATACATCAGTGACACACACACGCACGCACACACACACACACACACACGCACAAACACACACGCACAGAGGGCCTCATTGTGTATTTTTGTCTATATATGAGAGAGAGAGAGAGAGAGAGAGAGAGAGAGACATAGAGAGATTATGGAGCTATTCACTGTGCTGTGCTGGCAGGTATTCAGGATGTTTGTGTGTGTGTGTGTGTGTGTGTGTTTGTGTCGCCTTTGGCTGAGATAGAGAGAGAGAGAGAAGGAGAGAGAGGGAGGCTGGTCTGTAAAGGTGGAGGAAGAAGAGCAGAAGAAGAAGAAGAAGAAGAAGAAGAGGAAGGAGGAGGAGGAGGAAGAGGAGAAGGAGTGAGGAGGGGGAGGGGTCAGGCTACATACACAGCCTTTTCGGCAACTCCCGCCAGAGCCGTGGTTGCTATGGCGACGGGGCGAGCGGAAGCAGAGCCTCCCTCGACATATCCTATTAGGGTGAGAGAGAGAGAGAGAGAGAGAGAGAGAGAGAGAGAGAGAAAGAAAGTTTGAAAGAGAAAGTGGAGGAAAGATGGGAGGAGGAGATAAAGGTGTGTGTTTGTGCGCGTGAGTGAGGTGTGTGTGTGTGTGTCCGCCGCTAACTTCTACACAAACTTGACCTCCTTCCAGCGCCGTCACCTCCATCCTAAAATCATTTCAGTTCCTCTGAGGAGGAGCTGAGAAACCGAGACTCAGCAGAAGAAAAGATCGGATTTTCAGGAAGCTCTGTGATTGGTCGTTATTGAACATTATTTAACGTTTCACGCCCTTTTAAGAGGGGGCTGATGGGAAAAATATTCTAAAAATGCACTTTGGAGTCAAACACATGCTGTCCCTGTTCCAACACGACGGCTTTACGCTCCTAAACTGAAAGGTCTGACAGTGAGGCTCACACACGTCCATCTGAGAGTTTGTCGAAAGTCTTACCTCAGGTCGACCTTTAAACTGTAAACACAGACACATCCAGATCCACACAAAAGGACATTGTTCTCCGTCACACACAGATCAGGAGCCAATCATCAATAACAGCAGCTTAGAACCGCTGTGACCCCAGATGGAGCTCAAAGTTCAGTTCACACAGATTAACAGGAAGTCGTTAAATCAGAGTTCATCATCAGAGCCTCATCAACGTCAATCCAGACTAAATGACAGATTAAACGTCCAAAACATTTACGATAAGCTGACAAACAAACACAAAAAAGTGAATAATTCAAAGTTACACCTCTCTAAAACCAAACAACGAGCTGAGTATGTGTCCTGATTTGTTCGTTAAACTCCCCTGTAGTGTGTGAGAGGTAGAGCTGGTCGATATGACCTCAAATCAATATCACGATATATTGATCAGTTCACCTCGATAACGATAAATGGACGATAACTCCTCCACCAGCTGCTCACCCCCTCCCACATTAACTTCGTCTACTCCAGCCGCTACAACTTTCTCTCCGTCCTCCATCTCCTCACCTGTCTTTCCCTCTTTGTTACAGACTGGATGGGGTGGAGTCACGTCTCTGACATAGGACAGCGTCTTAAAGGGACATGAGACCATAGCCTACCTACACACATCCAAAACCTACTTTGATTCATTTATTTATATGACACCAAATATATCGATATGGGCAAAATGACATCGGTTATTGTCATAAATTTCAGAATTGGTAAATTTTCGGTTTATCGCCCAGCCCTAGTCAGACACTTCCCTCATTGATATCTTCCATTATTTTGCATGTCTTAAAAAATGATGCATCACAAAAGTAACCAATGAGGTTATCACCGCAGAAAGAAGACGCTAAAATAAAGAAGGCTAACTGACTGTAAAACCCACTAGCTTTGTTAGACCGACAACTTCTCTTTTATAAACTCTGAAATTGTTTCTAAAAAATCGAGGATATTTTTACTCCTATAGAGACAATCAGGGAAAATCTGTGATGGTTTATCAAATTTAGTGAAATAGTGACACAGAATTTTTGCCACTAAATATACCGATATGGGCAAAATGAAGTTGGTTATTGTCATAAATTTCGGTATCAGTAAATTTTCGGTTTATCGTCCAGCTCTTGCACGAGGAGAGAGAAATAAGCCGATCGAACCGAAATGATGTTTGTATCAGGCTGTAAATGTGTGAATTTCTGCTGTAAAGATCGGCTTTTTTGAATGAGTGTGTGTGTGGTTTAAGGTACTTTTGAAGCCAGCCTCTAGTGGACACTCGAGGAACTGCTCTGTCAGAAAATTCTGAAAATTGGTTTAAGGAGGCCGTAACACGCAGATCCAACTAACTTCTTGGATCTTTTAAGTGATAATCGATCTTTTAACGGTGGAAACAGGCGACTAATTTCCTCGTAAGAGTCTCTGTCGGTAAATCTCGATCTAAATGAGTTCAAGTAAAAGTGAAATTAGCGTCCTTGAGTTAAAGCAGAAGGAAAACCGTTGGATTGGACTTGAGTTTAAGAGTTTGAGAAGAGGGCCGAGAGGATCTGCTGCCTTCAGACTTTATCTTTGGAAGGAAAACTCCACTCCCCTCTGCTCATGGCAGCCGCAGAGGTGTGGTCAGCGCACACACACACACACACACACACACATGCACACACACACACCCTTCTGCTTAATGATCCCTTACGCAATACAACTCCACCCAGCCCCCACCCTAACACACTAACCCAAACCATGCCACAACACAACACACACACACACTCACATACGTGGGGCTCTGCAGGACCCTTCCCCCCATTTCCTCGAACCCTTTCTGCCTTTTTGAAGACACACATAAACTCTGCCTTTTCCTCCGACATTAAACAAACCAAAGATAGATGATTCCAATCAGCAGGTGAAAAGTTCGGGTCAGTTTACGGGCCGATCTCGACAACGAAAAACTCCCTCGATCCACATCGTATCCAACTATCTGCACCTGGAAGATTTTATAAGCTACAACATGAAAGTGAAAGCAAATAAATCAAATCTGAGGCCATAAATCTGTTGAAGAAACTGTGAGTTTGGGTCGTGACCACACAAAACGCTCAGCAGAATCTGTCAACCAACAGAACCAAAAGTAAGAGACTCTCTTGATCTGCTGATCTGGTGTTTTCAGCTGAATTTTCAATGTTGCGTCGCAGATTTTCGCCAAAATACAAACATGTTACTGCGGAGTAAAAGCGGCCCTAACACGGAGCCCGGGGGAACTCCGCACATTAAACTACCATTCACAAAATTAACAGCCTTTTGTGTTTCATCTGTTTTCACAGATAGGAATCCAAACAGATCGAGTCTGTGCCACTAAATCAAACCCGGCATCTCTGAAGAGCCAGAGGGGACGTCTCTCTGGCCTCCTCGCTCGTCTGAGTAGATTGATAGCTTTCTATGAAAAGTATGTGGCTCTGAAATATAAAACATACATGATCTATGAACATGGTTTAGTGTAACTTTGTGGATTTTTAAAGTTGAAACATCTTAAAATCCTCTTGGTTAGATCCATCATGACCCTCGTCTGCCTCTTTCTCCGGGTTTCCTCTCCTTCCTCTCTCCACGTCAGCTCCGTGTGTCAAACCTGGCATCTCAACAAATCTAGTCTGACCTGATTATGTGACCCGGAGCCACAATTTAGCCGTGATGCTTCTGAAATCTGACATCCAACCACAGCGGTAGGTACAGGAATGCCATCTGTGTCCGCTGGGGATGAGGAGAAGCCGGTTTCCTGTCCTGTGTTCGACTTCCTCCTTAACTTTTCCATCTATCTCTCCTCCCAGACGCACCACACCCTCCTAATCGAGCCGGTCCTGCCCATCCCACATTCTCACATACCATCACGAATGAGAGATCAAGTCTGCACTCTGCCTCATGGTCGGCTCTGGATTTGGAGGATTTCTAGGATTTGGGTTCAGGTTGTTCAGGAGAATCAAACTGATTAGATATGGAAAATAAAAGTACTGTGCCGACTTAACAGAGAAGTGATTGAGTGTCTGACCGGTCTGAGAGTTAAAACTGAGTTCTGATGAGCCAATGTCAAAGGTGAGGCTCATATATATCAGTCATAGTCCAGATTAAAGTACTTTTACATTTAGAATAGTTATTTGACAGAAGCAGCAAGACTATAAACTCAACTCTACCGCTTTGGCTCTTTCTATACCAGCAGGAAATGAGCTGGATTCAGGGTTTCCAACATGGCGAACACCATTTTTCAGTGTAAGGATGGGAATCAAGAACCGGCTCTGGTTGAGAACCGGATCCACATGGTTCAATCCATCGATATCATTTACATTTTATCTTAACGATTCCTTTCTTCTCAGTGTCATGAAAACGGTCTCGTGAGAGCCGGTCTACGCGAATGGAAACAGAGACAGAGCGGACGGTACGAAAAGTCGGCAGAAACGATGTTAAGCGAGGTTTAATTTAACTTAGAGAGACGACAACAGAGCAGTGATGTTGAGCAGCGATAACACGCAAAGGTGGAAACACCAGCAACATTTGTCAACGGGGCACGGCATCAAATCTAAGGAGTCACATGTATTTGATGCTCTCCGTCACACGTCAGCTCTCTCTGCCTCTCTGCTCACTTCTAAGCAAAACCACTGACGTGACACACTAATGCGCTGTCTTTGGGATTTCAGAATAATGTGTTAAACTGAGTTACAAGTTCATAGAAACACTCGACCCGATCAAAAAAAACCTCCAAATTTTATTCTCAGACTCTCACTGAAGGTGTCAGACGTCTGTTTCTGTTTTAGAGGCTCAATAAAATTTTGAGTCAAAGGTAAAAAACTTTTTTTTTTTAATCAGAGAAAGGGAATCGTGAATCATTAAAGAATTGAATCGATAAAGACATCGATATCGATAAACTCTGATCAATTCCCGTCCCTACTCGGATGACGTCACTTCGACTACATCCATATTTATACTGAAGCGTTAGCACGGACCAGCCTCCGACATTCCCCACCTACATCTCTGAACCTCAGACTAAAAAACCTCTTCCTGTTTGGCCTTGAAGCTTCTCCGATAAAAAACAGAGTCAGTAGTCCCGCCCCCCCCACCCCCCCTCGGTGCTAGGCGACATAATCCAGCAACGCCACTTTCCCTTATCTGTCCACACCCTCTCCACCGTCCCTACAATCTCTCCTGTCGCCTTGTTTGTGTCCTCGCCATCGGATCGTCTCCTTCTATCCACAGTTTCTCCTCCCGCTCCGTTTTTTTCCTCCTCCTTTCTTCCTACATCACCTGTCCTCCCCCATCCAGCTGACACCACCCACCCCCTCCTTCCTCGCTCAGTCTGTTTTCTAGGTTAATGGCTGCTATGGCGACGGGCCTCACCTTATCATTACAGCTCACACCCTTGATTCTGTAGCCTCTCCCGTCTCCCTCTATAACAGAGAGCGTGGAGCGACCAACGAGCCGACACTGGAGATAGAAACGTCAAAGGTGGAGCAGCACGCCAGCTCAGCCGCAGCCGCCGCCGCAGCAGTGTGCAAACACTCCCAGAGTGTGTATTATTTATGATTACACTTAATTATCATTCATAAACTCCATCCACCAACCATCAGTGAGTCCCTCATTAGTCAGCAGACAAACGCTCAGAGGGTTTGACTTCCTCTGTCGGACGGTTTACAGGGAACGATAAAGACGATTTCAAGAACATAATGTGACCTTTTGGGGAACAAGAGGCGGGGAATAACACGATTATAAACGCATAAAAGTTATGGGTGTAATCCACCGTTAAATGCCAACACGAGCGTTAATCACCCTGGAAACTCTCGTCACGTTTAAAACGGCGAATACAGACACAAACCTCCACTGTCAGCTACGATACGTTCACGGATCTGAGCTGCAGAAGTTACGATAAAAACACAAAAACAACAACTCTACAACAAATTAATGAATTCAACTGTTAGGAAGTTTCTTCCTTCTCATGAACACGACTGACAAAAGGTAAAAACATCACCGAGGTTCTTTGTAACCACCTGACTGATTTAAAAGCTTGATCCTGATTGGGCAAAACCCAAAACATGGTTGTTATTAATTCAAAATAGCGATCATAAAAATCCAAAAACAAGGAAACAGCTAAGCATGATATTTATTTTCAGTTGACATCTAACCCCTTTAATGGGAACATTGCCCTCACCAAGATGGCTGCCACATAGGCACGTAGCTAAGCGGGCTACTACAGCGCACTGGCTTATCAAGTTTTTTATCTGTGCGAACGAGAGCCTCGCGCTCCAAGTCACAACCTCAACAAGAAACACAAGATTTCCACGCAGGTATTTTGAAGTTAAATACTGAGTTTGTTTTTTTGTTTTCCGATTTTAATGATCAAAATGAAAAATGGGAAAACGGTTTATTTTCTGTTTTTTCATTTGAAAACGAAAATCCGTTGTCCGCCAAGTAAACCGACCCACTCTGTACTTTGGGGTCTTTTGGATGACCTCCAGCTAACTACTCCTTTACTTTGTAGAGTCTCTTGGTGTTGTAATCAAGTGCATCACATTCACCGATCTTTCTTTAAATGTATTTACTCCTTTGCGATAAAATACGATAAACACTGTAGACGCCTCCTGAAAGCAGAATTTAGGATCTGATCATTGTTCAAGCGGTCGATCATCATATTTCTGAGAATAAAAAGATAAATAAGATTAATTTTTTAATAAAATAATGTGAATTACTGCTGTAGGACGATATAAAACAAACTTTATGTTGCACAGACTCTGGAGAGAGTCGATAGTAAAATTCTAAATCAGTCCATCCATCCATGAATTATCTGTTAAATGACTGAAAATACAAAAGGAGCAGATTTACCGAGCAGTAAGAGTTTTAGGACTTTTTATATTAAAATGAGACAAAAGACGTTTTTCTGTTTCTTGTCCTTCAGCGCCTTCAGCTAAAATCGTCTCATCGATAATTCACCCGAGTTTTTTCTGTTTTAGTAGATCTGATGAAAAGGACACAGAGCGGTGGAAAATAACGCTCTCTCTCTCTCTGCTGTTGGCTCTTAAAAGTTAAAATGTTCCTCAGCATATTTTATATATTTTTGACTGATCTATAAAAACTCCTGGATCTGCTGGAAGTCGTGTCAAAGTTCACGAACAGACTAAAATAGTTCGATCCTAAAAACCAGCGGGGTCATTAGGAGACAAACGCGGTGAAACTCAGCGGCGGTTTTCAGCCTTTCTCCTTGAATACACACTCTGGTCAGAGCGCTTTAACTCGGCTCTGACCTCTGACCTCTGCTCTGTTTGTTTCATTGAGTCTGTTTTCGCTGATGCTCTGCCTGAAAGTCACTCAGGATTAAAACAAACGAAAGGTCAAAGCTGCTGCTTGAGATGCAAAAAAAAATCAAAAAGCAAATGCCAACACGCTTCAACAGCGATGAAGAGCGAGTGTTTGTTTTTTTAATCCACGCATCACTCAAAACCAGCGACACCACGACGGCCTGATCTCTGTCTCTGTCCTCCTCCTCCTCCTTCACATGTGTGTTCTGCTCTGCTGGGTTTAGAGACGCAGCCACGCCGTGTAAATATCATCACACCGCCCACTCCTTCATGGTAGATCTTCACAAATATTTCCTGTTGTTTTCACTCAGATCGCACAAGTTTCACTCAGAGGCCGGCCGCCGTTAAAGAGTCAAAGTAAAGTTGAGGTTAAAAGATCAGCTGCTGACGGAGTTTATGGACATGTTGAAATTTACTCCTGGGTAGAATCTATGAGAATCTAGATGTTGTCTACCAGATTATGAGACAGTCTGTACTTTTAGGAGAGGCCCAAAGAGTGAGCCGTGGGGGACCCCACTCATCAGACCCAAACTTTTCACTTTACGAAAAAGTAGTCCGATAAAACTGCGATGAATTTTCTCGCCTGTTAGTGTTTAGATTCGCCAACCCTGAAGTTTTCTTGAGGTGGTGTCTACTGTGAATCTAAAGAGGCCCTACAGGTGAGCCCTGAGGAACCACACATCATCTATCTATCTATCTATCTATCTAGGTAAGGCTACAGTTGATTTTTTTGGTCTGTTTTGACTTCGACACGCCCACCTGAAATATTTTCAGAGTTTTTTATCTGATGTGAGGATAAAAACTTAGTCGTGCGAAGAGTGTAAGATGTGTTGATGATGACGGCGAATCAAAAAAGGTCCCGTAAGTGACCCCTGAGGGACCTCACACTTCACGACCTGATCTGACGCCCTCGCAGTAGGAAGTGGACGCCCCTCTGATAAATCAAGTTAACCAGGTGACCTCCAGATGACCTTCATGTAAATAAAGTTCCCTCAGCTCCTGTAAACAAAGCTCTCTCTCTCTCGCTCTCTCTCTCTCTCTCTCGCTCTCTCTCTCTCTCTCTCTCTCGGTTCGTCGTCAAACGTTTGAGTAACTCTGAAGTTTTCAGTGACACCCGTTGATCGCTGAGTCACCATCAGAATAAAGATCCACATTAATCCGCCTCTTTGATCTTAATCCACATCAGCGGCTCCACCTGATCAAACACGTCTGATTAGAAGTGATGCGAGTCCGACCACACCTAACCACACCCTCCTCCTCCCTCCTCCTCGGCTCTCTCATCCATCCTCCCGCCTGTCCTCCCACACATCCTCCACCCTCTTACAACCAACCGACCAACCAACCACCTCCCTCCAGCCCCTCCCCCTCCTCCTCACCGTGCACTCCATCTCCTCTGGCTCTGGTTTGATCTGTACAGAGGGCATCTCTGTCCCGCCCTCCTCCTTCACCTCCTCCTCTTCCTTCGCCTCCTCTCTCGGCTCCTTCTCTTCCTCCTTCTCCTTCACTTGCTGTGACGCCACTTCCTCTCGCTCCTCCTCTCCGGCTTCCTCCTCCTCTTCTTTCTGCGGCGGCCGAGTCCTGGTCACCGGCTCCTCTTCCTTCTCCTCCTCCTCCTCCTCCCGTTGAGGTGGCGGGGATGACGACGGCGGCGGCGGAGGCTGTTGGGTCAGGGCGCTCTGCTTGGCCGGGCTTCTCCTCTTCTTCTTCTGGCCGCCAGCGGCGCTCTTCTTCTGCTTAGGAGTTGACTGGCACTGAGGAAGAGGAGAAGAAGAACGTGAGATAAGAGGAGGACAAGAAGGAGAAAGAGAAGGAAAGAAGGAAGGAAAAATAAAAGGATTAAAAGTGGAAGAAAGGATCAAAAATAAATGAGAAAAAGGGGAATTAAAGAGAGGAAGAAGAACGAAAGTGGAGAGGAAGGATAAGGAAGGAAGGAATCGAAGAAGGAAAAAAGTGGGAGAAGAACAAGAGGAGGAGAAGAAGAAGAAAGAAGGAGAAGAAGTAGTGGAAAGTGGATAAAAGAGGAGAGGAAGAAGAAGATGATGATGAAAAGAGGGAGAAGAAGTAAAAAAGGGGGAGACCAAGAAAGAGGAAAAGATGAAAATGTGAGGAAGAGGAGAAGAATGGTAAAGAGGATGTGGATGAGGAAGAGGAGTGGATGAAGGACAGAGGGAGAAGATACAGAAAGAGGAGAGAGAGATGATGTAAAAGATGAGGAGCGAAGGAGGAGGAGGGAAGGATGTGAAGGAGGAAAAGAGGAAACTTTTGCAGATGGAAGAGAGTAAAAAGACGAGGAGAGGAGAGGAGAGAGAGGACAAGAAGAAGTGTGAGAGAGGAAGAGGAGATAAGGGGAGATGAAAAGAGGGGGAGGGGGCTGAGCAGAAAAACAGGAAGAAAGGTTGAAAACAATGTAGAAAAAAAGAGAGAGAGAAACTTCCTGAGCAGAAGAAAAGAGGAGATCTGAGGAAGGAGGAATAAGGAGTCAGGAAGGGAGGAAGGAAGGAAGGAAACTAGGAAGACAGGTAGGAGAGGAAGAACGACAGGAAACGAAATTGGAGGGAAGAAACAGAGATGACAACAAACAACATTACCTCTGAAAGGGTTAAAAACTCTGAGAGCAGCCAGAAGGGGGAGTAAACACACAAACAGCGAAAAACAGAGAGAGAGAGAGAGAGAGAGGGGGAGAGAGAGAGAGAGAGAGACTCTGTCTGAGGGAGAGAAGATAGAAATGAAAACTAAAAAGAGAAACAGAGAGAGACAGAGGAGGCCGAGAAACAAAAGGCCTGATCCTGAGGCTGCCTGTGAGGGAATGAGAGCGAGAGAGAAATAACAGAGAGAGAGGGAGAGAGAGAGAGAGAGAGAGAGCAGGGAGGAGTAGCTGTGAAATGACCCCTCCCTCCCTTTCAGCAGCAGGCAGGCAGACACACCCTTTTCTGGAAGCCCAGAGAGAGAGAGAGAGCAAGAGAGAGCGAGAGAGAGCGAGAGAGAGAGAGAGGTGGGGAGTGTCGAGGCGGCTCAGGGACTCTCACTCCTCTATCATGAACACACCCGCTCTCTTCTTCTCTGACTCTATTTTCTGCACATGTCCACTTCTTCTTCTTCTTCTTCTTCTTCTCTGACAGTTAAAGCTCCTCCACTCCTCCAAACATGGACGTTTCTGCTCACTCAGAGACCTCACTACTTCACCTACACTGACTAAACATCCACAGAGATAAATCCTCAGTTATCTCAGAGACCGCTGGACGACAACGCCTGTTTTTCTGAAACCAAAACACTTCAAGATTCCACTAATTCACTGTCTTTTCCTCCGGACTATCAGGACGTGAACTTTGATGGAGTTTACACACGTGGTAAAAGTTGATCGACTGAGTCAAAACGGGGAAAACTTTGGTTTAAATTGAGAAAATAATCAAGTTACTATTCTTTTTAGGGCTGAAACGATTACTCGAGTAACTCGAGTAACTCGATTAATAAAATTCCTCGAGGCAAATTATATGCCTCGAGGAATCGTTTAAATCCGGAACCATGTGCAGCGCACGGTGTTTGACACGGACGGTTATTTCTGTTGCGCAGAAGCGTGCTCTTTCCGCTCCTTCCGCTGCCGCGCGTTTGGTTCAATCATGGAGGGAAACGAGGACAGACAGAAGCTGTGTCCGAAATGGCATACTGCCTGCTATCTACTTACCTACTCAAGCAGTAGCTACTGCCTACTGACTACTCAAAGATGATTTGAGTATGCCGCGGCTGCCAGAGCGTTTACACACATACATACTAAATACCCCAGAATGCATTTCGTGCCGGCCGGACGCAGCGCCGGGAAAATTTAAATAGTCCTACCACAAGCTACATAGAACGACTGCATACCGGACAAATTATATAAATTCATTCAATAATAATATTTTTTCTAGCGAGAAAGTAAGTGTTTACATCACGATTATGAGCCCAGTTGTTTGAAATAGTGGCTGTTTGTAAATTTGTCTCGGCGTTTTCGGAGACCGAAGCGTCCACTTGGTCGGTGTTTGCGTCTATTTACCGTAAACACCGGGCAGCAGCAGCTCCCCCTTCACGTTTCCAAATTATTGCGAAGTGTTTTCATAATCAACATCTACACGACACAAACCGGGCGGCAGTGGATGAAAAAAATCACACAAACATCCGTGTATCCATGGTGATAATGCTATACACCACCTGCTAGGCGTGTGATGAGCAGCAGAGGGCTGCAAAATGACCAACACACAACAACATGTAAATAAAAATGTAACACTTTTATATATTGAATAAATGTACATTTGCTTGTCAAATTATGTTAGTATCCAAGAATTATATTATTTCAGCCTATTAATTAAACAAGTAAAATTAGATCCAAAGCCTGGAAATAGTTGTGACTGGTTTAGTGAAAACTGCAAAGATCATTACCATAGCAATTAAAAGACCATCTGCAGACCTTGCCTTCAGTAGTTTCATGTGAACTACATGGTAAAATGTAAAACTTTTGGTTCCTGATTTATGCAGTAAAAATATTCATTTGAAAGACCTGGCCTATTTCAGTTTTGTGTGTTACTGATGGTTTTTAATGCAAAGTATTACAGTGAGAGCAAAACATTTCTTATCCGATTACTCGATTAATCGACAGATTAATCGATAGAGTACTCGATTACTAAAATAATCGATAGCTGCAGCCCTAATTCTTTTATTTCAAGAAAGGACTCCAGAGGTCAGCGATGCTAAGGTCAAAGTTAAGTGATAAAATAAAAAAAAAAAGGCTGTAAAAAAACTAGAACAAACATAACACAAGGAACAAAGTTGTGGTAAATGTTACTTTAAAAAAAGTCACAATTTTACAAAAACAAAAAAAAAAAAAGAAAAAGACCTGAAAGTCGTAATCTCACAGGAATAAAAAAAAATAATAATCCAAAATTATAATCTGATGAAAGAAAAATTAAAAAGTCAATTATTATTTGAAGAAAGTCGTAGAAAAGTCATAATCTTACAGATATTGGTTTAATTTAAAATAACATAAATAATGTTGTAATAAAGTCTTAAAATGCCAAAAATAAAAGCGTCGTTCAGTTAAAATATCTGGAGTTAAAAGATTTTATGTAACACAAATTAAGCCTTTGGGTAAAAAAAAAAAGGATTAAAGAGAAAAAAAGTCGGAGTTTTACGAGAACAACAGTTGTGTTAAAAGTCAAAATATTACAAGAAGAAAGTCGAATAAAGTCATAATCTTAATAATATTTATGTCATTTAATCTAAAATAAATAATAAAATCACATCTGTGCTCCTCAAACAGACAATCTCAGCCTAAAGAGAGAAACCAAACTTCTGTCAGTTTCTAAAGTAAAGACGTGGAGTCGTCATATCAGCGGCGTCTGAAATTTCTTCCTCATTTCCTTCTTTGGTTGAACTTTCAGTCTCAGTCGCCCACAGTTTGAACTCTGATGCTGATCTGCAGAAGTGGAAGTTGTAAAAAAAAAAAAAAAGAGGACTTCCTCTCCCGTCCGCTCTCTTTTTCTTCCCCTTTAAACTCAGTCGTTGCAGATGTGCGTGTGTACGCGGTCACAGACGACGTTTCAGAGGAATTTTTCAAGTTGTGGTTTAGAGAAGAAACTCCTCAGCAGCTCTTTAAATTCAGAGAAAAGTCTCCTCATGTTTAACTGACGGAGGTGATGGTAGTGATGGTGGCAGCTTTAAATAGGAAGTCATAGTGAAACCGCTCAACATCAACTCTGCCTTTCCCACGATAAAAAAGACGCTCGACTTCAAACCACTTTGACGAAGTGCTGAGTGCGCTGAAAAACTTCCTCAGTGACAAAAACATTACGGGTCAAAACAGCATAATAGGAAAAGTTTATGTAAGTCAACTTATGTTTTATTAAACCGAAGACGTAGATCAGCATCAAAGTTAGCGAGGAAACCTGAAGTGCATCTTAAACTTGGAGTTCTCAAACTTTTGCAGATTTTCAGTATTTTTGAAACTAATTTTCTGTAACCTTCATTTTCATATCTGCTGACTTTAATATTGTTCTTCCCCTTTTATAACTGAAAGCATGAATGTGCGCTCCGACGGCCCGCTCATGGACGGAGGTTTATCGCTCATTTCCCTGATCCTGCTCACAGACGGGGAGCGGAGGTGGAGGGTTAGAGGCCGTCATGTGACCCGGCTCCAGTGGATTCCTCAGTGAGGTGTGGCCTGAGTCAATCAGCCTGGGTGTGGCCGCGCGGACCTCCCCTCCCCCCTCTAACACACACACAGACTCACACAGAGCGGACACACAGTGGACTCTCAGGCCTATTGTGAGTGGACAGAGCCCCCTCTGTGTCTGTAAACAAAGGTGAAGGCAGCTTCATGTCACACCTTCCCCCCCCTGACCGGCAGCAAACACACAAAACCAGGATCTGAGGTTACAACAAACAACTCACGACGATATGTGATTTCTGATTTTAAAGTTTCATTAAAAAAACCGACTCTCTGTTCAAAAATACAATCCTGAACATTTCCAGAAAACTTCAGCCTGACCCTAAAATTCAACGACCCTCATTTCTCCCTCGGAGGAAGAACTGAGGAGGCGGGGTCTGAGGAGACAGGACAGAGCTTGGTGGGGTCCTCTGGTGGTCAGTATTGTTTTACTGAAGACCCTCTCAAACGGTCACAAAGTCCCTGAAAAAGTCCAGAAATTACCCTGTGGGTGACAGAGACATCCGACTTCTGAGATCTGCAGAAAAATTGACCGACTTCTCTCTCTGTATCGTCACAGCTGCTCGGACAGGTCAACGTAGTTTTATGGACCAGGATATGATCCTCAGTTTTGACCCTCTTAAAATTCAAGGGCAGCATCACTGAAGTCGATCTTTATCCTCAGCTGAAGGAAAAGTCTATAAAGTTGGAAGTTTGAGCAAATATCTGTGTTTGACTGAAGCTGGCGGTGGAGTTTCACCCTCCAGCTGTGCCGTCTGCAGCCTTCAGCTCTTTCCAGCAGACAAAAACAAATCCTCCCCGCTCAGAAGTGTCTCACACTCACCTAAAAATGTCAACAATGGCGCTTTCATAACTAAAGGACGGGAGGATTTGTTTCATGTCTGACTGTCGAAAACCAAATCTGTTTTATGGAGAAACTCTGGTTTTTATTCGCCGAAGAAAAACTTCTTCAATCAAGAGAGAAAAACACCGAAACAGAGAGAGAGAATCTGCGCCGCGATGGGACTGAAGGAAACCTGATTAAACCAACTTTAACTTATCTACTGAGCTGAATAGATCTACCATGAAACGAACCAGTCAAACCGAATTATCCAGGAGTTCGGACATGGGTAACGATACTCAGTTAAATGAAGCAAACCTTTCCGAAAACAGAGAACAGCTCCCTCTCTTGGCGGGAACAGGAAATCCTTATTTGCCACATTAACGATGGAGCTACAGCAGGTTTAAGATTTCTGTTTTTGACCCTTGTTACTTAGCGGATCTGAATTTAACTGATTCGTTTACAGAGAACTTCACAATGTCATAAAGTCCTGGTACTTTTTGTTTTCAAAGTAAAAGCCTGATTTTATATGTTTGCGTGTCCTGAACTCTCCCGCTGTCTTCTCCTCTCAGGTTGTGGGAGTAAACGCTCCGCTGTCAGACTTGGATTGAGCAGGATTTGTAAATCCTCCCTCACCGTTTGTTTTGACCTAATCTGGAGCTCCAGCTGGGTGGAGTTGAGACGGAGCCACGTCCGCAGTAAATCACAGAGAGAAGAAGAAGAAGAAGAAAAACTCGGTGAATTTAAAATCATCAGAACTTTCTGAAGTTCAGCCACCGAACATAAACCACACCCACATCCTACAAACGCCAAACAGGCGGGAGCAAACACGGAGAGTCTGCAGCAAATCCCACTTGATCCACATCTGCTGGAAGACCGGGCAGCGAGTGTGTGTGTGTGTGCTGATAGCATGGTGTATGTGTGTGAGTCAGGAGTGACAAGAGTGTGTGTGTGTGTGTGTGTGTGGGTCGGTCTCTGAGAGGAGGGGTCCCACTGTGGAGTTCCAGGAATAGGGAGGGTGGGACGGCTGTGACCCTGTTGGTCTCTGATCCCACCACAGGAAGTCCGTACGGGGGGTTCGAGGACACAAAGATGATCAGACGGACTAAAAACAGGAGCTTCAGGAAACCCCAAACTTAGGGTCCGAATCCAGACACCAATCAGGTCCAGGGTTTGGTACCAGTCTGGTCCAAGTTCTCACTAAGAGGGCCAACTCAAAGTTCAGCTCATAGAGATCAAACTGATCAAGTTCACATCAACATCTGGGGATCGGAATTGATACGATTTTATCGATATCGATGCCATTATCGATTCAATTCCTTAACGATTCCCTTATCAATGTCTTCCTTTAGGTTTTCACTGTTAACTCGGAATTTTATTGAGTCTATGATAACAGAAACAGAAGTACGCCACCTTCAGTGAGAGTCTGAAATAATCAAACTAAATGTAATTTCTACAGCCTTTCTGACATGCCTTGTGTTTATGTAAACACAGGACATATGTTAGGGTGACTATAGTCTGAATCCCCAAAAAGAGGACATGACTATTCGGGACAGACTTGTGTGTGAAATTTTGAGGGTTTTTTTTTGATCGGGTCGAGAGTTTTTTAAGTGCTTCTAACTCAGTTAAACACATTATTCTGAATTCCCAAAGGCAGCGCATGCATGCATCGTGTCAGTGGCTTTGCTTAGAAGTGAGCGGAGCTGCGGAGCGGACTGATGCTCTGCACTGTTTTATGATGAGTGAATACACATTCTGGACATTTGAAGGATCTTATAAACTCCCCCAAAAGAGGACATGTCCGGGTTAAAGAGGACGTATGGTCACCCTGACATTCGTACCTTCAATGCCGTGCTGAGACGGAGCTGCAGCGGCTGACGGAGAGCGTTGAATACATGTGACTCCTTCTATCTGATGCCGTGCCGTGTTGACAAACGTTTTAGCATGTTGCTGATGTTTCCACCTTTGCATGTTATCACTGCTTGACAAACGTTGCACTGCAAATTAAGCCATGCTTTAGCTCGTTTCTGCCTACTTTTCAAACAGTTTTCCAGGTATCGTTACGATAAAATGTAAATGATATCGATGGATTGAACCATTTGGAACCGGTTCTCAACAAGAACTGGTTCTCGATTCCCATCCCTACGTCTGGAGTCCATAAAATCACCTGAAGATTCAGAGACATCTCTGCACATATGCAGCAAGGCCCAAAACCAACACTGAATGTCCGTGACCTCTGACCCCTCAGGAAGCACTGCATTAAACACCCCCGTGATCCTGTGAAGGATTTGATCACCTGGACTCAGGAAGACTTCAGAAAACCATCATCAGTTACATCTAGGAGTTCAGACTCTAGACAAAGAGATATCAGAACAGGTTTCTCTGGACCAGGGCTCCTCTGAGACTGACCCAGAGTAGATGTGTTGGTGTCCTTCAGACTGTCCTCAGGTCAAAGTTCAAAGTCAGCATCTACAGGTGACCTCTGACACTCGATCATGAGGTTTTGGTTTCTTAGTGTTGAGTTCACTCAAACAAAAACCAGAAAAAGATCCTTTTAAGACCAACTTCACAAACCAGGACTCTCTAAAAAGTGAAAAACTGCAGATCTGATTTCTTACAGAGAGAGAGAGAGGGGGAGAGAGAGAGAAAGAGAGAGAAAGAGAGAGAGAGAGAGAGAGAGAGAGGGTGGGACAGACTATCTGGGTCAGCGCTCTCCTCCCTGTCACTGCTGCCTCTCCCAAACCCCCCGGCCCTCTGAGCGTTCGTGTGTGTGTGTGTGTGTGTATTTTGGGTGGGGGTAGGGGGATCGCCCTGGTCGGCCTCGCTCTCTTCATGTCTTCATAGGATCCGCACACACGCACACGAACACACACACACACACACACACACAGACATATGCACAAGTGCACATTTCAAGTTATGCCCACACCCGTGAAGGCACACAGCGATTTCCCCGAGCAGTCACAAAAAAGCTCCCTGCACACACACACACGCACACACACACACACACACACACACACACACACACACACACACACTGAGCCCTTTTTCATCAGAAGTGCAGATGAAGATAATTTGCCTCCGTTTGGCTCCACTTTTCCGTGTCTGTCTGATCCTTTCAGAGTTTCCGTTCAGATATTTGTGATCTAATCAAATGCAGCAGCAGCAGCAGCAGCAGCAGCTTCAGTTTGGGGCTCACCGTCACTTTACAGTCAGTGTGAGAAAAGAGGAAGAAGAGGAGGAAGAGGAAGAGGAGCCTAAATATAAATAAAAGAGATGCAGGTTTCGGGTTCACTCTCAGTTCACAGCCACGTTTAACCTCCTCCTCTTCCTCTGACTACACGCCGTCAATACGGTCAGATATGAAAGAGTCGTTTCTAAGCTGCTGGATTCAGGAGCCGTCGGAGAGCAGGAGCAGCTTTATGACACCTTTGTTATGATTTCAGAGGAGAAATAAAGAAGAGGAGAGGAGGAGGTCCGCTTACACATCCACCGCTCAAGTTTCAAGAAGAACAAGTATGATGAAACTTGACTCTAATCATCTTTACACTCAGACATCAACACCGTGAAATAAAGTGGTAACACAGATTCAAACTATATGATATAGTGTTATAGAGGAAGTTTGAGCGGTGAGTAACGAGCTCAGAGCGGCTCTCCTGTTAACGTCACGTGATATTTTTGGAGACTAGAGGAGGAATAAAAATACTCCAGCTGTTACTTTATAAAGAGGAGGAGTTCAAGTTCAGGTCAGAGAGCTTATATCAGAGCTGACAAATACACTTCATGTTTGTGACACTGACACTCAGTACGTTTACATCCACAGTTTAATCCCACTAAGCTCATAGTTCGTTTTTTTCGCTGAATCAGACTTCTCTCCTTGTTGACGTGAACGTGTCCTCCTCCCCAACACTAGGGGGCGATATGGGTGTCTACAACTGCTGCTGGGCATTTTGGAGAAACAAGAAGATGGAGCATCGTACAGCGTTGTTTTTGTCCTACATGATGGACGCGCTACTTTTTCTAAAGATGAGACGAACGCTGCTCCTGGTGACATGGTAGAGAAAACCGAATTCCAATCAGAGTTCTCAAACTCCAATTATAGTCGGACTAAGGTGTTAACATGCACTTCAGTTGTCCGGTTTTAATCGGAATAAGGCGATAATTCGGTTTTCTTGAGTTTCGCGTTAACGTACTGAGTGACTTGTGCCGTCCCTTTGCTTTTCAGGCACCTTAGCGAACACACGCCTGCTCTCCTCTCCCTGCTCTCCTCTCTCTCCACCTGCAGCTCTACGACAGCACATCCGCTGTTTGAGTGGAGGGTCAGGGCGAGGGAAGGGCGCGCTTCATTTACTCTTCTGGACAAAACGTCAACATGTCAACAAACGGAGCGTCTGAGTTCATGTGTGGACGAGGCGGCAGAAAGAGGGCGGAGCCGAGGAGTTGGGAGAGGGCAGAGGGGTCAGTTCCCATTGGCTTCCAGTCGAGGATCCAAACATTGCACAACTCATGTAACAGGAGTCCCTCAGAAACACACACACACACACACACACACACACACACACACACACACACCCCGGCTCCGCAGCACGGAGGACCCCCTCTGAGAGGGAGGGAAGGAGGAAAACTCTGTGTGTGTGTGTGTGTGTGTGTGTGTGTGTGTGTGTGTGTGTGTGTGTGTCTTTAAGGTCACAAGCTTTTGGCCTGAGCTTCCTCTATATGTAATACACACATGCGTGAACACACGCCCCTCTATCCGCTCTCCCTCCCTCTCTCTCTCTCGTTCTTCCTCCTCTTTGTCCTCACCTCCCTTACTTTCTGTTACTCTGTGTGTGTGTGTGCGTTTCTGTGTGTGTGTATGTGTGTGTGTGTTAGGGCGAGGCTCGGTTAATAAGTGATGGAGATGAGACGGGCAGTTGGGTGTTTGGGCGGAGGCTGCTTCAGCGCTCCAGAGAAAAAATGACCCAACACTTTTTCCGAACAGAGCTGAGCCCTCGCTGAATCAGACACGTCTAAACTCCGTCTCTGAGATCTTTGAGATCCTCGTCCTGCAGACACACACAACACTCCGAGACCCTCTCCATGTTCCCTCTCTGCCCTGATTGCTTCTCCTCATCTGCGTATGGTGCATGCAGCTGCAGCCATCTTGCAGCGGCCTGAGGCTTAATGTAGCGAGCGGCGTCATCGCTATACTGTCCTGCAAGAGGGGAGAGAAACTACTATAGGAAGAGTCAGTGAGTCATGAAGAGGAGAGGAGCACAAGGACACACTGAGGAGGAGAGTAGAGCGGAGAAATGACCGTCAATTTTAGAATAAAGGCCAGAAACCAACGGACGACACAAGTATCTGCAAGAAAGATGATTAAAAACGTCCAAAAATCTCTAAACTGGTCAATTTAATCATATTTTTATGACTGAGGCCCTTTATGAAGTCTTTTTAATCCACCTGTACGAGCTCCTGATTAACAACTGAGTGATCCGGACAGAAATCAAAGTTAGACTAATTTTTATGACTTTAGAAGGACATCTATAACTCCATGAGAGGTTCAGAGAGCTCAGACTTGATGACCATGATGTAAAAACTGTGAACATCTTCTCACTCAGCTGTTTTATTTCTCCTCTCCTGTCCTCTAAAGTCCAATCTTCACTGAAAAATCAGTGGAGATCTACTTTATAAATATCTATGACTAAGAACAGTATATTTAGTGTAAAGCAGCGAATAAACAAACCCAAAGGGCGAAAGGTTGATCACATGACGCGGTCACATGACGTCACCTCATGCACTCCACTGCCTGTCTCTTTCTCCTTTGCTCTGTGACCTAGAAGACAAACTTATCTCCCTCCACAACCACTCCCTGACTGTTTCTCTGCCTCCACCCTCCCTCAGCGAGCGCAGACCACCACCTCTTAAAGGGACAGGGTCCTCCGGAGAGAGGGGCCTCTCTCTCTCCCCCCCTGGAGCTGAGCGCAGGGCTGGGGAAACGCTCACTGGAGAAACAGGACATGTGAACCCTTTGAACTCCAGGGGCAGACTGAGAGACGAATGTACCGAGTGACCATGAGCTCAGGTCAGCGTGGATAAACCGGGTCTGTCGGTGGTTCTGAACAATCATGGAGGGAGACAAAAACGATGTTCCTGGAGCTAAAAACAACTTTTATTTTTACAACAGGTGTCCTCTGACTACCAGGTGAACAACGACGCTGCATTTTTCCCCTTAGCTCCAGCAAGCCCCGCCCACAAACAGACGCTCCTGCTCGCTCGTATCGTTCCAATTAAATTCAGATATAATGCAGATAAATCCTTCAGATCATTACAAATGGGGCCCAGTCAACGTGAAAGTAAAAAGCATTGGTGCTACTGTAGATGCCAACAGACTACCAGCAAACACAATGTTTGCAGGACTTCTACAACGAGGATAAAGTGACATAGTCCAGGACCCGAGGGAGGACAGTTTAGCGATGGCGCTACAACACGCTACAGCAGGTCCGTTTGACAAGAAACACTTCTGTTACAGACACTTGTCTTACTTTGTTAAAGCGGTTTACCTGTCCAGCAGAAAGGTTACAGGGTCACCAAGATCCCCAAGCGTCCCCCATGGTTTATGTTGACCCGGCTTTTTAGCTCTTGTCCGGTCTACCTCCGTTTTAAGCGCCCGTTATTCCTCCAGAGTCTCCGGTATTTACTTTGTTTTCTTGCTTGTGTCGGCAGTCGTGGCCAAAGGAGGATTCAGACAATTTTCCGAACTTTCTGGTTGGTTTCTACTGTCCGATATTGTAGCACGCTAACTTTGTTTGGGCTCCTGAACGACACGGGGGAGCGGCGTCTGCCTCACAACCAATCAGGTTAGAGGAGGTGGAGAACGGCTTTGTTTACAGTCAGAAAGAGCGGACCGCTCAAAAATGTTCAAATGTTGACGACACAGACATAAGAGAACACAGAGATATCGACATATTACCAAATGTCATCAATAACTAATAACTATTGACTGATATTAAAAGCTGTTTTGTAAATACACCTACACCACCTTTAACATTAATGCACACAACAGCTTTTTGACTTTCTGAACACTCCTCCTGCAAAGCGACTTTTGCGTGATACTTGATTTTTGCAGGTAAGTGAGCTCCATGCTGAGGCGAGGGAGTGTGTGTCGTTTAAATCTGACTGATTTCACTCTTCAGAACTATTTCAGTCAGGATTTTTCCAAAGTAAGAAAGAAGGTAGAAGGTAGAAATCCGTTTTCAGACGTGCTCTCTGAAATGTACCTGCCTCATTCACCCTCACAGAGCGGACTTTGCTCAGAGGAAAGCAGCATCACCTGGACAGTTTTAAAAAAAGATATCTCCAAAACTACACACACACACACACACATGCATGTAAACACACACACACACACACACACACACACACACTCCTGCAGGCTCACACTGAAGTGCAGAGAAAGTCAAAACAGCAGCTGACGGCTGTCTTTCAGCTCTGACAACAACAGGAGGGGTAAGTCAACAATGTCCAACCAGCCGTGTTTATAACCACGGGGTCAAAGGTCATCGCTGTTGCACAATATTGGCTGTCTCCCAGAGGACATGAGAAAAAGTTACACCCAGATAGAGAGGGAGAAAGAGGGAGAAAGAGGGAGAAGGAGGGAGAAGGAGAGTGAATGAATCTCAGATTTTAAAAATCAGAAACAGGAAGAACGATGATCTTGATTCAACGCTCTGATATTTCTCATTAATTTATCTCTTGGCTGAGTTTCTCTTTCCTTTGATTTTGTTCAACAAAACCTGTCATGGACTATTTTTTTTTACCTTCTGCCTCGTTAAAATCCGCTGGTTCGATTAGACAACGGAGGATAATTTACAGTCCACATTACTCTGCTTCATGTCCGACCTCCAAAAACCAAAATACCTCCACACCACCGACGTTTTCCTAACGCCAGTGTTGTGGTTGACATTGATGTGGTCATCTGTTGAGCCTTCATGGTCATTTCTGTCGGGGGTAGCACTCATTTTCTTTGTTTCTCACCAACAGTGCTGTCGGCTTCACCTGTTAAAGTGCTATGGTTGGGTGGAGCTGCTGTCTGCTACGACGCTGCAGTTGGTTGATACTTGGTTCTAATTCAGAACATGATTGGTTCAGACCCAGAGAAACTCCCCTTTTCATTGGCTGTTTGTATAGTCGACCAAAACATGGCAGAATGATGACTATCTAAAAGGATATTGACCGTGTTTTATATCAATATAGAGTGAAATAAATTTTCGACATATATCGTTATCGTTTTATCGCTCAGCCCTATTCTGATGTTTGAGGTCGTATCTGATCCTCAGCCTGAGTGTTGTCCTCACACGCACAGATGTTCACAGATAAATCAAATGTCTCACATCAGCTGGAAACACTCATCATACATAATTAATGTCTTTTTTTCCAGCATGAATCAAAAACTCTCTTTTTCTTACTTCACCTAGATCTGTACCTGGACTCTCTCTATTATAGAACATCTATGATATCTCCATCATAGATTCCCGCTCTTCTCAGTTATTCTGATATGAATCAGCCCTCACCTGTAAAAATCATCAGAGTGGTACCTGAGAGAAGTTATCATCACACACAGTTTCCTTTCTGAGACTGAATTTTTTTACCTCATTTTTGTGACATCTGTGAGAAAAAAACGCTGCGGGGGGATCTGACCGAGAAACTGTCGAGGAATCCTGTAACGCTGGTTCGTTTGCAGAGAAAGTGCAGCAAATAAGACCTGAGACGGGTCCTTTAAGGTCCTCTAAGACTGCATCGTCTTTTTGTGATTTAAGTTTCAACCTTCTGATGATATTAGAACCTAAAATCTGACCTAAAATGGAGATGCATGTTTGTGATCTGTTCCTGTTGCTTCGTCTCAGCCTCTGACCTCTGCCTCTCTCTCTCTCTCTCTCTTTGTGTTTGTTTTCCAGATGTTTCCCTGGTTTTCCGGACTGTTCCCAGGTTGGATCTGCATTTTTTTCGGCTCTCGCTGTTTAGACTTGGATTATTCGGCCTCATGTTGCTGCTGCTGATTGGCTCGTTTATGGCCGACAGATGCTTTGAGCTGGCATCAGGCCCAACATGACCCAGGGAGGAACCATCCAGTGACTTCAGACCTCCTCTGTGATGAGTTTGCATCATTTCATCTTCTCACTTTTAAACGCAGAAGAACAGCGACATGTCGGTGCGCTGGTGTCTCTTAAGATACTGTAAAACAAAAACACAGCTTTGCACTGGATATCTGCAAAGAAGTGCAGCGAGGAACTGGGTGTGTCTCCATCAGAGAGAGAGAGAGAGAGAGAGAGAGAGAGAGAGAGAGAGAGAGAGAGAGAGAGAGAGAGAGACAGAGAGAGAGAGAGAGAGAGAGAGACGCCTGGCTGTTATCACACCACACCCTGTTGACGCAAAGTCGGGCACCACTTCCCTACACACCCTCTTATCCACACAACACACCCCAGACCAAGTTTAAGTACTCTGCAGTCATTTAAATACAAGCTACCCCGACCCAACATATATGCGTGCACATGCACACGCTGACACACACTGACACACACACATATAACTGCATGAGCGAGCGTGCCTGAACCACAGAGCTGTGGTTAGAGCACTTCTCTGAACTTAAAGCTCTTACAGGCCGGAGGAGGAACCTCAAACATGAGAGAGTCCGTGCAGACACACACACACACACACACACACACACACACACACACACACACACACACACACACACACACACACACACACACACACACACTCATCAGGGGAACTTTTTAAACCTTAATTATATTGGAAGGGCAATTCTGAAATGTCTGGATGGTAGAAGCCACATTTTTCTCATGGTTGATGAACGGAAGCACATCCAGAAGACTTGTTTACATTTTATCCATTGTGACTACATCCAGAGGGCACCTTTTTTGTTGAACATTGTATCTACTGGGGGGCATCCAGATTGTGATGTTTTATGAACTCGGAGGACAGCCAGAGGACACTTTTAAAAGTCAATCTTACTAGAAGGGCATTCTGTTTTTTTTTCAATGTTTTGTACACCGGAAGTGTATCCAAAGAAGAATTTAAAAATTTTCACATCCTTAAGGAAAATCCAGAGGATGTTTTTTGTGATGTTTCATATACTGGGAGGACAGCCAGACGACTCTTTTTTAAAGTAAATCTTACTGGAAGAGCATTCTGAGGACATTATTTCAATTTTTTGTACACCAGAAGTGTATCCAGAGGGTTTTTAAAAAAAATTTACATTTAGGACGCTCTTTCACATTTAACAGCCTGGAGGGGCATCCAGAGGGAGATGTTTAAGGTTTAGAAACTAGAAGAACATCCAGAGGGCAGGTTGTTTTATCCTCTAGAGGAGCAGCTACTCAAACAATTTTCCACGAAAAAGGAACCAGAGAGAACATTTTATAACCTCTTTTATATTTAGGTCAGGAGCGTCCAGGAGGTTCTTCTGCAGCTGAGGTGGTAATTATCTGAACCTCTCAGACACAGGACTGTATGTCCAGTACAGAGGAGACCACTAAAGTCCATGTTAGCATGTTATAGTTAACGTTTTCCTTATATTTAGGAGATAACCGGAGTCTAGATCTCAGGAGACTAAAACGTTTCTAAAGATTTAAGAGGACTCCTCAGGACCTTCTGCCCTGGTAAAAAAAAACTGTCCCTGAAACATTTTCCCTCCTCCACAAAACTTTACAGTAAGCACCAGGCAGTCTCAGTCTGCTGCTGCGACTGCCCTAAAAGGAAGCCAGTGTGTGTGTGTGTGTGTGTGTGTGTGTGTGTGTGTGTGTGTGTGTGTGACAGCCTGTTACAGCATCACTATCTGAGGGCGACAGCGGAAAACTGAAAGAACAGGTGTGAACACACCCCAAACACAAGATCACCACTCAGATACAAATACAGAAAAACACAGAAAAAGACCCACAATCCTCCATGTTTCAGAGTCTGGGTTCAGTGAGGGTTTTTCAACAGTCACTTACACGTTTGTTAAATTTCTCACTCAGACGACGTCTCTGTGTTATTGAAGAGGGCTGGAGATGAGGAAACGTAGTGATTTCACTTTTCTTTAAACAGTCAGAGACGTTTTTTAGATTCTGGTGGTCCAGATCTACAACCTCAACCCTGAAATCTGTGCTGAATTTATCCGCCATGCTCCGGCGTCCAGAAAAAATAGAACTCTTGTGATCAGCTGAGGAGTCCGGCGATCCGCAGAGGAACGTAAAGAAGTCGGTGTAAATTGACACGTTAACTTGAATGGTTACGATCGGAGGATACAACCTTTTCAAAGCCGGATTTCATAGGATGCGGTAGAAATCCTGGGTAAACTTTCTCCATAAATGTTGTATTTGCAATATTTGTGATTGGCAAACACCGAAGTCTGTTTTAATCAACATTTAACGAAGCGTTGTGACTCTTTTAGGAACTCTGGTGTTAAAAATAACGAAGTTTAGACCCAAACATGAAAAAATAAACAGGTTGAAGTTTCTGAGAGGTGAGGATGTTTTGGGTTTCGTTGAACGGAAACCTTCGTGGTCATGGGACCTACGACCTTTATCACCTGTTCTTCACCTTGTTTCCACTTCCTGTTTCATCTCCATGACGATGACACACTTCAGAGCAGCGTGGAAATAAAATTGATTTGATTTCCTGTAAATCCTGACGGTGTGTTTGTGGATCTCCTCTAAAACTGTGACCTGATTATCACGTTGGAGACACACCCTCTCCACCTCCATCTCCACCCAACCCCCTCCCCTCCTTCACCACCTTTTTTCTTCTCCTTTCCTTCCTCCTTCACTTCCCCCCTCCCCCCTTCTCCCCCTCCCTCCCCTCCCACGTCCCCCTTTTCTTTTCATTGTGGCCGTTTTGGCAGCGCGGACGTGGTTGCCATAGCTACGAGATTCTTTTCCCCCTCCGTTAATGACTGTGGCGTGGTTGGTAGGGGGTCACTCTCCTCCACCACCACCGCCGCCGCCGCCACCGCCACATCAAGGCCTAATCTGAGGTGACACAGCCAATATCCTCACAAACACACACACACAAATACACACTAGCATGCTGCAAACATTCACCAGAGCCCCATGACAAGAATGTGCGTGTACACAAGCGCATGCACACACACACACATACACATACATGCTGAACAGGCCCCACCCCTCACCACCCTCCAATCACAGCACACACACACTCATTCACATAATTCTCAGGCACATTCCCACCCGAGGCACACACACACACACACACACACACTGAACTCCAATAATGAGCCTTTACTCATACGCTAACACACACACACACACACACACACACACAAACACACATACTCACACACACACACACACAGAAACACACACTTCAGCACCAAAGCTCCTCCGTTCCTGTTCCCTTCATCGTCAAACGAACAAAGAGTCACAACTTTCCTGCAAACATCATGACGTTCGGCTCCACGAGTCGCACCGACCGACTGAAAGTTTCTCCAAAGTTAAAGGGATATTCCGGCGTTAAATTAATTTAAGGATAGCAATACAGAGAGCCACGCCCCCAACCAAAACGCCACTCTATAGCCACAAATAATGCTCAGAACAGCACCTAACTTCATCAACAGGACATATAGGGTCACAGACATAGTACTAGACACCAAACATCTTTTTAACTTTGACTCATTTCTTTAGCAAAGAGACTAAACACAACTCACCTCCTCTCTTCCAGCAGACGCTTGTTTGTAGAGAGACCTCAGGCCAGTCCATTACGGACTACAGCGGGGTGCCGCAGCTCAAGGAAGAACATTTATGATCATTTCTTCATGGAAATACAATCAGACCGAGACGCTAAGACAGAAGAACTACCGCGTCTGTAAAATGATTAATATGGTGATTATTACTTCAAGGAAATGATAAAGAAATGATCGTGGTCATAATGACATTACAGAGGGAAAATGAGCGCCGCCCTCCTGTAAACTAAGCGAGTAGCGATGTTCACGGACTGACTCTTACGAGCAACTTGCAAAACACGAGTTCGGCGGGCGTGGAATGACTGACAGCAGGGATAGCCAATCACACAAAAAGCAGCCAAGGACCTTGCCGGCGGTCCAAACTGAGGGAAACCAGTTTTCGGCTTGAGCGGCTGTTTGGTCCTAGTGCCTGACGTGTATCGGTTTGCTATAGCGTGAAGTAATATTGTTTTCAGATGGTTAAAACTGCAGGGGACCAAAACGGACTTTTGAAAAAGTGAGTTACGTCCATGGTTGACCGCCATGTTTATTTCGTCTGCCATCATCTTTAAATGCGAGAGATTTTATGAAAGTTCATGAAAGTCTCGGACCGCTACGGCTAACACGCTCCAAACAGCGGCGGCGTTTAGATGCAGGCTGCTGCGTCTCCATAGTCAATAAGAGTCTCAGAACTTGAGTCGGTGTGAAAGCCTGATGTTTGATACACACACACTTGAAAACCTACATTCATACATTCACAATCGCAGTCCTGCAGAGTGATGTCAAAGTTATTCTTCCTCTGATATAATCTCCAGACCCAGGATGTGCCTGCATGTTTATATACACAATTACCTGTCAGGGTTCTGTATGTGGGCAGGAAACTTTTCTTTCAGCCGTGGAATTCACACCCTTCACACATTCCTGCTCTGAATGATTTACAAAGCTTGTAAGCAGCTCGTCTGATCCGCGGTTTCAAGTTCCTCTCCTTGTTGTGGTTTCATGAGCGGAGATGCTAAAGCTGCAAACGGCCGAGCGGAGCTGCCAGAGTCATTGAAGAGGGAGGAATATTGAAGAGGACAAACACTCACTCTCAGAGCTCCTGGTTTGAGTGCAGCGGAAAATCAGTATATCACCAAAATCAGCCTTTCCTCTAAATCGTGTTTTTTTTTAGGGGGTGAATAAAGCACAAACGGACTGATGACGAAGAACCTTCAAAGAGGAAGACGGGGCAGAGAAAATGGATGTGACATGGAGAGAGGAGAGTCTTGAGGTATTAAAAGCCTGAGTCTTAACAAAGCTGCTCTTTCTGAAGCAGGAGCTCACATGACAAACTCCCAGCAGCTTTATGACCTTCAGATAAACCTAAACTCCTCTGCTCCTATTAGAGCCGCTGCGACTTTCTGCTCAGGACTCTTCATGTGAACTCCAGGCCAACACCCAAGACTTCTAAACGAGCTGGGAGTGGAGCGGTCGGTAAACTGGAAAACAGGCTCACCAGTAAACAAATAAATGTACGGATATTCAGCTTTTAAAAAGTGCAGACGGAAAACAGGTTTGATTTTCAGTTGACTCTCTCTGACATGCAGATCTCGACCAAAAAGTCACATGACAACGAGAAGCTGAAGGCTGTATTTGCTCTGTATTACTCCTTTGTGTCACCACCATGAAAAATATACCATCATTGTACTAGCACAGTGCTTTTCAAAGTAAAAGCCCTGTTTGTTTGTTTGTTTTACTTTGGAGAGACCCCCTTATTTTCTGTAGAAGGGTGCCAAGAAAGCAGGAAAGAAACGGCCAGTTATTTGGGTTCCTTTCCCAACCCTCGTCATTGGTTTTGCCAAATTCTTGCTGAGAACCGGTTCCAGACGGTTCAATCCATCAACATCATTTACATTTTATCTTAACCATTCCTTTCTTCTCTGGTTGACTTGAAAAAACGGTCTAGCGAGAGCCAGTCTACGCAAACAAGAACAGAGACTCGGAGGAAAAAAACATGGGTGTCGGTACGAGAAATAGGCAGACACGATCTAAAGCGTGACTTCATTTTACGAAGAAAGACGACAACAGCAAGACGTTCAACGTTTGTCGAGCAGTGATAACGTGCAAAGGCGGAATCACCAGAAACATGCTTAAACATTGGTCAATGGAAGTGCAGAAAGCTGCAGATCAACTATCGTCCACTGGCTGCAAAAGCCAAAGAAGTCCCACTGACACCCAGTGTGTGCAGCTCAATGGTCAAACTCATGGTCACAAGTAAATACTGTGACCGACCGACTGGTGTGACGGGTCAAACGCACGTTAGATCAGGGTGCAAATGGTCCTCACTCCCTGTCATGCATGACCGTCTGTATTCAAGTGCAGCTTTTACAGACATGACCAGCAAACCTGAGAGTTATAAATGCGAGTACAAGTGACAAACAAGTCTGCTTACTGAATCAGAAGAAGACCGCCAGAAACTTTATGGACCACAAGTTCATGAAATGTGTCAAAGAATAAACCACCATGACACCCAAACATGCTGATCTAACTTTCTCTCTCCGTGAAGAACCTGGAAACAGGTTAGCAGCAACAAACTGATGATTCTGGGACAGGACAAGACCCTGAGGAGAAGTAGAAGGTACAAGAAGAAGAAGAGCAACCAAACCACATACTCTCCAAAAACGGATTTAAAGCCTTCAAAGTGTCAGAACGGAGTCCGAGAGTTTCTGACAGTCTTCTTGGAGCTAACGAAGAAAAGTCAAAGCAGCAGCTGATGATGACTTTAACGACCTAATCATCATTATCAGTAAAAAAAAACCTTCAAGATCGATAACAAATACAGAACTGTACATGGGTGTGATTACCACAGGTTTCAGACAGGTGGCGCTGTTACCATGACCATGATAATGTTGATGAAAAGAGTCTAGGACTAAGAGTTAGTACCGTTTATTTCCAGTGGGTTTGACTGAGGAAATTATGCAAAGTAGGCGATGACGTCATCTAGCGACTTCTAGAGATTTTTGCGACAGCCACTAGCAGCTTTCCATAACTGAGGAGTGGGCAACACTGATCTGGGGCTGTGGCTGTGGAGGAGGAGCTGTGGATTTATTTGTATTTATTTATTTGTATTTGTTTTGCTGTGATAACTAAGCGGTCAGTTTGAGGGTTAAAATAGTTGATGATTGGATGTATTTCAGGAAACAGGCAGCAAACCAGAGCGCTTTGGTCTGATGAAACATCCCCGGATGACAGATTAGCACATTAAGACAGACAGAGTTAAACTGTCACTTCGATGTATAGTCAACACAGATGGCCACCAGGCCGACCACACTGCGTTTACATGTCTGTGTGCAAACAGGACGGTTTTTATCCCTCTACGACTCATCCGACACCTTCTTCACAAGCTTCTACCAACCTCCTGCTTTTCCTGCCGCGGTGATTGACATGAGAGTTACAGATGGAAGGGAGGAGGACATGCAGACAGTCTGGAAGGGGAGGAATCAGCAACAGAATCTGATTTACGCTTCATCCAGCCAGCTATTCAAATTCAATTTGCACTAAATCCCAACCAAACTCAATTCCACACAAAGGAATAATGGTGTGACCACAAACACACCGCGTTTGGCATTCCCAGACTGTGGAGGTCCAGGAGTGAGTCACCTACAAAGTGATGAAGAAGACATGAAGATGGCGGTGAACATATTCTCGATAAGTAATCTGAGAGTGTGTCCAGAGTTGAATTTTGGGAGAAGAGACTGAGCCAACCTCGCTCCGTTCTGCCTCGGCCTTATAAACGGTGCTGTGTCTCTATAAATAGTCCCTGAGCCCCGGGGCAGACCAGCCCGAGCAAGGCTGCCCAGCGAACACGGAAAAAAAAAAAAGGAAAAAAAAGACGCTATGACTCCAACAACTCCCCCGACACCTTCGCTGCTCCTCTGAACCAGAGCGACAGGGTCTGTTAGCCCTCCTACAGACACGGCTGGATTTATGTGTGATCTTAGAGGTCCAGGTTTGCCCGTCAGATAAGTTTCCCTCGATCAGGAACTCTGAGCATCAATAATACAGAGACTTTACTTTTAGTAGTCTTCAGAAGACATGCAGTCTGGTTTAGTATAACCGGATCATTCACAGAGACCAGATGACCGGGTCAAAATACCAACTGGGCACTTCATTTACAGTTAAACCACTGGAAGTGCAACAAAAGGGTTCTTCATAAACACTTTCTTTTATAAAGACGAAATCACAGAACAATAAAAGAGCAACAAACAGGCACAGAGAGCAACCAGAGGGTCCTTAGTTTACAATTTAGTCAGTGAAAAAGAAACCAGGCGGCACTCTGTTTACATTTCACATGTTCAAAAGCAAACAGAGGTGCTTTGTTTCCACTTTATCCACTCAAAGATGCTTCTGTTTCATATTCGTTCACTAAAAATACAACACATGGGGAGCTTTATTGTTTATCATAAAAAAAAAACTAGAGGGCTGTTTTTTTTCATTTAAGATGCTAAAAAAGCAGCCAGAGGGTCCTTAGTTTACAATTTAGTCAGTCAAAGAGAAACCAGGCGGCACTCTGTTTACATTTCACAAACTCAAAAGCAAACAGAGGTGCTTTATTTCCACTTTATCCACTCAAAGATGCTTTGTTTTTGAATTTATCACTAAAAAGAGCACCAACACTGCACCTTATTTACATTTTAATGGCTTAAAATACAACAAGAGGGGAACTTTGTTGCTTATCGGTACAAAAAAAGCAACTAGAGGGCTGTTTGTTTTCATTTAAGATGTTAAAAATGCAGCCAGAGGGTCCTTAGTTTACATTTTATTTAACAACCAAAAACCGCTCGATTACATCTGATCCACTTAGAAAACAACCACAGGGCACTTTGTTTACATTTGATTTACTAAAAAGGACTTCCTGTGGTTATTTGTTTACATGTTATCCACCGATCCGCCTGTTTGCTCGAGGTTATCACACCGTCAGAATCTCGGACTAGTCCAGGCCGACTTTGGGTAAACAGAGGATTCGGTATATGATCTAACGTGGTCAAAGCTGATGGTCGTTTACCTGACGAAGACTGTTCTTTCACACAGTTTAACCAGGTGTCCGAGCAGATGTTACAGTATAAAACTGTTTTAAATTTGCATTAAAACCACGAGGATGTGAAAAACCTCCATCCTGGTGCAGCTCTGTCTGCTTCTGTGAGGGTACGATGACTAATATGAGCACAGATCTGACATTTACCTCTCCGCTGCTCCTCAGACAACCTGCTTCCTCTTAATTGTCGGTGATTCAGCTGACTGAATGACCCCACCATAACACCACCCGCCTGCAGTGACCTTTGTGTCGGCCCTAACACACCCCAACCATTCCTCATATGGGATCCTTGTACCCCGCTCTCATTTATCTCCTCTGTCACACTCACACACTCACACACACTCATTCATAGGCTCGCACAGACATCCAGACCGCCAGCTGGCGAACTAACGCGTCTCCTCCTCAGCTGGATTAGTCCACCACCTGATCCACAATCAGAAAATCTCTGATATTGATCACACCAGGAAACACGTCCACGTCTTCACCTCATAAAAACTCTCCTGCCTCCCTCCTCTGGCGCTCGCAGGTACATTCCTGTCAACCGCCTCCTTCCCCTCGTCCCTGACCCCGCCTTTAATGTCGGTGATCAAGGATCTGAGGCTTATTGTACCGCCAAACGTGCCGTAAATTACTCCGAATATGAGCACCGCATAAAACGGAAAATGGAAAAGTGCAGTGAGCCGGTTAGCTGCGATTCCTCCTCACCACCTGGAAAACTCTCACAGCGGGTTTGAAAGAGCGCCCCGGGCTCAGGCGGCGAGGCATGGGTCAGAACACGAGTCCCTTTACATGATCACTGCACACCCAGAGTATTTCTACATCAGGACAAATAAGCAAACTTCTTTCTTATAAAGATCATCACCTCCCTCTACTCCTAAGTGTGCTGCAGTTATCTCTACCAACAACAACCTCCTCCTCCTCCTCCTCCTGTCCCGGCTGACGGTTCAAACCCGAACAAAAGTGCAGAATTCACACCGATAAGAGCGAGTTCAGACGAGGACGATATTGATTTAAAAACGACGTTCAATAAGAGACACAAACTTTCACAATGAAAGACGGTGGACTGACTTCATTCAGAAGACAAGAACATGCACGTGTGTGTTTGTGTGTGTGTGTGTGTGTGTGTGTGTGTGTGAGTGTGTGTGTGGGCGGCGTGAGCAACAATAGGAACTCTGGAATCAATTTTTCAAGCTAAGAAAAGACACTGTTGCATGCTGGGAAGTGTGACTTGATCTATAATAGACCACAGTTGGTTAAGAAATGTGTGTTTTGTTTCCTCTCCCATAATGCATCAGTTTTATTGTTCTTTTAAGTCAGTGTAAGCATACCAGCGGATTATTGACAAGACGACGTTAAAACGAGACGTTTTTTAACACTTTTTAAGAAAACTTCACTCATGAAATAAAAGAGAGGAAATAAACGTTAAAATAAACAAACATGTCCTCTCTGAGACCTTTTTAACCGTCACTCTTATCTCACTGAGTTTACACGTTTACAGTTATTCATGTGTGAAACTGTTTACATGACCAGACTGCAGATGTTTTGTGACTTTGCGCTTACTCTACTCTTTAAACTGAATAAATATATTCTTCTATTTTTATAAATCTTTAACTCCTTGTGTATGTCAGATAATCCGAATTACAAATAACCGAGACATGAGGGCGCACTGGACTGACTTCGATACAGCTGGAGTTCTAGTTACAGGGCTCGACAGTGTGACTGTTTCACTCATATTTGTACTATACTTGGATATCTGACGGACATTTTCTGAGGATCTACCGGTGTCTTCTCACTCTCCATAACCGGGAATAACAACAGCAGCGCGGTTAAATCTACTCGACAACGGCAAAAATATCAGCACATTTGTGTGGGTGAAAAAAGTTACTGATGAGATTTAAGACACTTTAAAGTAAATCTGAAGATGTGACGTTAAAGTCGAGCGATCAGGAGTTTCACTCTGACCGTGTTTAATACGCTCTTTAAACGAGGCTGAGGTGACACGCTGGCAACAGCTGGCTGGTTATGAACCCCCCACCCATGTCAAGTCAGACAACTCAGTCAGATATGTGAGGTTCAGTGAAGAAGACCACGACACACACACACACACACGCACACGCACACGCACACGCACACACACACACACACACACACACACACACAGTATCTGGATCATCAGAGGTTCAGTCAAACTTTGTCCAGGAGAGTTAATGATTAAAAACTGAGGAGCAACAGCCCTCTCTCTCTCTCTATTACACACACACACACACACACACACACACACACACACACACACACACACACACACACACACACACACACACACACACCATCTCTCACACACACAGCAGACTTTGTATTCAAGGGCCCTTTGCTGCTGATGCCCTGCCCAGGAATGTACAGCTGACCCTGCTCTCACGTCCACCGCCCAGCTGATCCCCAACTCGCACACAGAACACACTCTCTCTCTCTCACACACACACACCAAGTGTGGAGCATGCTCAGTTAAGCCCCTGAGTTACAGAAGGAAAGCTCAGTTAACTACACTTCCAATAATGCACAGCCCGAACTGTGAGGGGAGGAAATTGATTTCCGCTCCCACAGAGTCAAAAAACAGTCATCTGGGTCAAAGGTCAACGGAAAGAAAGATAGCAGGAAAGAAAACAAGATAAACACAACTTGTTGTGGGTGGTGTTTTTAAGTAAAGCGATTAGGAAACAATGAAAATCCTCATCTTCAAACTAAACCTCGTCTTTAAACACGACAAAACAAATCAGCGAGTAAAAGTCAAGATCCAGGTGACACAAAAGAGCGCAGCGAAAACCTGCAGCTGAAAAGGTTGCAGCCTTTTCTATTGTATTATAATTTTAATAGTAAAAATTAATGATTCAAAGGTTAAAGAAAAAAACTCAGAAAACAGACAAACTGCAGCGAAATAAGGAGCAAATAATCTGTCGGCTAAACTTGTCAAAGCGGAGAGTGTGGCGACCACCAGCAGAGCTAGCACCGCCAACCTAAACACAACTTAATCTTTAATCTCCAGCTCAAAATACTGACAGAAGTGAGACACAAAACCAGACCCCACCTGTCACCTGAGGGTCATAATATTCTGGTAGGAGCTCCAGAAAGTGAAAGGCAGCTGTGCTTCGGCTTAGATGAGAAACTGCTGCCGTTTCAGGCCTACGATAACAAAATATTAATATTTTGTCTTTTATTAACTAGTAATTCTTGTACGTACTCACAAGGATGACCCTCATTTAATGGACTGAGTGTTCGTTGGTTTACCACTGACAAATAAACAGCTTTTTTGTTAAATGGTTCAACATCAGCGCTGACGTAACGCTCCGATAGAAGACCTCTGCGATCCCAACTCATGCGCCCAAGCTCCTTAAAAAAAGCGTAGAAATAATCTCACAGCATATAAACAGCATCTGGGGCTGAACTGCTCTCCAAACACAGCAGCACTTTACCCGATTTTACACATTTGACAACAGCTCTGAACTGCAGGGTCATTTAAAGTTGAGGGGCAATAAATAATTCTCCCTCCTGACGGTTACGAGTGAGAAATGCTGAATTTCCCCCTCATCCCACTGCCTTAAATTTGGCTTTTAAAGGTCTTTTAACCTCAGATGACTGCGTGAATATCATGTAACTGTAACACTCACAGTTACTGTGTTAGAAAATAACTGCAGATTCAGAGTTTTCTGTTGCAGTGAAATTCCGGCTGCGAATTCCTGCAGATTTACTGTATTTGGCAAACGAAGCGCTTGTGACTCAGATGCTGATGTTCATGTGCGCTGACTGTGTTAGTGAGCGCGCCGCACACGTCATAAATACCCCTGTTGTATCTAATAGAGTCATAGAGGCTAATCATAAATGCAAACAGAAGTCATGACAACACTTTTCATATTCTATTACAGGCTGAAAACCACTCACTGCGGCTGCTCTGGTTGAATACAGTGCAGGCCCTCCACAGTCACATGGCTATAGGCTCATACAATAGTTTCACTTCGTCATTGACTAAAGCATTCCCATGTTTTTCCCTCAGGCCGACAAACTTTGAACCAAATACAGATTCGACAGCGAGCAGCCAACTCCCTAACTCTGCTAATCCACCTCCACCTGGAGCTGAGGCGGCTCTGGCAGCGCTCAGGGGGAAATAAGAGGCATTTAGAAGAGCAGGAGAAGGAGTGATCCTGTGAAAAGCTGCATTCTTAACACCTGCAACACCTGCAACGCCTACTTGAGCCCCCAACCACCTGAGTCAAGGACTAGGATATAAGGAGGGGGGCCTGCAACCTCAGAGTTGGATTGGTTGGATTTTGCAATGCAAAAGTGCCTGCAGTCATTCTGACGGCCAGCAGAGGGAGACTCAAGCCGACAAGGAAAAGTGTTTGAGAAAATCATTTTAATGTTCACTGGATCATGTGGTACCGGCGTTTAATTTGTGATCGACAGGTAATAGCAGTCTTAGCTTGTATCGTCCTCTAGCTGCACCTAACAAACAATCTCATCCTGCTGACTCCTGATAGACAAATGTTTGATCAACTGTGAATAAGTTCTGTGAATATGGAAAAACAGGGCTGCTTCGTCACTGCTGACTACTACCCTCTGACACATCGTTATTGTTATTGTAGTTAGGGCTGGGTGATAAAACGATAACAATATAAATATTTCCCCCCCGATATCGATATAAAACATGGTCAATATCTTTTCCGATAGTCGGCACTCTGACATGTTTTAGTAGATGATAAGAATAGCCAATGAAAAGGGGAGTTGCTCCAGGTCCGCTTCACTCTGAACCAATCATGTACTGAACTAGAACCAAGTATCAAACAACTGCGACGTAGCAGACAGCAGCTACACCCAACCATAGCACTTTAACAGGTGGAGCCGACACCAATAAACACTGTTAAATTTCATTTCTTATATCATGATATATATCGACTTACCATATCGCCCAGCCCTAATTGTAGTATTAAATCGTCAGTCTTGTCAATGATGGCCTTGTCTGTTTTTGTATATCACCAAAAAGCATCAATATGGACATGAAGAAACACCTGATGATAATTAGGGTCGGGTATGGAGTCTCGATCAATGATGGAGATCAGGACTAACATTCCGATCTCCCAGAACAAATTTTAAAACTTGATTCAAAGTTTCGATGCCAGAGTCTGCAGATCGGAAGAAATAGCCGCCGAACACCAATGAGAAAGACGCCGCTTAACACCAACGAAGAAGACGCCGCCAAACACCAACGAGGACGAGGCCACACAGAGAGAGAGAGTGCAGTGCAACCCACAGCAGTGGTGGTCAAAAGTTTGTCTAACTTTAGCGGGAAGAATGAACTCTTAACTCAGAGCAACATTATCAACACAGTTACATCATGTAAAGGAGGAAGAACGACCAACATGATGAAACACCTCAGGATTCATGGAGGAGAAATAGCTGAGTGTCCATCTTTGAAGCATTTCGCCGGTCTTCCTCTAACCAGCCAGAATCAGAAAAGTGAAACAATAAATGACTTCTGTCTTCTGGGAACATTGAAGCGGCAAACAAACTGTACTGTGTACGGTGGGTCAACTTATGCTATGTTCAGACTGCAGGTCAATTCCGATTTTTTAACTAAATATGACACATTTGTTCTATTCCAACCCAGGCCTCTTTTGTATGTGGATATAAATCAGATATGTATCCGATGTGACTGCAGTGTAGACGCTCAGGTCGCGTTCATCCGATCTATACGTCATCAATATGCCACAAACGTCGCCAGAAAGCAATTAGTGCGCATGTGGGTCACTTCACGGATGCATTCCGTTCACATTAGATGTCGCATTCGTTGTTGTAATGTGAACGACCGCACAAAAAGATTTAAAAGAAAATCTGAATTGTGCATCAGAACCTGCAGTATGAACGTAGCCTTAAATATCGAACTAACGTTAGCCCTTGTACTTTCTCATAGACAAACCACCTGACAACAAAAACTTATATTTATAAACTGGTTGAAGATGTGAGAAATTCATTTTAAAGTTCTTACAAAGTTAATAGAATTTAAAAATTCATGGAGACGTTCAGAAGTTTCATCCAAAAAGAAGAACTCTGGTTAGCACCCGCTCAAAACCAGGTTATAGGAAATAAAAACAGCTGCAAAGATGAGTAAAAACAAAGCCAAGGGTCCTTGTTGTTTTACGGGACGTGACTAAAATCAATTAAGCTGACCCCTCAAGTTCAAACCTGAGACACATCAATAGTTTTTGGGGGGCTGTCACACACATGCGGAGGACAAAGATTCACTCTCTGTGAAACTTGGGAGTTCTTTACTAAAATGTCCTGATCCGGTCATCTTTCACGCAAACCTTCAAACAGGACCCCCCCCTCTTTCTGTTCCAGTCTGATCTCATGGACTGGTTTTGAATATCCTGCCAACCAAACTGACATAAAAACACACTCTGATGAGGCAGGACCCATTTAAAGGCACAAGCCTTCTCCTTCTTCTTCAGCAGCAGCAGCAGCTCTATCTGGAGGCAGTGCACCTGGCTGCTTCCCAGGGCTGTGTTTGTGTTTCAGGAGAGGCTGCTGGCCCTTTAAAAGCTAAGATGGTGTCCTACAAGCTGCAGTTTCTGCCTTCCGTTTCCTTCCTGCCTCCCTGAGATCACAGAGCATTTCAAATTGGACCTGAGCTAACCTCACACACAGAGACACAGAGAGAAAGAGAAAGAGAGAGAGAGAGAGAGAGAGGAGACACAGATGTTTGTGTAGGAAACATGGACAAGACGGTGGCTTCAGCATGATGTTTTTTTTGCAATGCATTAAGGTCGTTGTTACAAAACTCGTCCAGTAATTGCAAAATAAACCGCCTGCCCTCCTGCCTCAGTTGTCTGTTGTGGACCTTTCTCCTCACTGACAGTCCGTCTTTCTTTGGCGCATGACAGTGTCAGTGATCCTGATCATCACACACAGATGTTTCTCTCTCCATTGACCTGGGCAAAGTCAATAAGGTGCACTTACTTTCTTGTTACGGGTCTCCGTGTGCATCTCGGTTGCCGGAGCGGTGCAGCGAACGGAGGGGTGGAGCAGCAGGAGCAGGAGGGGGTCGGCCGGGGCTTTGGGTGTAGCTCTATCTGAATAAGAACTGTGAGGGAGAGAGGAGGGTTAGGGGGGGCTAGATTTCCACCTTGACAGTCAGATTTCGGGATATTGCTTCACGATCCCTGCCTCTTCCAGTGTTTCTGTTCAGTTCATGTCCGCAGCGTCGAAGCCTCCCTGTGCTCCCCCCAAAAAACAGCCAGTCTCTCTGAGTCTCTCCCTCTCTCTGACGGCGTGTTGTTGCCGTGTATTCAAGGGCTGGGCTCTCTCTCTCTGCCTTTTCCTCCTCCGCCTCTCCCTGCTTGTGACCCCACCCTGCGTCCCCACCCCTCATCTCTCTGTCAGTCAGGAGCTGCGCAGCCCTGCAGCCCTGCAGAGAAGCCGAAGCTACCGGCGACCCGACACCCGGGAGAGGCAGCGGCTGCACGGGTGCGCGCTAATGCATGGGAACTTTGGGCTTTTGCATGCACTCAGCGAGGCTCTGCAGCTCCATCTGTGCAGCTCCATCTATTATTGCTGCAGCAGCAGAGATGGTGAAGAAGAGAAGCACCCAAGTCACCTTACTGACGTCAGCCAGCAGGCTAATTGAGGACACTCCATCTGGGTGGGGAGGGTGGGAGCTGCTTTACAGTATATGTTCAGTAAAAGGCTTTGCAGCATAATGTGTGATAAAACCATCCTCCAGTCTGCTCTGATGATGATGATGGACGCTGAGTTAGAACCACACCTTTTCTAATGGAGCAGGGTGTGGTGAATGGCATGTTCAACACGGCTCTTATTATTTCAGAGGAGGAAAAATGCAGCCTGCGTGTTCGGTCCGGTTTCATCTTCTTCATCAATATAATGTCAACCATGTGAGCTCATGGAATCACGTAAACTGGTCATTTTAAATGTTATGAATTCTGTCCTGGTCTCTGAACACACGGACCCGTTTTTATTCTCTAAATACACTCAAACGAAGCCCTGAGATTAGTCTCCTTTTCCTTTTAACCGAGAATTAGTTCATTTTCGTTCATCCTCAGACTCTACTACATTTCCCATGATCCAACACAGCGGAAGTGAAAGCAGAAGGCGGAAATATGCGAAGGTAAAATAACTACGAGTGAACCGAGTTGATGACAACTATTTAACATAAATTTGGCGAACCAAACGACTATTTTTTCTTCTAAATAAACCAGGGCGTCGCTATTAATAGAAAATTAGACTTTTGATTTGACGTATATCGTCGACGTAGCGTTTTCGCGCTAAAAACTCCTAGCGCTGTTGTCATGGGGACAGTAACAGCTAACTGCTAGCGTTAGCAACAGCTCCGTATGTTTCGATATTGACAATTTAACTCGGTTATATGTTCTCCCAGGGCTGCAACATTGATCTGATTTGATTAAGATGCTAATTTGGCCCCTTTACACGATCAAATACGACAATTACAGATAATAAAAGCGTTTTCTCAGCCTGTTGTAGACTCATCTTCTTATTAATTGTACGTCGATTTTGCGGAGATGTTGTACCTAAGGTTTTATATTACACAAGTCACACAAATAAGCATAATAAGCAGGATATGTTGTTTAAAGAGAAATGTCCCCAACTCCTCAGTCTTCACATTACACGCCCGTGTGCAAACAGGACACACAGCAAACAACTCCATAAGTTTGCTCTCATACACTGTATTTTTTTTATTTGGTGGGCGGGAGTGGATGCATCATCTCCAAAGAAAAAGGGAAAATATGTGTACTTACCTTCTTCTCGTGCTTTATGAATGTTCTGTATTCTCACACATAAAAGTAATGCTGGAAACCACTTCTTTTCATTGTGTAAATTATCACATGCCTAAAAGAAACACACTCATATTACAGTTTCTTACGGGGTAACGGTTGACTCTTCTGAAGCTGTGGCAGAGCTTGCGGGGTTAGAGGTGGAGTCAGGCCCCATCGAAGCTGCTACTGAAGAGCTGCCTTCTAAAGGATCAAAATCTTTGCAGGACAAAGTTGTCTGGACACCTGTAACCAAAATATATGTTCAATAAACGAAAATACCTCTATGAGGTGTGAAACACAGAGCTGCATGAAAAGCTTTACAACATTTAAGTTATTGCTGATGTCTTCCAAGGTAAATGTAGCATAATGAGCATGGCTGCATACCTGCACTTTTGTGAGATGGTGCTAGAGTCTTCGGGGACAGCTGTGTGCCTACAGAACGTGCTTCCATGTCAGTGTGGCAAGCAACATCTTTTGAGGAAGGAGTCTGTACGGTTGTACTAGTTTGTGATGAGCTGGTCTGTAAGGAGGCACATGGGGTTAGACAAAACATCTTCTCACTACAAATTGACTTGCACCCGGGTCAAGACATACGCTACACAGACACTGGAAGAAGTACTCTGGAGCTTCTCTGAAGCCTTTGCTAATGAATAGGATGGCCGACCGTCCAGCATCAGCCAGGACGTCCCGTATTAGAGGCGCGTTGCCGCACGGGTAAATGGTCAAGCTACATGCTGCTCCGGAGGGGGCTAAAATACGGGAGGATCCGGTAAACCGGCGCAGATCCGGTGTGTTTATCAAAGCGTGGTGGCCGTGATGAGGCACCGGGGGGGATTTAGGCTAAACAGTAAGTCAAAATAAAACGTTCATACTTACAGATGCCACCTTTGAAGTAGGATCCCGGATAGTTGGTACGGATCCATTCTTTATCTTCAGACATCTAGCAAATCCAGCCTTAAACTGTCCCTCGTTGATAAAACAGTCCGAAGTGAAATGGTGAGCGCACACGTACAGATATTTTGGAAGTGCCGCGGGTACTTTCCCATTATAAATGAAATCCACCCATTTAGTCCTCAAATCCTCCGACGAAGGAGCTCTCAACAGAGTTTTGTGCTCGTTTGTGCAGCTAACAACAGAGCAAACGCTGCCTCTTCTTTCAGATCGGGCTTTCGCCATGGTTCTAACCGGAACAATGCAAGCCAGTGGGAATAATGGGGGTGTTTTGAAAATTTTGTGGGCAGGGCAGTGGGCGGTTCCATGGGCAGGGCCACCAACCAGCACTTATCTGACGTCATGTCAGTAGAGTCTTCAGAACGGCCCTCTCTGATCTGAGCACACACTTCCTGGATACGGAGATAACTCAAAAACGACTGGATGGAATTTTTTCGAACTTAGGTGGCTTGTAGCGGTTTTCTCTCCCTGATATGCACCCCTCCTGTTAACAAAGTCAGTTTTTCATGTCATGGCCCCTTTTTTCCTGCCAAAAAGGCTTTGCAGCATTATGTGTGATAAAACCAGCCTCCAGCCAGCTCTGAGATGAGGATGGACGCTGAGGACCTGTTTTTATCTCTAAATAAACTCAAACGAAGCCCTGAGATTACTCTCCTTTTCCTTTTAACCGTGAATAAGTTCATTTTTGTTCATCCTCGGACTATACTACATTTCCCATGATCCCACACAGCGGAAGTAAAAACAGAAGGCGGAAATATGCGAAGGTAAACTAAGTATGAGTGAACCGTGTTAAAGACAACTAATTTAACATGAATTTTGGCGAATCAAACGACTTTTGTGTCTTATAAATAAACCAGGGCGTCGCTATTAATAGAAAATGAGGTTTTAATTTGACGTATATCGTCGACGTACCGTTTTAGCGCTAAAAACTCCCAACGCTGTTGTCATGGAGACAATAACAGCTAACTGCTAGCGTTAGCAACAGCTCCGTATGTTTTAATATTGACTGTTTAACTCTGAAATATGTTCTCTTAGGGCTGCACTATTGATCTGATTTGATTAAAATTCTAATTTTGTCCCTTTACACGATCAAATACGACAATTACAGATAACAAAAGCGTTTTCGCAGCCTGTTGTAGACTCGACTCGATTATTTGTAGTTGTATTTCGGGAGATGTTGTACCTAAGGTTTTATATCACACAAGTCACACAAATAAGCGTAATATGTGGTTTTAAAAGCTTTAACAGCTTTAACTTGCACTATAAGGATGACACCAAGTGATCCGTGTGACAAGGCTTGGTAGTGGGAGCAGAAGGCCGAAGTGTGTGTTAGTAAAACAGAGGGAGAGAGTCACCACAAGAAACAGATGTAGGCTTTAAATGGACCATTTATTTAAATACAACTCATATGACATGAAATTAGATATTTCGACTAGAATGGACAAACTCAGTAGGTTACACCTTGAGCTTTTTGTAGGTTAACATTCAGCTGCTGGATATAAACGCCATCCACCGCCACCTGAAAACCAACCCTCATGCGGTTGTATAAGTATCTCCTGAGATTTTTGACCCCATGTCTGACTGTGTTGTGATTTTCAGAGTGAGCCGGCGGTCCTGTGAGGACGGCCCGCTGCTGGAGGAGCAGGAGACTGAGGGCCAGCGGCAGCTCCACAGCCTCCTGCTGCAGCAGCTCCACACTGATGTGGACATTGACAGGTCAGAATCTTTACGTAGAATAGATGACCTCCAAACTATTACAACACCAATCCTCTGAAAACTGGGACGCTGTGTAAAATGTTGATGATGGTTTGAAAAGCCAATATTTACTTGAGAAAAGTGCAAAGACAACATGGACGAGTGGAAAATCCAAATCTGACCTCCTTTTTGGAAATCATGGACACCACAGTCACGACTCTTGAGAGGAGAGTGACCACCCAACACACAGTTCCAGCACCCTGGATCGTATATTAATTATACTATACTATATTAGTATGTAGTAATATTAATGCTGAAGAGGTTTTGGAGAAACAAATAAAATCTTCTATCAGGCCAGAGTGGGTCAGTATTTCAGAGGCTGGTCTCCTTGGTGCTCAAACATTTACAGAGTTTTTAAAGAAGAGATGATGCAACACGTCAGAGTTATCAAATTTAAAGCAGGTCTATATTTTTCATACAACAAAAAACACTTCGGTTTTAATTATTGATGTCTGTCTTTTCTGTTCGATATCAACTTTAAATAAATCTCTTTTCACTTCTAAAGATATTTGTCTCCCTCAAATGCAAACTATAGTCAACCCCTTTCACGTTGAGTTGAAGCGGTGCTGATAAGACCTGTCTCGCTGTTCTTTTGTAGCTTAGAGAGTCTTCAGCTTAATTCCCAGCAGGTCCAGCTGTACTATAAGAAATTCTCAGTTATGTTTCCTCCAGAGTATCCAGCAGAGCGGCCTGGAGGAGGTTTCATACAGACCCTCAGGGCTACAGATCGACTCACTCCAGAAACATCATGTGACTTTAGAAATGTCTGCAGCTGTTTTTGGTCTGGCGGACTTCATTTTCACAGTCTGACCTCATTTTGAAATAAATCCTTTCTTTCAGATGTGTCGCCAAGAAGCAGTGCTTCGCCCCCGCAGCACTCTACCGGCCGTTCGGGGAGCAGGCGGCCGGGGTGAGGAGTCTCTCCCAGTTCCAGGCCCTGCAGGACGGTGAGAGGGAGCTGGCCAGCCTGCGGGAGCTGGGCCTGACGGACGCTGAGATCCAGCTGTGGAGGAGCAGAGACGCACCGGAGGGGGCAGAGAAGGTGAGAAAAAGTGACGTTCAGTGTTCTCCTTTTTCATCTTTTCTCCGTTTTTCTTTATTAGAACAAAAATGTGTGAAATATCACCATGTAGGCTACATGATGTTGGATGTAAAAGGAAACCTCTCAGAGGAAACAGTCATAAAGGTGCTTTATATAAACCTCATCCCTCCTCTGTGCCCACACAGTCCCATGGTGTGTGTGCAGCTCCAGGTGCGAAGCAGCAGCGCCTGCAGGTGATCAGAGACAAGATTGAGGCCCGGGCAGAGCTCCTGTCCCGCCCACAACGCTTCGCCTCCAGCCGCCCGCTGTCACGACGGGAGATGGAGATCGAACAGGCGCTCTTCCAGGGGAACGATCGGCTGGGATTCCTCGCCGCGCTTTACCACAGAGGTACGGATGGACGTCAAACTGTCTGTTTATTTATCTAAGGAACTTCAGCTCAGTCAGATTCACGTCAGAAGAAGAAATCCCTGTTATTCTTGTGTCATCCTCCACAGATGAAGATAACCAGGATGGCCAGCAGGGGGAGTCGTCCTCTGATCCAATGGACTCCCTGTACAGAGACATCCTCAGCAAGGAGAGACAACGAGCCCCACAAGAGGACTTTCAGAGAGACACAACAGCAGGGACACACAGAACTGAATCAGACCAGAACCAGGACTCAGAGGACCACAACCACCAATCAGAAGCAGCCGCTGATCACCGCTCAGAGCTGCAGGTGGGAAAAGGGTCAGAAGAGTCAGATTCAAGTTCAGAGACTTCAGGCCAGCAGCTCCCCCAGGACAGACCTGCTGCTCCGACTAAGATTAACATTAAACAGCCAATCAGGAGTCTGTGTGGAGCGGGGAGGTCAGGGGGGCCGCAGACTGTGAGAGGGGAGATCGAGACGATCACAGATGAAGAAATTCTGGAGAACCGTGAATCTGATGAAGGGATCCGGAGCATCCCGAGGTTTAGGAACTACCAGCCGGGAAAACCCTCAAAGGTATCGACGACCAATCAAAAACCACCGAAGACCAGAGACCTCTTAGTGTTTGTGATTATGTATGAACCCAACCCTGACCACGAATTTCCACCGCATCCGGAACAGCGGCGATTTTTGCCATACGCCAATTCCTACCAGATCTGTTAGTGAGGCTAATTTCATGGCAGATTACGGACAGCAGTGGGAATCACGAGAACTTACAGATTCACGGTCAATCGCGCGATAACGAGCTGTCTCTCTAAAGACAGACACATAGACATATAAGCAGTAGATTGTGTCCTTCCAGAGGAGGAAATCTACTTCTAGACTTCTAGAATCAGCATCTCCTCATCCATGGTGTCATCGGGGTGAAACGACGTCTAAAAACCTTTCACTTGTTCGTCTCCGCCTGTTTGCACAAAATCACGAACTGATCTGTGCTGAATTTATCCGCCATGCTCCGGCGTCCGGAAAAAATAGAACTCTAGTGATCAGCTGAGGAGTCCAGCGATCCGCAGAGGAACGGAAAGAAGTCGGTGTAAATTGACACGTTTACTTGATTGGTTACGATTGGCGGACATGACCTTTTTGTAGCTGTTCTGGATGCGGTGGAATTTGGGGGTGACCGAGCATACGCCCCTCATCCCAGTACACACCAGTACACATGACCAACTCCAGTAACCAGGCTCTGGATTTGTGTGTCCTCACAGGTGCTGTGTGTAAAGAACCTGAGTCCACAGGCGTCAGCGGCCCAGCTGGTGGCGCTGTTCTCCAGGTTTGAGCAGGAAAACGGGCCGTCAGTCGTTTACCGTCTGCTGACAGGAAGGATGAAAGGTCAGGCTTTCGTCACGCTGTCAGGTAAGAGAGACCGTCTGAACGCTCTGATCTGTCTCTGCAGGTTTTAGTCCAGAGAGACTGAGCCGTGTGGACTTTCCACTACGACACACATCATCAGATCTGCTCTTGGCTCGATTTGTCGTCCTTTGGCAGATGCCGAGACGGCCCAGAAAGCCTTGCAGTTGGTCCATGGATACCGATTGCTGGGGAAACCTTTGGTGGTGGAGTTTGGCCGTGAGCGACAGGAAGAGGGGAAACAGAAGGAGCAGGATGAGGACTGAGCTGAATGAAGATGTTTAATTGATATGGATTTAACTGACTGGATCAAGAGTCTCTCTGTCGGTTTGGTGTAAATAAAAGTCTCTTTTTTAAAATCTGAAGTTGGTTTTCTTTAAAAATACTCCACATTTAGAAAAGGATTCATTCAGCCTGATCACAAGATGACATCTATAGAGAAGGAACAGGAAGTTTTTACTTTGCTTTATTAACACTTACAGTTAAAGTTACACCCTGCAGTGAAGCATATCTATATCTTCTACTAAAGTGTTATTCAGGTTTTCAGTCATTAAAAATTTTCTACATCAAATTGAGGACAAAAAAATAAAACATGCATTCAAAAAATGGAGGGAAATAGAAATAGACTTGAAACAGTTTCCTCATTTTTTTATTGTAGACATATTTACAAAGCTGCACATCAGAAAACCTGGACTCCAAGTTTCAGTTTTTATGTTTTTGTGAAAAAAGTTCAAACTGTTTAGTTCTGCAGACAAAGAGCGTCATCCTGTGACCACGTTTATGTGAATGTCAGAGTATACAGCATGCATGGCGTTAGGGCTGGGCGATACGGGAAAAAGTTTATCACGATATATTTTTATATCAGTCGATATCGATCAATATCAGGATATAAAAATTAAATGTAACAGTGTTTATTGGTAGTATGTCTTTTGCAAAACAATCATCTCCTGCATCTGTGAGGTCTTTGTGTCTCTTTGACGTTTTGTAGTAAGGTGTTGGGTTAGATAAAGCGAACTGCATGGTCGGCTGTTCCGGCTCCTCAAAAAGATTTGAGGTATTCCCCGACTTTGTGAGAACATGTACTCGACATAATTTACAGTCCACATTACTCTGCTTCATGTCCGACCTCAAAAAAACCAAAATACCTCCACACCACCGACGTTTTCCTAACGCCAGTGTTGTGGTTGACATTGATGTGGTCATCTGTTGAGCCTTCATGGTCATTTCTGTCGGGGGTAGCACTCATTTTCTTTGTTTCTCACTAACAGTGCTGTCGGCTTCACCTGTTAAAGTGCTCTGGTTGGGTGGAGCTGCTGTCTGCTACCACTTTGCAGTTGTTTGATACTTGGTTCCAATTCAGAACATGATTGGTTCAGACCCGAAGCAACTCCTCTTGTCATTGGCTCTTCATATAGGCTACCAGGACATGGCAGAATGACGACTATCCAAAAGTATATTGACCATGTTTTATATTGATATTGAGGGAAATTGATTTTATCATTTTATCGCCCAGCCCTACATGGCGTCTAAATCAATCAGAAAGACGCTTTAGTTGAAGTCTGAATTGACTGTCGGACTCGAATGTTTTTGTTGCCCCCTGTTTTAGATTCAGGGTCCTCTCTGCAGGGAACAGCAGTCGGCTCAGAGCTCAGCGATCACCGGTAACATCGGGGGCTTGAACCTCCTGGACGGTTTGCTCTTTGTGCGACAGCCGGACGCCCAGACGAAAACAACCCCGGGCTGACTGCGGACGACCTTCTGTTTTTCTGTCAGCGCAGATTTGAGACTCGGTCTGTTCACCTGAAGCGCTCCTCCTCCTCCTCTCGTCTGTTTGTCCTCCTCTGCTCGTTTTTCAGAGCACGTCTCTCTGTCCTCAGACGTCGTCTTGTTGTTGAACACGGGACCCGGCCCGCTCCTGGGGTCCTTCGGGGAGACCTGGATGTGAATCTGAACCTGATTTCCATCAGGCCTGGAGACAGGGGGTTGACGGGGTGAGGTGTAAACGTGGGAGAACTGCCATCCTGTCTTCCTCCCGTCCTCCGTCCATCCTCTGCGGGCCAAACGGGCTGCAGTGAGGACGGAGTCGGTCCCATCTGAGAAGAGAGGCCCTGAAGTCACTGATGTCTTTCCTGGTCCAGAAGATACAGCTGGAAGGTTCCTTAAAGCCTCCATCTCCACCTGGTCTGAGGGACTGAAGCACCTGTGAACAAAGATTTCAATCATTACATCAGAAGATATCGATGGATACACCTGAGAGGAAGTCTGACGCTCATTTTTAGACAATTCTCAGTTTAAACAAACAATCACTGTCTGAATTCAGCCTTCTAGAAGCCTCCTCCACTGTTGCATTTCAACAGAGTGATCTATTTTTATACAAATACAACATATTGTGAAATATAACTGCATGTTTTGGACCCTGAACGTTTGGAAAGAGGTAAACAGAACCGGAACTCACTGTCAGGTAAGTTTTTTTTGTCTTGATGAATCAAAATTATTTCTAAAAACTCATTTTATGGACTTGTTTTTTCATGATGTTGTGCTCTTATGACCTTTTTCCCTCATTTTTTGTTTGTGTTTTTGCACAAACCTTTTATTCAGTCCTGTTAGACTTGTGCTCATGATGTGCTGCTGCTCTGTTGAGTTACTTTCTAAGGTTTAAAAAAGGTTAATATGAAAAACTTGTTACTCAGCACCCGGACTGGGCCACCCCAGTGGGAAAAGTCTAGAGACGCCCCTGCTGTGGGGCTGTTTAAAACTGCCGCTTGTTAAAATAACCTTCATGTGATCGGCTGTAGCTGACAAAAGTCTAGTTCTAAGAAATCATCACTAGAGGGAGACAGAGATCGTCATACTCACTGTTCAGGACCAGCACATAAAACACAACAGATGTTCAGAGAGCTGACTTTCTTTAAGTGTTGGCATGTTTCTGTGATGAAACAACTTGACCTACATAAACTAACCCGCTGCTGAAACTGAACGAGAAGAGGAAGAGCTCAGATTTTTACAGGATGAAGAGTTTTTGGGTCTGAAAGATGAAGAAATGAAGAAGAAGGAGGTGGAAAAATAGACTCAGATGGTGTCCGGGCCTCTTTAAAGCTCCAGTGAGGAGTATTTGACATAAAACAGACTGAGACATACACTGATGTGTCTCTATAAACAACCAAAACCAAATGAGAGCGTTAATGATCAGACTGATTGTCTATATTGTCATTTTTTTAGAGTCTGTAACAGCTGAGGGGGTTAGACACGCTGAAGAAACAGCCATTAGCACCACTTTGAGGTAAAATAAGCTACAATATGAGACACCATCGAGTCCACAAGGGGTCGCCAAAGTCCACACAGACAGAAAGTTCCTCACAGAGAGAGAAGAAAACCCCTCTCTAATCTCTACACGTCGTTTTTATCTCTAACAGGTTGGAGTTTGTCGAGTCCTTCCAGCCTCATTAGTCGTCTAATCGAAGCAGCGAGCACTTCATCACGACAAACAGGCTCAGCCGAGGCATTAATGAGAAACACGCAGAGCCCGGCAGGAGTCGGAGCAATCAGAGATAATTAGAGAGAAAACATACCGATGGAAACGTCCAAACTCTTCTTCTCCTCCTTCACAGAATCAGAGCGGTCCGTCCGTCTGTCCGTCTGTCCGTCTGTCCGTCTGTCGGTCTCCTCCTGATCTAGAAACATGGTCACACTGATCAAAAAGTGAAGCCATCAAAAAGTTCAGGTGCATCTGTGAATCTGAATATTTGATATTTATTTTTTATCTTATTTTATTATTTAATCCAGAGAAGACTGAGCAGAGACCACCTTCAGTCTGTCCACAACCTCCTTTAAAGATCTGAGAACAGTCTCTAAAACTCCTTTTTCTGCTCTTTAATTTCAATATTATAAGATAAATATGAGGGAAGTCAGTTAAAGGGACATTTCAGTATTTCTGAAGTGAGTTTGTTTGAGTTTAATGTCACGACTGAGTGGATGGTTGTATTATTAACAGCAGGAGGAACCAGAACAAACGCTGGGCTACAGTTTTCTGCAGACCAGACAGACTCTGACCTGAGGACTCGTCTTACTTCAGATGAATTTGCTCGAATGAGAAATTTGACTGCACTGTGCATCAGAAAGCACGTCTGTTTGTTCACTATCTGCAGACCAAACACACATAATGTGCTCTTACACAAGCAATGCGTTTAGCAAGTCAAGTTTATGATGTTTAAGTAACTTTCTTTATTGTCAACTTTTCCAGATTTTCATACCGAATGCCTCAGATCGACCTGCAGACACAGTGATGAGTGTCGAGTTTGTTATTTCAGATTCAGCAGCTGATACAGAAGAGAGAGGAGCAGGAGGAGCAGAAAGGAGCAGGAGGAGGAGGAGGAGGAGGAGTGAGGTGTGAGTATGTGTGAGCGTCTGAAAAGCAGAGGGACAGAATGAGCTCGAAGAGAGAGAGGCTGTAGGGATCACAAGCACTAAAAGTGAGACATTGTCAATAAAAACAATGGAATACCAGCTCAAGTTTCGACGTTATTAAGATCGTTGTATAAAAGTTTAAAAAGTGATCAAACGTAAACGTTAATAGATTTCAAATCCTTCAGGACATCCCACTGATTTAGAAGTAGAGAATGCAGGTCTGTGTTGAGTCTGAGACTTCAGATCGGTAATAAACCTCAGAGCATCCAGAGAAGATTCATGCAAATATAAAAACATCTCCAGAGTCGATCAGAAGCAGCAATAAGGTTGGGTATGGAGTCTGAAGCATCGATGGGAACCGGGACTGACATTCTGATTCTTCCGGTACCGTGAAGATTTTAAAAATTCGATTCCAAGTTTCGATGCCGGAGTCCGCCGACCAGAAGAAATAGCTGCCGAACATCAACGAAGAAGAAGCAAATGAGACGAAGCCACAGAGAGAAGAGACACCGAAAAAGAGACGACATTACAACCCACAGCGGCGTCGGTCAAAAGTTTGTCTGACTTTATCAGGAAGAATGAACTCTTATCTCAGAGCAACATTATCAACACAGTTATATCATGTAAAGGAGGAAGAACGACCAACATGATTAAACACCTCAGGATTCATGGAGGAGAAACACCTGAGTGTCCGTCTTCGACGAACTTCAACAGTCTCCTGCTAACCATCCAGAATCAGAAAAGTGAAACAATAAATTAAAGTTAGCAGAACCTCTTCTGCTAACTTTGGGTCTACTTGAATATCTAACTAACGTTATCCTGTGTTCATTTTCACAGACAAACGACCTGACAACAAAAACTGATATTTATAAACTGATGAAAATGTGAGAAATTCAAAGTAAAGTTCTTAAAAAGTTAATATGATTTAAAAATTCATGGAGAAGTTCAGACACTTTATCCCAAAGAAGAACTTCAGTTAGCGCCCTCATTTAAAACATGCATTTTAGTATCCTTTAAAAAGAATCGGAATAGAGAATCGTTAGGAACCGGAATCGAAACGAGGAATCAGAATCAGAACCGTAATTATTCAAAATCAAACGATACCCAACCCTGAGCAGCAACAAATGTTTTCATGAGTCATTCCTGAAACAGAAGTCCGTCTGCAGCTTCAGTTTCTGTACATGAAGCTTTAAAATCAGAGTCTCATCCATAAAGAAGTTCACACTAACCTGCAGTCGTGGTCTGAAACAGACGAGAGTGTAAAGCTGATCCTCTCTCTCGCTCTCTTTCTCTCTCTCTCTGTTTCTCTCGCTCTCTCTCCTTCTCTCTCTCTCCTCCTGCAGGACTGAACGCTCCACCAAGAACTGCCTCTGTCTGTCCCCCTCGCTCTTATATACCTCCCTCTCTCCCTCCCTCTCTCCCTCTCTCCCTCACCCCTAACCAGGTTAACCCTCTCTTTAAGTGAGCTTATGGTGCAAAGTGCTTTTCAGATCATACATACCAATGACTCATGATGGGAAACAAACAACAACAACAACAACAACAACAACAACAACAACATCAACAACAACAACAGCAGCAGCTGTGGGGTTTTCTTGGTGGGGTCAAGAACTCTGTGGAGTTGATTCTGCAGGTTTGTGAAGGAGGATTAAAGCGGAATATTCCTTTATTCTTACACAGACATGATCATGTGCGTTTTGACTTTGGTTGGGGACTTTTCTGGATGTTGTTGACGGCAGATGGATGTTTACGTCGGTCTGCTCTGTTTGTTCTGCTCAGACATTTGATTTGGTCTCTGGCTCCTGAGTTCAGCAGGTTTATCTGCTGGACTATGAAAATGACCACATAGGGAACTTTCGACCCTCATGACCCGGTCACGTTTTGTCCGTTTGGACAGGTCCGAGTTTTCAAGGAAGGCCCTTATTCGAGTCGTGATGCCCCGAGTTCAGATAACGACAGAAAACGGTGAAATCAAACCACGTCAGACTGAAGTGTCGAAGCATTTCTGATCAACAAAGGGAATAACCGAAGTGTGACAAACAACATAAGACAGGATATGAAACACGATATGAAACACGGACACAGTCTTTGAACCCGCTGGCATGTTTGAGATACGGGAAATGTGCAAATAGTTAGGACAAAGTTTGATGTCCAGAGCGAATTCAGGGAGATTGCAAAACATGATTTCATGCTGAAGTGATTTTTCTGTTGGTGGTTTTAGTCTCAGACTATGTGGTCCAATGACATGACCAAGAGTGTAATGGACTGTAAAGATTCACCAAGGTCTTCATGTAAGGGGTGTCAGTCTGAGGTGGATCACTGTGAACCCAGACGGCTCCAAACTCCAAACTCAGGACCCGAATGTGAAGACTCCAAATTCAGATCCCGTTTATTCAGGCAGAGATCAGTAAACAAAAACAGGTCCAGAAACACAAAGAAAAACAAGACTGGACCGTCAACACTGAGGGACAAGATAAACTGGAACACCAGCTGACGGGACGCAGGTGTGACACGTCCAGGAAGAGGGGGTGCAGGTCACACGCGGAGTAAACAGACCAGATGAATCAGAACGGATCAGGTGGGGGTGTATGTCACGTAGAAAACGTGGAAAACCTGCCCAATGAAAACTTCACCAACACGTGTTAAAAAAAACTAACCCTCCTGTTTATTTTACACTTAATTTGGACGTCTTTTAAAACATAAAGCCAGAAGACACCTGCGGTAGGATAGTAATACACAACGGTCTGAGGAGCCATAAACAAACCTCAGCAAGGTCTCAGCAAGACCTCAGGCTAGTCCATTACAGACTACAGCGGGGTGCCGCAGCTCAAGGAAGAACATTAATGATCTTTTCTTCATGGAAATACAATCAGACCGAGACGCTAAGACAGAAGAACTACCGCGTCTGTAAAATGATTAATATGGTGATTATTACTTCAAGGAAATGGTAAAGAAATGATCATAAATGTTCTTCCTTGAGCTGCGGCACCCCGCTGTAGTCCGTAATGGACTGGCCTGAGGTCTCGCTACAAACAAGCGTCTGCTGGAAGAGAGTAGGTGAGTTGTGTTTAGTCTCTTTGGCTGTGACCCTATATGTCCTGTTGATGAAGTTAGGTGCTGTTCTGAGCATTATTTGTGGCTATAGAGTGGCGTTTTGGTTGGGGGCGTGGCTCTCTGTAGTGCTATCCTGCAGTCGTTAATAAAGTTGGTATAACCAGAGAAGCAAGCGGTCGGCAACATTCATCTCTGGAGGGGGGGTCTGACTCGGGGTTACAGTTTGTGATTTGATTAATTTTACGCCGGAATATCCCTTTAAATGCACCTCCAGTATATCAAATGAAAACCAAACTGAACTCCAGCTTCTCCTCCTGAACATCATCTGCAAACAGCTGAAGATCCTGGATGTGAACCATGGTGAGTACACAGTCTGCTGCTCCTCAGTTCTCATGACTTTGACATACATTTAGAGGAAACATCATATGCTGCCAGTTTGGCCCAGAATGCATTGCGCCAGGGGGGGCAGATGGTTACAATACACAGCAATGGGAGCGAATTCTCTGTTACGCTGTGCTGAGTGCAGCGAGTTCACCCTGTCCTATTATTTCCAGACCAAATCAGATCAGTCTGCGTCTCCATTTGGAAACAATAGCATGTCACGTTCATCACGGGCCGAAAATACAACTTGGCGCTCTGAGAGTTTTTCCTCTACGGCATCAACATGTTCAAGTATTTCCATATGTGCATGACTCAGCGTAAAGACCCAAGGTTAGGTCTGCAGTCCTCCAGCTATCCAGGGATTTCACTGACTCATGTGCAGCTCACGTGTTGACTCAGAGATCTCCCTCCTGTCACAGAAGTCTCCGGATCAGAGTTTACTGAAGGAAAAAAAAAAAGAGCTGTATCACAGAGCGGGGGTGGGGGGGTCCGTTTGCTCAGCATGCGCTGGCTCACAGTGGTCATCAATCTGGGTCAAAGATAACAGGAGCTGTTGAAACGCCGACAGATCACCAACCTGACAGACGGATCAGAGGGTTTCCTGTCATGTCAAATATGAGGCTGAGGAGAGTCCGAACGTGGCGAACGGGTCGGCCTGGAAAAATCCGGATACTTAGAAATCTGATAAGAGATATGTGGGTGAAAGTTGAGTGATATAACAAAATTAACCTGTGGTACGAAGAATAGCCAGACCTGTGAGAGGATATCAAGTAAAGAGTGATGACTGGACCGACGGCTAAGCCATAAAACGATAACGATATATTTCTCTAGAGCGACGCCTTACGACAAAACGTCAAAGAGACACAAAGACCTCACAGATACAGGAGATTATTGTGTTGGAAAAGACATGCGACCAATAAACACTGTTAGATTTTTATATCCTGATATTGATCGATATCGACTGATATAAAAATATATATTGTAAAAAACTTTTTCCCACATCGCCCAGCCCTAATTGGACCTCAGTTAAAGTTCACTGTTGAGGGGTAAAAGAGAGATATAAGGACAGAGACCGAGTTTATATCGGCTATTCGCTTCAACGATATTCATGTACAGTGACTTAATTTCACCTAACAAAGTTATCCTGAGAGTCACCGAGGTTTACTACAGCCAGATTTGACAGCATAAATGAAACAGTTCCTCCAAGTCATGTTTGCTTTGTTTAATTTCTCTTACTTGTTGAAAACCTAAATTGGATTGTTTGATTGCAAACTCAAAAAACGGCGACGACAACGTTAATGTTGATGGTCAAAAAAACTGTGTGCTTCTCGGGCTACAGACTCACCCGCCACTCATGACATCGTCTTCTACTTGAAGCGAACAAACAGGAATTCACGCCACCTGGTACGGCATCAGAACAACAACAAATGATAAAAGTTTTAAAACACAAACCCAAAGAAAATACAACAAATGGCTCTAATAAGGGGAGACAGAGATCTGCTCTGCTCCGGACCCAAGGTTAGAACCCTGGAAAACACAGTATAGACAAGAGGCTGAGCTCATGTTTTCAGGCAGATTATGCACTCCCTGATACAAGAACCAAATTTTGTACGAAGCTTCTTTAAGACAAACTGAAGCTTTTTAGCCTCGGAGCCCAACACAGATACTGGAAGTATCCATAGAGATCACAAAAGTTATTTTTCTACTAAGAAATAAAAACATTCTCGAGTCGTACGAAGAACATTGGTGATAAAATTGTTTCTTTTTAAGAAGGTGAAACTGATTTTAATTTGTTTACTGATTATTAAACTTCCAAAATAATGTGTTAAATAGAGTATCACCACACCTGGTACTTGATGAAGTACTGCACAGTTTACCGTTTTCTTATTTAGCTCAGAACTCAGAATGTTTAGTGAATGTGAACAACTTGATGCCGCGTTATTAAAATCTGTAATTAAAACCGTTTGTAAATCTGTCAAGATTTCAGCGAGTTGAGAGGATTTTTGATCACGAAGATTACTCGACTTCCGTCAGCTACCAGAGAGCGAACCAGAATGCTATACTGGAGTAAGATGGCCGCCGTGTACGGACGCCAGTGACTCCGCTTCGAGTCATCTAGCCGTTCTAATAGATATCTATGGCCACGCCCACCCATAGCTCCGCCTCTGCATCAAATATGCCGACTTTATGAAACTTGTAACTGCGGTTTACTGCGAATCGATGATACGCATCAAATTCACCGACCACATTTGTGTCATTAATAAAACAGACAACAAATTACTGATCTGAACATGCAGATAAATTCAATGATCTTCACTAAGAGGTTCAGTTTTTACATTCCTGCAGTTTTCCTCAGTTTCACATGAAGGCGTCCTACTTTAGTTGTTTGGCCTACATATCGGCGTGTTAAGTAAGGTCATGTTTTATGACTTCTCTAAGCTGCTCACTCCGGGAACTTAGCGAGCCTCGTGTGGACCTGGTGTGGAACTCTGCGAATATTCAAATTCCATTCAATTAGAGGACAAAGACATTAAAATGTGGACAAATATGTGAAAATAACTGACAGCGCTCGGTGGGAAATACCAGCAGCTCTGAGCGACGATGACTGACACACATAAAGCAGATTTCCACAGAAGAATACACACTGGTTATTGACTTAAACCGGTTTCAAACAGGATTACACACACACACACACACACACACACACACACACACACACACACACACACACACACACACACACACACACACACACACACACACACACACACACACACACACCCTCTATGTTATATGCAATGCTGCAAGACACTGATAAAGCGCGGTTTTCCGTTCAAAAGGTCACCTGGTGATGAGGAAAGCCGCCGTGACGCTTTCATTGATAGAAAGAGGAGTCAGGGGGAAATCAGGACAAATCACAAACGGGGTCTACGATTACTCACCTGAGTCTTTAAAGTGGGTCATTAAATATGGGTCAGTGATTTAATGAGAGAATATAAGGAGAGCAGTGATGAAAAAGAGACAGAATTAAAAAGGAGGACTGTTTATTTTAATTTACCTGTATGGATGTAAACAGATAAACTTTGTCAGATTGGACTTTAGGGTTTCTGACACTTAATAAGTCAAACTTTTGTGTTCTGGTGCCTCTAAGGTTCCTGAGTGTGTGTGTGTGTGTAGTTATGTAAGTGTATTTGTTAATGGTCATGGCTGTGGTATTCACTTTTCTTTGTTACCTGATCAGGACTTCAGGGCAGGGCTCCTCACTGAGTCGTTTCTGTTTTCATCCTCAGTGTAAATCTGATTTTCCATTTATCATATTCTCCTCTGAAGCTTGACTCTGTTCTTAATTTAATGGTCTTTATTTACAGAAAACCCTCGGCCTTTACTGTGGCGTGTGGACTGTATGTGCTGTTGTACTTCAGTGAAAAGGTTTTAAAGGTTAAAGGATGGGAGAGGTTTCTTAGTCCACCATTGAGTCCTGACTGTAAAGGAGGGAAAACCGGACAATTGATGCCAAAGCTGCCAGTTAGGATGACTCCTTTATTACATAAAACCATTTTGTTTCCAATATTATATATATAATCAAATAGCCAAACCTGATCTGGACTGGAGGCAGGACAGAAACCCTCCACCACCGAGGACTCAAAGACTAACCAAACTGAGTCAGACTCAGACTGTGGTCCACCATCCTCCTTCCTCTGGTCTCAAAAATATCTTATAATCAGTTTTTTCTTTGTTGTAAATGTAGATACGGCCCGTCCTGGCAGGTTCTTGGAGGTTTTAAAGTCATGTTGTAGGATTTCTTTGTTTTTTGGTTGTTAGTTACACAGTTTCATGACAGACAGACGAGTTTGAGATCCCTGGTACAGCAGAGAAAATGGTGCAGAGTCTTCTGAGTAAAAACTTTGACTAAACGGTGCATCTACTCCGAGACCCGGCTACCTTCAAACATCACCGACTGATCTAGGCTAGGGTGACCTTACGTCCTCGTTTACTCGGACATGTCCTCTTTTTTAGGGGGCTGTCTTTGTCCGGGGGAAGTTTATAAGGTCCTTCAAATGTCTGCGGTTTTGTACACAAGTTTCGATTTTGTGTCACATCGACTGACTGAGTTAGAAGTTCGTAAAAGACTCGATTAACTTTGTGTGACTCCGTGACTCCGACCTTGCGTTGTCATGTCCTCTTTTTTGGAAGTCAGAATATGATGACCCTAATCTAGGCTGAGAAACTACAGCTGGGTCTAGAAGAAGATGTCAGAGCGGTTTCTTCTGCTTTCATACCAACAAAGATCTCCAGTCCTGAAGTGAGGTCGGTAGTTGTTTACTTTAATGTCGTTTACACTGAAAGCTGCCACACCTTTACAAAAGGAAGTACACGCCTCTGTGTGTGTTGAGTTCAATTAATAATCCATCCATGAATAAACCGTGAAAATTAAAACTCTAATTAAATCAGAGGAAGAGGTGACCTCCCACACGTGGCGCCCTGAAACAACGTCAGGTCGTTTTAACCACATCAGGCAGGCAGTGACCGGGGTTAGGTTGGAACGGTGTCACGGCCTCGCCCCGGTTTTGATCATCTGCTGGTTAAAATGAATAATAGCAGAGTGATGCTAAAGAAGAACAGGATGGACCGGTTCCTCTGGTCCCGTGTCAGTAGTTCTGTTGTCTGCAGGTATTTCTGAACTGACGGGAGAATCACAGCGACTCAGAACGAACGTCAACTCTGACAGGACGGGCCGCTCCGAGATTTCACTCCATATAACCTCCCAGGTGAGACTTTGATGTGAGATTATCTCTTTATTTTTATCACCAAACTGAATATATTGAGTCTTGATTCTCTCACTTTAACTTTGTTTTTGTAAAACACTTCAGATGGTGAATCGGTGACTTTAAATCATCTGTGAGACGAATATTTGTAATTTTATCTTGAATTAATCCAGCGAGTAAAATAGATAAAGTTATATTTAGAGATGACAGCAAACAGACTGGGGAATCACATGACACCCTTCAGGTACCGTTGCCCGGGGCAACAAACTAACTAAAGTAGGACACCAGAGTCAGTTATTGATTAGGGCTCCTTTGTGAGCGGTGAATATTCCTTCTTATCAAATCAAACGGTTCTTATCTAATCTGAATTATTCTCTCTGGGACTGAGATTACAGATTATTTGATGTTTGAACTGCATAAATATTTAGTAATAAGTCTAATGAACTCATCGTCCTCCTTCAGAAGTCATCATGTCGTCCTCCAAAGTGGTCATCAAGCAGCCCCAGCCCACGATGGTCTCCCAGTACGCCAACGACTGGGGCTCTGGGATTTGTGACTGTTGTGACAACGTACCAGAGTGTAAATTCTTCATTTTGCTCCTGTTTGGCTTTTATCTAAACCCTTTTAGATCTAAATGTGAACTTATATCAGCTTCATGTCTCAGCTTCAGGATGTTACTGTAGGGCGGCCACAAGGATCTATTCCTGGACCACGACTCTTTATATTGTCATAAACGATCTTTGTGATTCACCAAACACCAGCAGAGTTCTGCCTTTTTGCCGATGATACCGCTGTTTACTTTGACATGTGAATGAGAACTTTCTCTGGAGGAGTCTGACGTGAACCGAAGTTTAGACTGGAGGACACGATTCAGTCCTTCAAACAGACAGGGTTTAATGAAGAAAAGGCGTAACCCGTAACAAAAACACCAGAGTAGAGGAGTAGCGTTCGTCTCATCTGCAGAAAAAGTAGCGCGTCCATCATGTCGGACAAAAACAACGCTGTACGATGCTCCATCTTCTCGCTCAAATATCGGAAACAGCGCCGCTGGATAGACCCATATCGCCCCCTAGTTTGGGGGAGGAGGACACGTTCACGTCAATAATTCGATTTTCTCTGCTGCATGAATATGCGGACAAGAAGAGAAGTCCGATTTGGCGAAAGAAACGAACTATGAGCTCAGTCCGATTAATCTGAGCATGTAAACACACTGAGTGAGACACACAAGGTTTAATACATAAAGAGAAATAAAGAGGAAATGAGGGTGAAACAGGTGGGGAGACACAATCAGGGGGCAGGTATGATGAGACGGGGGCGGGGCAGACCAGACAGGAACAAGGGTTAGTGAACTACAAAATAAAACAGGAAATGAAACAAAACATGAAAAAAACGTGCAAAAATAAAAGAAACTGAACTAACATGAAAGTACTGAATATAAAAAGGAAAACTTGACCGACATGACAAAGTCCTCAAATTAACAGACTTAGATTAAGAGATATCCCATTTAAATACGAGCAAAAAGTTTTTATAGTTTCTCCATGTTGACATTTTTAAAACCTGTATGACAGAAGTTTGACGGATGACATTTTGAAAAGTTTCTGTTCTTAATTTTCTTTATTTTGGAATAAAAAGGAACTTTAGAGGGTCAGTGTGTAGTAATCAGAGACATTTAGCAGAACCGACTTGGTGCAGATGGAGTTTATCTACAGAAAGAGCAGGTCGATTAAAAATCTCTTATAGTTATTGAATAAATGAGGCAAAATTCAGGACTAAGAAAAAGTATTGGAACTTTTAAAGTTTACTGAGAATCTGTCATAATCTCCACAGCATATTGGAATTAATAAGTCATTTTTTTCACTTGTTTCGTTCCAGCTCAGGTAGTCCCGGCCTGACTCTGAGACAAAAGCACTTTGTTAACCCTCCTTCAGAGCTGCTCTTTGTTCCTCGTTTCTCTTCTTTCCCTGAAAAAGTTTCTGTTGAGGTTCAGAGAGCAGTCGTGGTTTTTATTTCAGCTGCATAAAATGTTGGATTAACCATTTTAAATAACTTTAAATGTTGAGGAATAAGAGCAAACATTCGTGTAGTTGATCTTTTTTCATTTGAGCCTCGAGAAAACATCTTGGATTTTCAAACCAAAGGATTAATAAAGTTTTAACTTTTCAACTCGAGTTACTTTGGATGAATCCTGACTGAGAAATCTTGACCCATTATTGCTGCATGAACTCACTTTTAATGAGGAAACTCAGATCCTCTTCCTTGAAATTCTTGTTATTTTTCATTTCTGGAGTGTTGTCATTCACTATCTCTGCGCTCGTCTCTAATTTTAAGTGGTTTTTTTTCCTGGTTCAGGTTGTTTTGCCTTCTGGTGCTGCCCCTGCTTCGCCTGTAAAACCTCCAGAGACTACGGGCAGCCTCTCTGTCTCCCCCTGCTGGAAATCTTTGGAGGCTGCATCCCGCCCATCACCATGTCAATGAGGGTCCACATGCGGCAGCGCTACGACATTAAAGTAAGGATGAAACTCTCTTTAGTGTTGGAGGTTTGAGTCTTGGTTACTCTAAAAAAACTAACTGATTAAAGTCTGGAACACATTTACAGATAATAAATCATTTTTATGTCTCTATAACTGCAGAAACATCTGAACAGACGGCAAACAGACACACTGAAGAGTCAAAAAGAGTGAAATGATTGATGTTCTGCTTTTTTATGAAGAATTTGGTGCATTTTTACTCTTACTTATTTGCTGCTTATCCTTCTTTTTTAAAGACAGTGAGTTTAAAGCGACGTGTGTTATTAATATTAAGCATTAAGAACACAAACAGGTGGTCATATTTTCAGTTTATTTTGGTATATATGTAAATAACTGTATTTACACATACACCATATGTGTAAATAACTCAGTCATCTGTATACAACTTCACTGGTTAAATCAAAGGCAGGGCATTTATATATGAACTGAACAGAATCGGTCTGAGGATTGATCCCTGTGGAACTCCAATATAAGATGAGCATGTGTGGTTAATTATTGCACATGTACGTATAGTAAGAAGTTTAATATAAGAGGATATAAGAATATTAGTCTGATTTTAACTTGATCTTTTCGTCTGCAGGGCACCTTCTGTAACGACTGCGTGTACGCCACCTTCTGTACGTCCTGCACCTGGTGTCAGATGTCCAGAGAGATGAAGAGGAGAAAGATTCAAGTGGTCCTCGTCAGCGCCAAGAACACATGACGTCCCTCCTCCTCTCCTTTATCGTCAACACCAGAATTATTTCAATAAACCCTAAACCTGCTTCTTCAGTGGAAAACAAGTGATAACTGAGGACTGAAGCCCAGTCCTTATATTAGGATTTAGGTTGAGGCTGTAAAATATCTTCTTTTTGAGACCTTAAAGCTCCTGTGAGAAACTTTTAATGCATGTTGATTTCGGCGCCCCCATGTGGACAGTACTTTAAGTTCAGCAGATCTCAGTATCATCTCTCTGTTAAATCACCTTTAAAAGTAAAATCACTAATATAAGTAGAAGTTCAGGTAGAAGAGCTTGTTCTACTGACTGAAAAAAACAAAAACAGGTCTGCTGAAACCAACCGGCATAATAAATAAAAACAGAAGTACTTTAATAATCATTTAGAGCCTGTATGAGTTAATTTGTCCCTGTAAAACTCTGTTTTTCTGACTTTTTGTTTGTTTGTTTGGTCGTTTCTGCTCCTATTAGAGAATAAATGTTTAAATTCTTAGAGGGATAAACTAAAAAAGGCCAGTTTATTATTTTACAAGTTATTTCCAGTAAATTCAAATATTAAATGTTATAATATCTGCTAATAATCAGGGAAATTTCTGTAGAAATGTTGTTTAAACTTATACTGTCAGTGAACTAACGTTTAGATATTCAAAGATTCTGACTTTGGCGTTGAGGGAAAAACCTCATTTAATAGTTTTATTGGTATTTGATGTAAAACCTGCTTTTTTGATAACTTCTCCATTTGAGTTCACATCACTAATATCAAATATAATAAACTGACTTTCTTTAATTGTTACTGAATGTAAATAAAGTAGTTAAATGTCTACAGTCAGCTGTTAGTTTTGTTTTATTATACAGTTATATGAACAGTACAGATTATATTTAAATCAAACTGATGTTAAATGAAGGTGATATTCTGCTGTAATACCTGTCAGCTCCACTAGAGGGAGCCACACTCCTGACAATGAGCTGATGGTTGAGTTCAAGTTGGGTCAGAGAGGAGGAGAGCGGCACACCTTTCAATACCTGAAGTTACTTTAAGAAGAGAAAGTCAGACTGAAGTAACTTTTTTTGTTGTTGTTTTGTTTTATTTTAATTCAAGGATAAATTTTTAAATCTTAAAACCCCGAAACAGTTTATTCACAGTCTCAACTTTCACTGAGTGTGTTTTCTTTAAAGAGATGGCTCCACATCAGCACAAGGAAAGTTCAGATTAATAACAGTTTTCACTTTTCTGTCTCTTTTGGTGTTTAAAATGTTTGAGCACAAAAAAATCTGTTTTATCCTGTTAAAAATTGAACTGTATTTGTACCTATTTTCAGAGCCGGCCCGAGCCTAAGCAAAATTTGATTTGGTGGTCCTCTATTTTCGCCAATAATATTGATTTTTGATCATTCACACACCTACCACTGGATAAATTTAATGTGCCTGATATATCTTTAAACATTTAAGGGGGTGGAAGAGGTAATAACATGAATAATACCAATACAACTGTACAAATAATACCGATGAATGACTGATGACTGATGAATGATGTTCAGGGTTCCACGTCTGGTTTTTAATCTCAAAAAGTAACACATTCAGGATGCTCAGTGCACATAACGGTAGCTGAGTTTTGACATATCGGTAGTAAGAATCATAGGCCTACATCAGCAGCACTAAAATGTTTTTACTTTATTTTATTTTATTTTTACAATATTATATATTTCATCATACAAAAAAAATTTGATTGCTCTTGGGGGACCCCTACTGGCCGTGGGGCCATAAGCAGACACCTACTTCGCTTTTGCCTGTTTTTTTTTGGCGAGCGTTGGCAGAGGTTAGCCTGGAGGTTACAAGACTGAAAACCATAGATACCTGTATTGATGATAGCTTGCTTTTTGTGTTTCTGCCCTCTAGTGGTCAAAGGTTATAAATGTTGTATTAGTTTTCGGTCTGCAGACATCGTTCAGTTTAGGTGTAGAGGACGACGTTGAACCTCTCTGTTTCTGTTCTTTTCTCACTCCTCTTTTTTCTCTTATCATATTTTGTCAAATTACTTCCAATAAACTTCTCCGTCCGTTCGCCCCCCCCCTCTGTGTGATCCAGCGGGCCGGTCCCTCCCCTCTGCTGGCACACTTGGCCCTGGTGTTCACTGTAAATTGCTCAGTGGGTTGTTTTTAATGGGATTATAATGACAGTTATGGTTTGCAAGAATTGATGTTTGTGACTTTTACGAGGTGTGAGTGAAGGGGCGGGTCCTGGCGGCTCATAAAGGCTGCAGGAATGTTAATTGGTCGAGGCCACTGCTGCCCTCTTTGTTCTGCGCGCTCATAGTGGGCTTCTGTTGCGCCCGTTAAAGGCCAAAGAACTGATTTAAAATCTGTGACTCGAACCCCCGACACCCCGAACACCCCCCAAACACACATATGTACACGACTTATCCCACCTCCGTCCCCTCCTATTCTTTCTCCCCCCCGAAGAAAATGGACCCTTTACTTGGACCCTCATTTCCTCCGTGTTGCTTAATCAGGAGGTCAGCACCCCCACCCTGTGTGGGTTTGATCCACAGTGGAGGGAGTGACTTTTTTCTCTGCTGCCACACAAGTACGATCAAACCTGAGTGAAGGCTGGGGGGGGTTCGTGTCGTTTTTATAGTTTAGACGAAAAGAATAAATGAGAAACACAAGAGGGAACCGAACGTTTAACGAAGGCTTTTATTCTGAAATCCAGGCCACTCACCACTCAGGTGTGTAGACAGGAATCTGTTAAAGAAGCATCTTTTTATTTTGTGGTTTTTATACAAAAAATCTTCTAATATCAGTCAATAGTTATTAGTTATTGATTATTTGGTAATATATCGATATCTCTGTGTTCTCTTATGTCTGTGTCGTCAACATTTGAACATTTCTGAGCGGTCCGCTCTTTCTGACTGTAAACAAAGACGTTCTCCACCTTAGGCCTGCTGCTGTGCTTCCCTTTCACAGTAATCCCACCACTACTGCATCGGGAACTAAATTAGGCGGACATCGTAGAATTCCTAATCTAATCTCAGAATCCTGACTGCGGTTCTAGAACTCTGAATTTAATCTCAGAATTCTGATTTTAAACTCTCGCTGCGTTCGAGTTTCCTCAGAAGTCAGAAGTCCGAGCTGAAAATAACGTCACACCCGAGTTCCCGGCGTTTCAGCTACCAAGTCAGAAAAAAGCAAAGTCAGGGGCGGAAACAAGATGGCGACATCTGTGGAGGTTATTTTAGTGCTCGCTTTGTCCGAATATTAGGCAAGCGCTTACTTGGAACTCGGGTGTGACGTCCTTTTCAGCTCCAACATCTGACTTCTGAGGTAACTTGAACGCACCATCTGGACTCTGAATTTAATCTCAGAATTCTGACGTTTCTCTCGTTATTTTGATTCATCCTGACTGTAATCTCAGAAAGTTTTTTACTAAAATCTCAGACTCGGACTTTAGTCTTTGATTTTACGCTCAGAATTCTGAGATTACAGTCGGATTACTGAGATTACATTTAGAATTAGATTCAAATCTGGATTCTTGCTGCAATCTCAGAATTCTGACTTTAATTCCAAGTTTTGAGTCTCATCTAAGAATTCTGAGATTAACTCTTAGTTCTTTATTTAATCTCAAAAACACAGAATTTTGAGATTAATCCGCATTAATTTAATCTGTGGGACAACATCAGGACATGTGATGACCTCTGACCTTCTCTTTTGGATGTCTTGAGTTTCTATAGTAACTCTGAGGTCATGTGACGCATTTGAACCTGGAGCAGGTTGAATCGCTCTGATGCTGCAGAGCGTCATCCTGTCCACCTCCACAGACAGAGACGCCGCCGTCTATCTGCCCGCGTCCCTCCATAATTTCCAGGGGAAGTGTTCCTTTTAAAAGACAAGCTCGGGGTTGGCGAGGGGCGGGCTGATAACGCTTCAGGTTAAGATGAGGTGGGAGTCGGACACACGCTATCAGACGACGGGCCTCCGAGCAAACAAACAGCTCTGACCTCTAAAAACAACGGCAGCAGGGAGCAGCTGATAGTGAGAGACGGATAGGTGGAGGCTGGTGACAGGGCAGTGCAGGGTGTGTGTGTGTGAGTGTGTAAGTGTGTGTGTGTGTGTGTGTGTAGGGGAGGTGGGGGCAAAGGGGGCATGCAGGGCAGGAATGATCTGATCCCTCCATGCTCTCAGTGTCTCACTGTCTCTGTTCTTAAAAACACAAAAACGTCCTTTTTCATTATTAAAGGAACATTTCGGAGTTTCAGCCACAATGAACAAGTTTAATATTTACGATTGTCGGTTCCAAACCGTATCGGAGCCAATTATCGGGACAAATTCCCTCTTCATACACCGCAGACCACAGGATAATCTTTGAAGACAAAAGATGATCTTCTGATTGTCGTCCTTGGTCGGGACAAAAACAGCCCGATTATCTTTCTGTGTGTTCCCCGCTTTAGAGAGAATATTAGAAACTCGCCGTAGGTGTCTGTGGACGCGGCCCGTGTGCGGCTGTGTGCGCGACACGTCTAGATTAATGAGGAAACAGAGGGAGGAGGAGGAGGAGGTAGAGAGGTGAGGGAGGTGAACAAATTCTTTGATTAGTGAACCCTGTCAGTCAGATTGGCCGGGGTTCGAACACGCCGGACGTCAGAGGACGACGAAGTGAGAGGTGGTCGTGTAAACACGCAGAGGTAAACAAACGGCGGATCAACTGGATTTGATGTGCGGTCTTGTCGTGTTTGAAGCTGGTCTTTGTGTTCTGACCAATCAGGATCAGGTATTTAACACAGCTGGGTGATCAGCTGTGATTGGATGTACAAACAGTAACTATACATATCCATATCTGCACTTTTAAACTATTTTAAAATCTTAGAGCTGACTTATTTCACACTTATTAATCACTTATTAATTTTCTAATAATCAAAAATATAAACTGAATCATTTGAGGCTCAGAAAGTCGCATAAATAAGATTGAATAAGGAAGAGGTTGTAGTTGCAGCTGTAGTTGGAGTTTCTGGAGGCCTCAGCTGGCCTTTCATGCATTTTCCCTCAAACCCTTCTTCCACTAGGGGGCAGCACTCAGAGTTAAACTCCCTGCATGCTCCTCTCAGAGGTTCTCTCTTGTTAGTTTTGATATACGGCTGCTGCAAACAACCTCTAAGTGCATCTCGAGGTTCATTGAAAGGGTGAATAAGATCTGTGACTCTGGAGTGGACGTCCTTTAGTCCTCTGCAGAGTCAGACGGCGACCCCACACACCGCTGTAGGGTCACTCAGACTAAGACAAACACACTTTATTTTAGTACACAAGTGGCATGATGTGCATGATCAAAACAAACAGCTGATCATCACAGATATACTCTTTAAAGGGACAAATATAAAAACATGTTTAGTAGTGTGCAGTTTTTAGTCTTTATGCCGTCCAGCCATAGTACGAGACACCAAACGTCTTTTTAACTTTGACTCATTTCTTCAGCAAAGAGACTAAACACAACTCACCTACTCTCTTCCAGCAGACGCTTGTTTGTAGCGAGACGTCAGACCAGTCCATTACGGACTACAGCGGGGTGACGCAGCTCAAGGAAGAACATTTATGATCATTTCTGTGTTTGACCCTAAATTAACTTTACTCTGGAATATCCCTTTAAGAAACTCCAGTACTCAGGCGGTCCAGGATTATCCTCATAACGCTGTTTTTAAGGAGGACTTTTCATGTCTCCGCTTTATTTAGAGTCCTGATGCTTCTAAGAGTTTTAATGGTATTTTTTAACTTTTGAGACAGCCTCAAGTGGACAATTAAGGTACTGCCGTTTGTTTCATTCCTGCACTAAGGTCATTTCTAAAGGTTTCCAACTGGTTGCACTTTAGTTTCTCATGTTCTTTGTTGAGATTTAAGGTGAAGTTTCGATATTTTAGGGCAATAAAACCTGGACTTAAATAATCTGATACTCGAGGTTTGGATAAACTCTGACAGTCTGGATTCAGGAACTTTTGCTCTCTCAGCATGAAGAACTCGCTCAGACCAATTTAAGACACGGTCTGTTGACGTTTCCCTCTTAATTTGAAATTCCTCACTTCCTGTGGGCAGAGGCGTCATCAGGCAGAATCTATAAATGTGAAACACGTCCAAGTCGGAGCTGGTCGGGTGTATTTTTATACCTCTCAGTGCAGCCCTCTCTGACCCTCAACATCACTAACTACTCTGACCCCACCCCCCACCTCCACCTAAAGCCAGACTCTTTGTCACCGTGGTGATTGGTAGACTAAACACTGGGCAATATTCACCAGATCCACAACCCACTGGATCATTAAAAACATTAAGACGAAACGAAACGAAACAAAACTCGTGACCCCGCCCCAGCCATGTGGCCCACTCACACTCTATTTTAAGTGCACGGTCACACGGCAATGAAATCACACACACACACACACACACACACACACACACACACACACACACACACACACACACACACACAGCCTATATATTCTTAACATTCTTCAGCCGGTAAACAATCAGGACGGAGAGATGCATCACTCCGGCAGACAGACGGATTCGGAGGGCTGGGAATGTTTACACGGCGCTGTCGCCCTCTGAGGCCTCATCCAGAGCCGACGAGGACTCAGACGGAGAGGAGAGACACCGAGAGACACCGAGAGACACCGAGAGACAATGTTCATCAAGTCATGAAGTGCAGCTGATACAGCAGCTGATAAGACTGCAGGGAGGAGCTCATTACTGTCCTGACGGCTACCGACAAGGACCATGAACCGGCGTTTGTCACATTTCAACCGATTTAGTTCAATAATTTTAGATTCAACTCTGTGCACACGTGTATATGTGGTAAATATCATGAGCAGCTTTCATGAAAAAAGACCATCTGTGACGAAATTGCCAAAGAACATGGTTACAGAACAAGACATGATATGGAGGGTCAATTCACCAAAATAAAAACAAACGAGATGAAAAGTACGGTCATGTATGGGGACATATCATCCAAGAACACAACAAATACAGATTTAAAGATCTCAATGACTGGATTTTAGATCCAGCAGAAACCCTGATAATGTAAAGCCACCAAAAAAAGAACACCACTACACTTTTAAAGGAACATTTTTGACTCTTTAAAACTCTTTAAAAAGTTCAGATGCAGAATCTGAAATCAAACTATGGATGAAGAAATGGGCTGCACATTTTTTACATGCATCTGTGTAAACTTCTCGCTTTAATAACCTCTACGTCTTAAAGAATTAACACCTTGAATCTCAAAGTCACGGTTTCATGTGCAGCATTTATCTGAGAATGGCTTTTAAAAGCTGTTTCGAGATGTGATTAAGAGTTTTAATTTTAAACTGCATTATATAAAATCATGTTTCTTCAATTTTCATGAAGTTCTGCTTTAACTCTGTGATGCATTTTGATTTACTTCACTTGTAAATGTTGCTTTATAAATAAACCTGCCTCTTCATTTTAGTGGTAAAAACTCAAATTCTTGGATTATTTGAGGTTAAAGAGAAACATAAACAGTCCATTAAAGTAAGTCAAGGTTTTTTAAAACAGTCTACATCATCTACAGTCATATCTTCCTCCTTCAGCGTGACCCTCCTGGCGGCTTTGAATAATATGTAGGATGCGTCCGTCTCCATGACAACAGGTTAGCCTTTCTCTACCGCTCTGGTCTGGAGTTTTTGGTCCACGTTGTTTGCTACAACGCATGTGCGAATGAAAAGTAGATTTGTTATTTCTTTTTCGTTTCCTTCTCTATCATATATTCTGTTTGGAGCTAAAAACACAAAAACAAACACTGATACTTTATTTTTTGGTTACAAAGAAAAACAAATAAAATAAATATCGACTCTTTTTTTCGTTTACTAGATTGAATGGAATAATTAAATGGACAGATAATACACGGACCAACATGAATAAGGTCCAGTCATATACGTATGTCGTTTGTGTTGTTCTAGTTTTGTTGTTTGTTTTTGTCTTGTAGGCTGTTGTGAGTTGTTGTGGTTATCCACGTCGTCTTTGTCTTTGTGGTGTTATGTTTTTTTGTGTTTTTTCACTGCGATGGAGAGTTATCTGTAAATGAAGACTCCAGGAAGAAGAGCGATCGCCTTCGCCAAAGCTAATGGAGATTGAAATAAACGAAACAAAACCTGGAAACGAGGCGAAGACGTTCTTGTTCTTTGTACTTTTGAATTAAGGCTGAAGTCTGCTGTGTAAAAAGGAACACCCCCGTCGATAACGCCGTCGTTTCTTCATCGGTTTACACCGTCGTACGTCTCGGTTCCCCTTTTTTTCGGGGTAAATAAAGTCACACTTGAGGGTCTTCTTAAAGAATCCACAAAGTAGAAACTCTCTGAATCGCTAACTCTCGACTTCTCCGATGTTTCCGCCTCAAAAAGACGACATTTCGGCCGAGCTGACCCTGAGGGAAGTTTTTTATTTTGGCGTGTCTTCAGGCAGAGCAGACATGTTGGAGTCCCCGCGGCCCGGATACGAGCGAACTGACCGCATTCTACCGTGACTCCACATCAGTCAAAAAGATATACGCCACTTCCTCCACACACACACACACACACACACACACACACACACACACGTTTCTACGCGCAGAAAAGGCCTCCATCCCCGTCTCCATCAGTCAAGTCCTGCGGCCGATGAACTTCCATCGTCTCCAAGCTTGATAACAAGCCTCTTAAGCTTGGCGGCTAATCAAGCTCAAAGGAGGGAGAGGGAGAGATAGTGGAGGAGAACAAGAGGTCTGTGGATGCAGTCATCTCTCTCTCTCTCTCCTTCTCCTTCCTCTTCATTTTCAATTTGGCCTTATCTCCCTCTCTCCACAGGGGGAGGCGGAGGGAGGCCTAATAGCTCAGGAGGGGGGCTGCGGAGTCTCCCCACATACCAGTCATTTACTTAAACTGGAGAAGAAGAGAAACGTCCTGATAAATCATCCGGGGTCACTCGGCTTCCATGTTCCCCCCCCGAGTTACGAAGATAGAGAGAGAGGAGAAAAAAACGAAGGAAGGAAGAAAAATGACAGAAAAAGTTAAAACGGTCCGACTTTGATGTTTGTCCCTCAGACAAACGCAAAAAAAAAAAAAAAGATTTCAACAGAAATCAAGAGGCGGCGGCGGTGGCTGCTCCGCTAATGTAGGTCAGCGCTGAAAAAATGAGCGCGGATTAACTCGGCTTCTGTTTCATGGACTGAAACAAACTCAAGTGTGAAGATCATCATAGGATGAACACGGGTGACGCAAACTAGAGACGTGTTCGAAGAGCAGCTCCCCAACAACTCACGCCAAGGTAGCCAATCAGTGAAGAGCTTCCCTGATGATGTTCATCAAAAATGGACGGGTGGAGGTTTGTTAATCTGAAAAATGGAGGAAGAACTGATCGTGACGGTCAAATAGAAACAAAAAGAAACTTTTTAAACCAAAATATTCAAACCTTCAAATCTAGAAAATTTCCATATCAGTGTCCGGTGTGAACACGACTTCACTGTTCCAGATTTGAGCCTCAGTGTCATCTACGATCACTCAGTTTACATTCAAACATCACAGGAAGTTATGAGACCATTTTTTCTCTCTCTGAGTATATCTGAAAAATACATGGAAATGTCGGATAGCTTTTTTATAATTGATGGACGGCGTTTGTCAAATGTACCTGGACATCACTCCCCGCTACTGTAGCCGAAAAGTTAAGAGACAGTATTGGGGTTAGGGTTTAAGTTAATGTCCAGGACCTTTTAGAAGCACGTTTTAGACCATTTGGAGTCAACTTGTACAAAAAAAAAAGGAAATATGTCAAAATTTTTTCAAGTGTTGGGGTTACGTTGGGGTAAAGTTGGGTTTAGGATTAAGGTTTAAGAAAAGCGTCACAAAAGTTAACCTAAAGCTGAGGTGGAAAAAAGAAACTCAGCAGAAATATATTTTTTTAAATCTGATAAAGAAAAAAGTTTGACGGAGTGTCAGTAATCTATGATCTACGAAAACATCGTCCTCCATCCAACAAACCTGTAATAATTACATCCATTAGTAAAATTACAGTGTGATTTATTTCATTCATTATCTCAGTTTATCCAATTAACCCTCTCTTCATAAAAACTAGTTTTGGACTTGGACAGGGGTCGTCTCATACTGAGGGTTCGCAGAGGTCACAGATGTACACATTCATATAGTTTCTCTTCCTCTCTTCCTCTCTCTCTCTCTCATCGATTTCCCACGGCTCTCTTACCTCACCCTCTCTCCCCCCTGAGCCTCCCTCTCCTCTCTGCAGCTCTGTCAGCTCTCCGTCTCCAATCACCTCCTCTCGCCTTCGTCCCACTCAGACTCCTGAGATCACCACCTGCTCTCTCCTGCTCTCTTTATTCACCGTTTCAGGTTTGAACAAACGTGACCTTGACTCCTGACATTAAAGTCTTTCAATGACATGTTGGTGGATTTGCGTGTATCAGAGAAGTCATGAGGATATATTCACTCAGTCGTGCTGCCGGTGGACGCCATTTCTCTCCTGTTTGGCACATCCTCAGGAGAAAGACTGGTCCATTATATCAGTCAATCTTAACACGAGTCTCATGTTGTCTTTATGACTGGAGTCTAATCTTATTATTTTAGCAGCTTGGATGAATTTGCCCTCAGGACACTTTCAGAGAGGACTGACCCCCAACCTCCACCACATCCTAAAAGGTCGTATCCTCCGATCGTAGCTGATCGTAACCATTCAAGTTAACGTGTCAATTCCCACCGACTTCTTTCCGTTCCTCTGCGGATCGCCGGACTTCTCAGCTGATCATAAGAGTTCAAGTGAAAGGTTTTTAGACGTCATTTCACCCCGATGACACCATGGATGAGGAGATGCTGATTCTAGAAGTCTAGAAGTAGATTTCCTCCTCTGGAAGGACAAAATCTACTGCTTATATGGTTCCGGTTGCTGTGGTAATCCTGGGTGACTGTATGAACCTCGACAGTACAGCAGTTATATTCAACAGAACAGGATGTAGTTTTATTTTGACGAGGTTTGAAGGACAAAGTCTGTTTTTTACATCTGTGTAACGCTGAGGTTAAATGAACTCCATGTATATTTATGTTTTTAATGTTTCTGTGTGTAAAGATTTTGATCAAACCTACTTCTGTTGTTTTATTTAGATTATTTTAACAGCTGGACGTCTAAAATCCGGTTTAATGTTAAATCCTGAATAATTTCCTCTGTTACAAAAACTGTTTTGAGCAGAAACAACTCTGAGATTTATCAATTTAACAAAGTTAAAGAGCTGAATCTGGAGACGTGTGACATCATGTGTTTTTAACTTCATTTCACACACACACACACACACACACACACACACACACACACACACACACACACACACACACACACACATTCCTCTCAGCCTCATTCTCAGAAACAGAGGCAACATTATACCATTAAGGCGCTCACTAATCATGTCCGACCTTTTTTCCTCCTCACGTCTTAATCTGTCTCAACTAAACCCGCCATTAGTGGGACCCCATCCCCCAAACACACACACACACACACACACACACACACACACACACACACGGTCATCTGTCCTCCCCCAACACCCAATAAATGCCCATGAATTACAACCCCAATCCCAAAAGTAGGAACACCGTCAGATCTGTTGATAGAAACGAGTGAAAAGACGATTAAAGACGAATAAAGACGAATAAAGACTCGCTCTGAATTCAAAGACTACAACATGTTTTTAAAAAAGTGTTGACAACAAAACAAAACAGATAAAAAGTTCTTCTGATAGAGAAACAACCAAACAGGTCAACAGTGGTGTAACGGTATAAAAACATCTGGAGGAACATCTCAAACCAATGAGGTGGACTGTCAGAGATTTCTGCAGGGATCACAACAGCATGGATCAGTAGTAGAAGAGTCCTGCTGCTAAACCGGCCTCTCTGGAGTCCTGATTTGTCCTCCGTTGAACATATTTGTTACTTCTTGAAATTAAAGATGCGACAAAGAAGAAGATCCTAAACTGTTGAGAAGTTTGTTTGATCAGGTTCCCGAACACTTACAGCATCGTCAAAGACCATCAGATTTCACAGTTATGACCCTGATCCGACCCGACTGAAGACCCCGTCCTTCCAGCGGCCTCACGTCCTGATCCTTAAATGGACGAGCTGAAAACCCGTTAGTGTCTCTGGAGTGATTTCTGCGCCTCTTCACAGTCAGCGAGGAGAGAGAACATGTAAAATCGAGAAGCAACAAAACGACCGAAGAGGAACGAAGAACATGAAGAGGTGAAGGTTCAGAGATCTTCATTTATTTATCCTTCAGAGCGATGATAAGTCACTGTGCCGGGGTCTTTGTACAGCAAAGGATTATGGGTCATTAAGGAGAGGAACCGGATCATAACAAAGTGTTGTTGTGAAAAATTAGACCTCCTCTCAGACGTGATGCAGCGATTAAACCGAAACACCATGACCTTCTGTGTGTGACCTTCCTGAATATACACACACACGCACGCCCTCACACACGTATCCCATGATTCCTCAGGTGTCATCATAACTCCTCCGTCTTGTAAACGTCGGCGCTGTTAAATCCTGCCGAGGTTGAACCCCGCGGAGACATTTTTCTCCACGGCTTCACCTCGTACTGAAAAGTAAATGTTTAAGCGAGCGAGGATAAACAGAGCTAAATCATCTTCCCGGGCCGCGAGCGCACACCTTCGGGGGGAACGGAGGGATTCTGGGAAATAAAAGTTGTCCCTTGGCTGTATCTCCGGGAGCATCAGGAGCGTGACAGGTTTGTCTGGAAGGAATTTCAAACAAAAGACGCACAATCGTTGACCCTCAGAGCTCGTCGGCCCGGAGAACACGGCGATCTGATGATGGCGTTTATTTTAAAATGCATCAAATCACCTGAATCTGGACTCTAACGGTGGATTAAAAACGTTTATGAACGCATGAATGTAGGGAAGTTTGTGTGGAGGGATGAACTGAACAGGGACTTCAGATCAGAGCTGCACAGTTTTCACAGTTTCAACCATCGAAAAGGTCTGAATGCATCAAAATAATGTGACTAAAACAAAAACCTGCATTTATCAGGTGGACATTCTTGTTTTTCCAAAACTTTATACATCTATACTGTCAACACTGAACTTTAGAGACGTGACAAAACGTGTTCAATATCGAATTAAATGAAATCAGTTAATGAGACGTGAGCAAAGATCGTGAGATTAGTCATGTGTAGGTGAGAGTGTCCAGAACGGCAACGAAAAGGTCGTATCCGCCGATCTTAGCTGATCGGAACCATTCAGGTTAATGGGCTCTATTTTGGTGTCCTCCGGGAGAGGTGTCGACAGAATCAGCGGGCGCAGTGACATTTTCGTGCTCGCTGCCGGCGTGTAAAGTGCACTGAAAGCTCGCCGTTTCAAACCTGGGCAGGCGGAGCGGAGCTGGTCTAGAGGTATTTTGGTAGCGCGTTTGGACACTTAACCTGACCGAACCAACACATCTGAAACCACGTTTAATTAAAGTAAATATCTAGTAAATAAACACATGATAAAGTTAACAAGTTTTTTAATTCGTCTCCCTCCTTTTCTTTCTTCCTCTTATTTCTCGCGCAGCTCGACCTCGACAGTCGGATCGTATTTCACACCATGCGAACGGGCGGAGACGAACAAGTGAAAGGTTTTTAGACGTCATTTCATCCCGATGACACCATGGATGAGGAGATGCTGATTCTAGAAGTCTAGAAGTAGATTTCCTCCTCTGGAAGGACACAATCTACTGCTTATACGGTTATCCTCTGTGGCTAAAGACAATTCGTTATCAAGAGGCTCCTTTTCTTTTCATTAGGAAAACTCAAAGACCTGAACCTTCCTCACCAAAAAGGACTTTCTTTTTAAACGGACCCACGATGTCGGGAAGACTGAGCGACCCGGTCAGCGTCTGTGGGAAACACTATCAGCTCTGATTCAGAATGAAACTTTCTCCTCCTGGGATGTAAACACTGATTAGACTTTTTATTTCACAATTCCCCTCCTCTGAAACCCAAACAGTTCATTAGAGTAATCGGAGGGTTCAGGGTCTGTGTGGCCGGGAGGACGGGCGGACAGGCGGGCGGTTACACGCCTCAGAGAGCCGTGACCTGAACGAGGTTTACGGTAAACAAAACCTCCGAGCGTTTTAACAAGGAAGTTTATCTGTTTTGGTTCATTAAAAAACTAAAGATGCAAAAAAAAACTCAGTTTTGATGAAAGTATTTCATTAAGAAATATCGATAAGATGTTCAGTTATTCAGGAGCTCCAGTTTGTCTGTTTCCTGTTCGATAAAGATTATAAATTAATCAAACTATCATGTTTCCGATGACGGTCAGACGTATAATCGATCTCAACATCCTCAGATCTTCCTCAGATTTCCTCATTCTGCTCTTTTCAGGAGCTCCAACCATGACCATCCACCTCTCAAACCTGCACCAGGAGGCGTAGCTCGGTCCGTACAGTAGGCCTGATGTTTATTTGGAAGTACGGTGGCCTGCACAGACCGCGGCCCTCCCTCCCTCCTTCCCTCCTTCCCTACTCCCTCACCTCCTCCTCCCCTCCTCCCCCCTTCAGTATCTCTCTGCTCCCAGGAAGCTGCCGGGCTTGGCTGGAGCCAGAGTTCTGCCCCATCCATCATCCTTATCAGGGAGAGACTGGCTGCACCGAGGAGAGGAGGAGGAGGAGGAGGAGGAGGAGGAGGAGGAGGAGAAGGAGGAGGAGGAGGAGCGAGAGGGAGGAGAAGAAGTTTTAAAAATGAAGTAAAAGACGACAAAACCAAAAAGTGTGGATCTTTAGTTTTAAAAAGTGTGGTGGATGTGGTCGGGGGTAAGATCAGGGGTGAGGTGAATGAGTGAGGGTGAGGGTGAGGGTGAGGGAGGGGGGCGGAGTCAGCTGTGATCAGCCCGATACAAACAAAAACAACAGGCCCCCTCTGACCACATCAAAGATTCCGACTCGGGGTTTGGACTGGGTCTTGGGGGTGGTGTTGGGTCTTGGGGGTGGTGTTGGGTCTTGGGGGTGGTGTTGGGTCTTGGGGGTGGTGTTGGGTCTTGGGGGTGGTGTTGGGTCTTGGGGGTGGTGTTACAGTTACAGTGTCTAATCAAAGTCCAGGCGGCGGTCTGACCCCGCACCTGGACCCTTCAGAGCGCCTTTTACGGCTCTGCGTCAAATACACAAAACCAAAGAAGAAGAAAGTCTAAAGAGGCTGACGGAGAGTTTTACGGTCGCAGTAAATGGAGCGGTTACCCGCCGCCATGGTGGATAAAGAGCTGGACGCCATAACTGTCAGAGCGCCCTCAGATGTCTGAGAGAGCGATACACAGACCGGAGGACTCTGTCACCTCAAAGGGAGGAAGAGTCTTATCAAGACCAGGTACCTGAGGAGGGGGTCGAGTCGAGTCGAGTCGAGTCGAGAAAAAGAGTCGAGAGATTTCAGAGAGTTTCGATTAAAAGTGAGAAAAAAAGGTTTATCTGCACTTTTAACCAACGGTTCCTACGATGTCCGTTTTGAGCTGACAGTCACATTTTTAAAGATTGGGGCTTTAAATTTGGTGAAAGTTTTTATTTTTCTTCATATTAAAAAAAAAACATGTCACCTGTGGAACTTTGTCGACACATTTTAGCTCCACCCACCCCCCTTCATCCCTGAATCCGCCAATAGACTTCCATTAAAAACACGTTTTGTTACATATTAAACCTTTTTCCTGCAGTCAGTCGATCAGCAGGGCTCTAAATCTGACTTTCCCACAGTGAGACAACAGACTGAGCCGCACATCATTTTAACCCCTTCAGAGCCGCTAAGTCTTCATTCATGGACTGAGAGAGTTTGAAGATTCATCCACTAAACATCATCAGACATGAAGGAAACTTTACATGACACTAGATATGGATGTCTAAGAGTGGGATATGTGTGGGAGGAGAAGTCTGTGTGCTCCTGCGTGTGTGCACGGGTGAGAATCTGCCTCCATGTTTAGAACCGGGCATGCTGGGAGTTTTTACAGTCGAGAATCTGACGTCCAAGTTTGACAATTTCAGCTTTGTCCTCACTTCAGAGTAAGTGGATGGACATGCATGAGGATGAACAGGTCCTTCAGATCATTAGGGGAGAAGATATCACATCTCAAATATGCAGTTATTTTTATATCAGAGTAATCACGGTCAGATTTTGGTAAGAGGAGGATAAACACTTATAAATGATTCACATCTTAGCTTCTGATTTTGTATACCCATATATGAAATTAATTAATATGAACACATGAATTTGATCACATTTGATTTGGTCGAGGACGAGGCTCGAGAAAAGGAGGTGAAAATGTCAAGTTTTTCTGCTCCAACAGACTCAAACACTTTATGAATAAATATGACATGGTGAACAAAAACTGGAATAAAAAAGGTAATACATTGAATTTTTTACTTTTTTTTACTGTTTCAATGGTTAGGGTTGAAGTTGTTTAAGAGATTTGAGTCAAAAAAAGTAAAAACAAAGTAAAAAAATGATAATTTTATAAACATTTATCTTCATGTCTGTTTTTGAGACGAAGTGGAATGGATGAAGTTTCAAATCAACAAAAACCGAGGGTGAAGAAACGTCATTTTAAGATTTTTAAGTGTTCTCAACCTCATCGATTCATCAATTCATCAATATTTATCTATACAGAGATCTCTATTTTTACTGAGACCAACATCAGGACTGGATCAGACTGAGACCACCTCCTCACAGATCAGATCCACTTCTATCACCTAACCTTCAACCACAGGAGAGAAAGACTTTATTTAACAGGCGGAAACCTCGAGGAGGACCAGACTGATGTTAGACCGTCATCTGCTGAGACTGAGCTGAGTTTAGAGAGGAGGGACTGATCCACAGGTCCACATTAGCTAAACATCTGAAGCAGCGATCCAGAGGAACCTACAGGATGATGGAGCTTAGTATGGAAATATAATCATGTTGATCGTATTTATCTTTATTGTTCACAAAATATCAAAGCTGAAACTTTGACTCCAGGCTTGACTGACCTTCTAAAGCTCCACAGACAGACAGACAGACAGACAGACGGACAGACAGACAGACAGACAGACAGACAGACAGACGGACAGACGGACGGACAGACAGACAGACAGACAGACAGACAGACAGACAGACGGAGGTCCAGCTCCTCTCTGAAGTGATTTTTTATCCTGTTTTCCTCACAAACAGATCAAATATATCTGCTGTTTTTCGCTCTCTTCGTTCTGTCTAACCCCTCGCCTGAAGGAAACACAAACTCGTTCATCTTGATTGTCACAAAACGACCTGAGTGATCCATCTCGGAGCAGATGAATGGACTCCTGCAGGCTGCAAACGTAATCAGAGCGGCTCTCTAATGGTGGATAGTTGTATTAGCGGCTGCTGCTAAAAGCCATGAGGCCAGTGTCAGATGAGGGGAAATACAACATCATTACAGCTCTACAGCACAGACGTGGATCAGTCTCTGATAACATTAAAGTCCAGCTTCCTTTGTGCGGCGGCGGTCTGCTCTCCAACACTCTAACTGCTTTTGGCGTGAGCCAGACGAGCGCCCGGCTTTGAAGCTGCAGAGTCACAGCGAGGAGGAGCGGGCGCTCAGCTGATGATGGTGACAGAGCCAGAGTGTGTGTGTGTGTGTGTGTGTGTGTGTGTGAGGTGGAGGTGCTGCTCGCTGTGTGATGTAATTAAAGCTTCACTAAGAAAGGAGATTATTTCTGTAAGAGGAGTGAAGTGAGCGAGCTCTGCTGCAGGAGGTTAGATGGACAGCAGAGTTCAGGTCTGGACGGTTTATGAACGAGAACTTCAAAGTCAGAGAAGACGGTAAACACAGAACTGGAGCTGCTGAGGAGAGACGCTGCTGAGAGTCTGGAAGAACCGGGTCTTATTGAAACCAGAGGGACTCAAAACACTCTCACAGTTTCCTGATAGTTTGAACGTTTGGACAGGAAGTGTTCAGAGTTTAGGGATTCTGATTCTCTTATCGATTCTCAGTGAGTGAGACATAAGATCATATAAATGATTTGTTCTCATTAACTCTTAAAAACTGAGTTTATAATAATAATAATAATAATAATAATAATAATAATAATAATAATAAATCTATGGTGGCAAAAGGAGACGAACAAGTAAAAGGTTTTTAGACGTCATTTCACCCCGATGACACCATGGATGAGGAGATGCTGATTCTAGAAGTCTAGAAGTAGATTTCCTCCTCTGGAAGGACACAATCTACTGCTTATATGTCTATGTGTCTGTCTTTAGAGAGACAACTTGTTATCGTGAGATTGAATGTGAATCTGTCCGTAATCCGCCACGAAATTCGCCTCACAAACAGATCTGGTAGGAATTGGCAGACAGCGAAAATCGCCACCGTTCCAGATGTGGTGAAAATTGGCGGTAAGACCACAAATCTGCTGAAAGCTCGGTGACACTCGTTTATCTTCGCCTCCGTCATTTTACTCCTGCCTCGATGAAAAGGGACCGCCAAAGGTTAGCTACCCGCTGCAGCCTCTGAGCTAGCAGGACTCTCTAAATGTAATTTAAGGAGATAGAAAGTATTTTTAGTAAAAGGGGGTTAGCATGGTGCTAACATCTACAACAGACCAGGACCTGGAGGAGTTCAACGTTACCTTGATGACGTCAAGATGTTAGCTCCGCTCCTGTTTTTGCCTGGATCAAACACATTACACTTCCACAGATTATTTACATGCTGGGTGGACAAACGTTTCCATTCTTAGGAACCGAATCACTGAGAACCGGTTCTAAAAAAGACCCGGTTCTTGATTCTCATCCTGAGTTACACGTGTGGTTCAGTGGAGCTTCAGTCTGAGCTCCATCAGCTGATTTCACTGGACTATGTTTACACGCACCGACGGACAGATTCATGTCCACCTGCGAAAAAACATACGAGAAAGAAGCTTCAGTAAGATTTTGTTTACTAATCGGTTTCCTAGCAACACATTTATGTTTTTCATCTCCCAGGTAAAAGCTCAGCGTGAAAACACCCAAAACACTAACAGCGGGACCAGAGGTGCATAAATGGAGGAGAGATTTGATCCCTATAGCTGCGTCATCACACAAAGTTTAATTTAGGTTGATTTCACTCTAAAGTACGTGTTTACATGGATTTTAAAAGTTCAGTTTTAGTGGGAACATGCAAAAAAAAGCCACTTTAACTTTACACAGCACGTATTCAGCTGACCAAACAAGAGTGAGGAGGACGATGTGATGTTAAACCATCAGAGGGAAAAACAGTACATGAGATACAGAAGACATCTAGACTGCTTAGTACCAAGAAAACACCATCGTGAATGCTCGGTGGAATGTAGAAGTTTGGATTTAACTAAGAAATTTGAGCTTTTATTTTGAAATGTTGAATCCAAGGGGGCGCAGCTGCAGGGCATGAGAGGCTGGAAGCTGCAGACCTCCACTCCTGGACCACAGACCTGGTTTATAAGACTTTAGCTTCAGCAGGTCTATAACACACTGGTCCCTGAATCCTGCTCTCTGATATTTCAGGAGGAAACGACGTTTGTGGAGGAAAAAAGTTAAAATCAGTTTGTCTCTGCAGGATGATGAATTAAACCTCCGTAAACAGAGTCTCTTCTTCTTTTTATTTTGGGGAGCAAACAGCTCACCTGATCAGACGTTTGTTCACACAGTCCTGCAGGTTTATTAACGTGTGTTAATGTTTATTAAACCGTTTCTGTCCTCTGCAGGTGCAGCTTTGACCTCAAACATAAATCTGAAAAATCAGCATGTGAAGGTGAGCTGTCTGCTTCATCCTCTTCTGTTTGTGTTCATAGACTTCTGTAGATATTAAAGATTAGACTGAAACACAAGGAGAAGAAAAGGGGAATGACTCGGACCAACAGCAGACAGACACGGGTCACTCTTTGAAACTCTTCCACGTCCGTTCAGACCCTGAAATAGCGCCTCTGAGCGTATCAGCCAACAGCAGGACTATAAATAGTCGCACTAACAGCAGGATAAGACGTGTTGCGTTAGATTTTCCGAGCACAGAACGATGTTTGACTTTGCTAAGTGTGTTTATAACTTTGTGAGCCAGCTTTGTGAAATCAGCGGTAATGCAATTTTGAGGCGAATGGTTATAAAATACACACGACCACTGGAACTATCCTCCTCGCCGCTGCATGAAGACGCTCCCAGACTGCAGTGGTCCGGACACGCCGGTCTGTTTAATGATTAAAGTGATGAACAAACTTCATTAACGAACTTCCTCTGTCTGCAGGTTTTTATTAAACATCATGATTCCTGCTGAGAAGAGAGCGCCTCTTGGCCTCGTCTTTATCTCCCTCTGTGTTCCAGCTGCTGTCATCTGTAAAAATGATCACCCTTATCCTCAGCTAATCCGGATTTTAAAACCACCATCATGTAAACTCATTTTTTATACAACAGCAGCAGCAGCAGCAGCAGCAGAGACAAGAAGCTTTTTACTGAAGATACAATCTGAAGAAACAACGACTGAGACCAGAAATAAGGACCAAAAAACTTCAGAAGTGTTCGATCATTTCTCTTGTTTTAAGACTTAATTTCTTATTTAAAGTGTTTTTAACTTTACGCTTTAATCTTATTTTAAGCACAGCCTTTTCTTTTTTTGTCTCAAATATACAGGAAATCTTCAAATGAGGAAAATAACTGTAAAAATAAGTTCTAGTCTCATCAGCAGGAATCTTGTTTTAAGATCAGCCTGCTCGGTTTGAGACAGAGTTTAGTCATTCTTCACTAATTCTGGATATTTTTTCTCACATTTCTTTATTTTGGTGAACTAATATTCAGCTTAATTTGCGAAAATTAAGAAAACAAAATATGTAATTGCTCATATTTAATACATTCAACTTATTTTAGGGCTTTAATTGTTAAAATTTAAGTAATCTGATCTTAAAACCAACATTTTATACTTTTTTATGCATCTATTTAATACATTTTACTTGTTTTAGGGCTGGGAAGAAGTTATTTTTTAAGTTATCTCATCTTAAAACCAATATTTTATACTTATTTTAGATATCAGGTGCATTTCACTTACTTTAGGGCTGTAAAAGTTCAAATTCGACTAATCTGACCTTAAAACCAGCATTTTATACTTATTTTATGCATATATCAAGTGCAATTTCACTTATTTTAGGGGCTGTAAAAGTTAAAATTCAATAATCTGATCGTAAAACCAACATTTTCCCCCTACCTTATACTCCTATTTAGTATATTTCACTTTTTTTAGAGCTGTAAAAGTTAAATTTTAAGTAATCTGATCAGAAAACCAACATTTTTGTCGTACTTTAAACCTCCAAATACATTTATAGACATGCTTATTTCCAGATTTACTAATCTTAATTAAGAAATCTCGTCAGGTGAAATGATCTTGCTGCATGGACAGATCATGTCACTTGTTTTTAGTCCCTTTCTCCCTCAGATTTCATGTGTTTATCTTGTTTTTAGACCCTCCTTTTTTGCAGTGTACGTCAAAGCGAGTTCTATCTACTCAAACAACTAAATTAAAATAAAAAACACACAGACTAAATACACATCTGAGAAAACCTCAGCTATCAGAGGATCTTCAGGATGGAGGAGACGCTCCTGCAGACTCTGCAGCGTCCTGGCGTGCTCGTCCTGCGCCCCTCTCCTGTTTTCGGACGGAGAGGGCAGAGCTCGGAGGCCCCCTGACAGATACTCGGGTGTAATTGGAAGCGTCTGGCGTTGTGCGTCGGCCTACATCCTCAGCGCTTCTGTCTACACGTACAGAGAGATTCCGACCTGTACACACACACACACACTTAAAGTCACGTCACGGTATATCACGACCCGAGCGTCACAGCGCTGCTTTTACACTGATGTATGTGCTGTGAGAGACCGTGGGAGAGGGGAGAGCGGGTCCTGTCTGCACGACCAGGAACCAGGAGGATCTCAGAACTCACCCACATCTGAATCACCCGGAGAGTCTGACTCAGTAACATACCGCTGGGTCTCTTTTCTTTTCTACTCTTAGCTCCAAAACACCAGGACAAATCTCTGTTTCTGTCTCTAATGAAATATTTCAGTCTGTTGAGATTTGATGGTTTCAGATTTAGGAATAGAAATGAATCAGTGCGATAAAAATGAGGTTAAAGTATTTTAAACTGAAGTTACAGAAATGTCTTCAAACCTCAAACTGAAACTACGACTTTTCTCTGTCTCTTCTTTTCATTTAAAGGAGTTTAACAAACAAAAAGATGTTTTTTTTATGTCCCATTAATGTCCATCATTTCTGACTTTTTATCCTCACGTCTTTAAGTTTGTTTTCAGTTCCTCTGTTTGATCTATACGGTGCTTTTCACAGGATGTTGACGTCTGCATCTATTTGCAAGATCTTCTGTATCCTGAGGTTGTGTTTGCAGGATTTTATCTCTTTATATTTCTGCATTTTCTTGTTTATTTAAAATGACTCAAATGTTGTGTTATGTATGTCAGTTATGCAGGTGAAATACAGATATTTTTACATTTTCAGGATCAAGTTTTTAGGTTTCTGTATATTTAGTTTGAGAGGACGCTCCTTTAATTCTTCCTGACCGTGTTTCTGGACAGCAGCAGTTAACACTCTCAGAGCTCCAACCTTTAACAAGTGACAGACTGACATTATCTTTACACACACACAGAGAACGAGAGAGCATTAAACTTTGGCAACAACCCCAAACATGAGGCTGGAAGGTACGGGCGTTAGATGGCCGATAGGAACGCCGGACTAAACAACATGTGACACGAGCAGAAGGACCCATAAATCGGGTCCAGGCTCAGCGAGAACCGGCAACAATGAGCGGCTGCAGCAAACAGCCAGATGTGGGTCGGTGCTGCTGAGGAGGGAGACAGATTTATGACCTCTTCTTTAATGAGGTAACATCCTTTTCACTCATAAGACTTTTAAGAAGTTTTTTTTTTTTTGACTGAAGGTAAAACTCCTCTGGAAGAAAGGCGAGGACGTGAGGGAGAAAAACTCTGAGTCACAAATTTAAAACTCGGCTTATTTTTCTTTTTACGTCATCACGGCTGCAGAGGGGAGTTCAGGGAGGAAAGAGGAGGAGGGGGAGGACGTATATAAAAAAATACTGAGGTAGACTTTAACGGGGATATACAGGCAGGAGCAGTTCGTGATTTACAACGACTTTTCTCCAACGTGAAGGGAGGGATGTGCAGCTTTCATGACAGTGGGAAAATTAACTTTCTGCACAAACTCCAGCACAGAGCTGCAGATTTAATATTTATCTCTTTGATGCCTTTGATATCATAGTTAAAACATACTTCTATCAAATCAATCTGATCAACAAGTTACTAAAAAAACACCTGATACAGTCTGATAAATGATCAAAATGTCCTTTTGTGGTTTATCAGTTTCCAAAAACATCAAATGAGATCAATAAATATATATTTGTGAGATTTTGGGAACATCTTGATTTATTTGGTTTACAGTAGGAAGTGAAATAAACACAAAAATATTTAATTTTTTGGCCCTAATATAAGGGTTATATTTATATCTTACAGACATTTTAAAAGAGTTTTATATCTAATAGTCAAAACTCAAAACCATTCGTCCAAAAATGTCGTTTTCACCCCTAAAATCCTGAGTATAAACGAGATTTTCTCTAAAAGGCAACTGTGTCTTGGTTTAAAAAGCAAAAATGAGGTTTTTTTTTAATCTGAGGTTAAATAAAATAAATCAAAATAAAAAAGAGAAGTTTAATGGATGACAGGCGGCTGTTTCTTTAGATTTAAACAGATTTAAAATAACTAAAGACGAGAACTGACTGATGATTCAATCACTGAATTTCATAAATTAATCTCATTTCTAATCCTGTTTCTAATTATATCATCTATATTTAAATCCAGATTAAAGACCACAGTAACTCTTAGCTCTGTCTCGTTTCTGAAATCAAATTAAAGTCGATAAACAAAAACTTTTTCAGGGATTCAGTCTTTAAATAATTCTGCACGGTTATGTCCACTCAGAGTTCTGTTTCTGCAGTAAATCTGAGATAATCCTGAATAAACACTCGTGTTCAGTGATCCGATAGTGATGAGTCACTGCAGACTGAAGCCACAGAAAGAACCACATGATGGTACAATATTCATGTTTCTTCTGATACGGTGTTATCCTCCGCATGATTACAACTGATTCAGTAAAATAAAGACGATCAATCATGAGTGAAAAACATAACAGGAAACAGAGACTCTAATAAAAACCAAAACAGCCGAAGAAGAAGAAGAAGAAAAAGAAGAAGAAGAAGGAGAAGAAGAAGAAGGAGAAGAAGAGGAAGAAGAAGAAGAAGAAGAAGGAGAAGAGGAAGAAGAAGAAGAAGAAGAAGGAGAAGAAGAAGAAGAAGAAGAAGAAGAAGAAGAAGAAGAAGAAGAAGAAGAAGAAGAGGAGGAGCTGTTCAGGATCTGAGGCGTGTGATCAGGATCAGTAAACCTGCAGAGCCCATCATGTCTGCAGAGATAACTCCAGTCATTAGTCATGTTCGGGGGTTTGGCTCTGGTCTGAGGGGGGGGCTCTCTTCTCCGTTTCATGTGTGTGTGAGAGTCAAGGCGGGGCGAGCATCAGCGACACACCTGTGACACCGCTAAAACAGGGTGACCATATTCTGAATCCCCGAAAAGAGGAAACCACTACAGTCACGGGGGCGGAGTCAGGGAGTCACACGTAGTAAATTTTGAGAGTGTTTTTACGTACGTCTCACTCAGTTTGTCCACGTGACACAAACTCAAAACTTCCGTACAAAACAACGTTTGACATTTGAAGGATTTTATAAACTCCACGGACAGACCAGACAGGCCCCTAAAAAGAGGACATGTGCGGGTAGGACACGGCGATTATATGGTCATGATAAATTTCTGTTCGATCACAGTGATCAGCTGTGAGTTTATTTACTCGATCAAACATGGCGGAAATGTGTGAGACAACAGCCAATCAGAGTCGAGCTTTTCCTGCTCACTTCTGTAACTTCCTGGAGACGTAAACAGAATGACTGAACACGAAGCTGAGGGCAGCAAAATAGACGTCAGCCGTGACTTTGAGTCATCCTCCGAAGATGTTATTGTTGAAAGGAAAAGTTACTGATTGTCGGTTGTGTTGCGTTGGTTCAGGTATCTTCAAAGTGACGCCGATGTGTAAGGTACGTCATCGGTCAGTGCCTTTAAAAATCGGCAACACAACAGATCTGTTTAATTATTTACAGAAGTTTTTTTCCAATTATGAAGAAAACACGAAAATGTGACACTGCTGACGGTACAAGTATCATCAGGAGTTTAGCCTCAACTAGCGGAGTAGCCACCAGACCAAAGCAATCAATCGTCTCATCTACGTTTACATCTGACATCTTAAGGCATCTTAATGTTTACATTTTAAGGCGTCTTCATTCTTCCTGAGGGGGAGATTTCTTTATTTTGGGTCTGTCATACCTGCAAAAACACTCTAAACACTGTAAACTAGTTCACTGTAATATTTAGTATTTATCTATATTTGTTGTTCTGTTGAATTAAAATGTTTATTTTATAGTTTTCTAAGTTTATCTCATTTAATTTACTTTAAATGTTAATAAAATGTTGAATTAATCTCTAGTTTCTTTAGTTTTTAGTTCAGATGCTTAAAAACAGGCAGTTAAAAAAAAACTGTGATAATAATCGAGATCGGACGATGTGACAAAATAAATCGTGATCTTTTTTTTTTGCCAAATCTCCCAGGCCTATGTCCGAGTACAGGAGGACGTGTGGTCACCCTCACTAAGACCAGACAGGCGGGGAGAGCAGCAGCAAAGCATCATGGTATGACGCTGGTGAGATCAGACAGCGTCAAACGTAGACGCTGGGATATAGAGAGAGGAGGCGGAGCTGTTGTGGTCGTTCTAGACCTGAACCAGATCGTACCAAAGACCACAATCGACAGATGGATCAGGATTTAGGTCTTTGGATCAGAACCAGCTCAAGTATCTGGTACCATGGACCCTGTTTATAATCACGCTGCCTTCACACCCAGTTTTGACCAATCCGTGCCCTCGGTATCAGGTCCAACCAAACGACCCCCCCACGATTAAATCAGGTCCTGCAGCAGGTTGCGTCCTGTGAAAGCGACGGGCCTCCGCTTGTGTTTGGCGAGGCGGTGGGCGGCCATTTATGAGCTGCTAACATGAGCGAAACAAGGTTTTAAAACAAAGTGGGTAACAGAGGATTTGTGTGGCGGCTCTCGAGGGTCCCGGTCTCCAACACTGGCCCAGATTGTGTTCGGCTCTGAATGGCGGAGTCATCACCCTCTAACTCCTCTGCTCATTATACGACCTCTCCACCTTCACTCAGCCGCGTTTGAGCGGCGCTGAAGGACCCAATGAGCACGAGGAAACACGCCACGGGTTTCATGAATGGGCATCGGCGTCCTCGATAAATAAACCTGACAGAGGAGAAAAAACACGGCGGGTGGACGCCGTGGTCCTCAAAGCGACAAGGGTCCAAATTGAATTTCCGTGGAAGTGATGTAATCCCCCGGCCCGGGTCAGACTGAGATGTTATTATCTTAATTTGGCGCTCATTAATCCCCTGGTGAAGCGGGCTGATGACAAGGTTTCCACCTTGTCCCAGCTGCACGGAGCTGCCCGCTGATTTAGGACGGCTCCCCGCCTCGGTATGTAAACCATTTGCAGCAGGAATGTATAAGCAAGCCGTAAAAATAGGATTTGGCCTGAGACATACAAGACAGATCGAGCCGTAAAAAACGCCCCCCATCTCTCCTGCGGCACGGCGGGGGCGGCCGACCGTGGTTGTTTTTGTTTCTCACAAGCAGAGGGAAGCCCCCAGGTCCAGACCTCGGACTCCTGCGACAGACAGGCTGTAGATTTGAGGAGTAAGGATGTGTGTTTGAAACTGAGAATGGATTACAGGCTCCGAAACGCCGTAATCCTCCCCGCAAATAAACGATATATAACATACGACTCTCACGAGGGGGTTTAGGGAGGACTCACTTAGCTCGAACGCACACAAACATGCACGCACATATCTCAGCGCTGCAGAAGAAGAAGAAGAAGAAGAAGAAGAAGACGACGACGGTGGAGCAGTAAATCAGAGGCAGGAGAAAAACACTACCTGCTACCTGAGAGGCTAAATCATGAGCGAGAGGGAAACGCTGCGCAGAAACCTTTGTGAAATATTGACAGCCTGATGGGAGGCAGCAGCACAGCTTACCGCTTTCACATCCATCAGCGGCCTGAAATCACAGTTAATCACGTGTAAACGCACACGAGAGCGGGATCACTCAGATCTACAGACGGAAACCAAAGACGAGTTTCTCCAAGTAGATTGTGTGATTGATCGTACGATACGATGAAAGAATCAGAGTTCTGATCGAACGTACCGCAGCGTGTCTGAGAGGAGAGCAGACGCCGTCCACAGATCACATGTCTGCTTTAGATCGTTTAAGAAACTCCGACTTAACTTTAATCCTAAACCAAACAGAGCAAAAGCAAACTTTGGACTTCTTCTACATTTATGGAGAAAAAGAAGAAAAAACTTCTTTGACTGAACGAAAAAGAGGAAAGAACCTGTAAGGACTCCTTTGTGCACATCGGCAGCTGCAGCCAGCAGGGGGCGCTGTCACAACAAACTGCATACATATGTCTGTTCGGTGGCCGTGAGCGAGTTAAGATGCATCAATCAATTCTGATAATTCTCCTCCTAAGAACACATGGACGTTTAAATCCTGTGTTCTCATTGGATGGTGCTGCTCATGTGACCAAACTGTAAATGTAACTGAGTTAAAGTCGAGGCCGTCATGAGTCAAGGTCAGAACATCTGCAGCGGCGGCGATTTTCACCGTAAGCCAATTCCTACCAGATCCGTTTGTGAGGCGAATTTTGTGGCGGATTACGGAGAGCAGGAATCACGAGAACTCACAAGAACCTGCGGATTCACGTGGAATCACATCATAAACAGTTGTCTCTATAAAGACAGACACATAGACATATAAGTAGTAGATTGTGTCCTTCCAGAGGAGGAAATCTACTTCTAGACTTCTAGAATCAGCATCTCCTCATCCATGGTGTCATCGGGGTGAAATGACGTCTTGCGATTATTCGAAACTGGAGAAGACGGCGTGTCGGTGCCGAGGTTTTCCTAAATATACCGGATTACAGAGGTGTCATTAAAACTTTTTTACTTCCGATACGATACCAATATTGTAGCCTTCAGTATCGGCTGATTCCGATATTGATCCGATATTTGCACAAGATTGTGCATGACAAGTTTTGCACTCAGCTGCAACGTCTTTTTTGGACTTTAACGAAAAATACTGTAATCTGAGATTTTATATGTAGGCCGATATAATCCGATATTTGTTTTTTTGCTGATATCGGACCGATATCTGATATCAATGTTGAATCGGGACACTCCTAATTAAAACTCTGCAAATCCCAGCAGGATGAAGTTTCTGTCCTCTGACTTTAGTGCAGAATTTATCAACAAATAAAAATAAACTGAAAATATTCTTGTTTTTTTAGTTATGGAGCAGGGTGGTACCGTCTTTTTATATTCTGATTTAATGTTCATGACCAGATCTTTATAATCAGAGCTGGAAAAAAAACAAAAGTTTAAAGTAAATAAAACTTTTCTGTTTTTCAAACTCGGTCTTTCTGAGTTTCTTGAAGTGACACATCACTTACAGAAAGGGTCAAACCTGACAAACAGACGAGGGCAAAGTTGAGTTTGGATTTCCAAGAGTACCAGGCACGTGTGTGTGTGAGGTTCAGAAATGTCAAGACATTCACCATTCTGTTGCATTCTGGGAGTTTGAAGTGTCAAACAATATTCGCAAACATCAATACACGTCTAAGAGATATCCCATATTTAGTAACAGCGATAAAAACAACAGTGGATCATTTTGGTGACGTGTTAAAGTGGATGGAGAGACGCAAACATGACAAAGAAAATAAAGGTCCAAAAAGTCCAGAGAGACAGAAGCGTTTGGACATAAATATAGATTTTCTAAACAATCACTTTAGAGACAGAAGACGCCCAGCACAACTTTTAGGATCCAAATCACTCTTTACTAAATAAAAACCAAATAAACTAGCTTATGTTGTGTAGTTGGCTGTAACCACCATGTCAGGATGGATGAAGGATGGATGAAGGATGGATGAAGGATGGATGAAGGATGGATGAAGTCCCTCGCCCCGTCACGCTCTAAGAAGGTCTGGACAGATTCAAGTGACAGATTCAGTTGGAAATTGAAGCGGAGCTACAGCAGACAGTCGTGATAATGTCAAACAATAAAATTACGTCTCACAGAAGTGGAGTTTGTGGGAAGACGTGCAGCTCAAAGTGCTGTTTCTGTTTGTTTTATCATCCTGATGTTTGTAGGATTCGGTCCTGAACAGGAAGATTTACGGCTGAACCAGATGACAGTTGAGGGCTGATGTTCCTGGACTTCTGGTCTTCACAAACACGCCGTGGAAAACAGAGAGTGGAGGTCAAGCTTATTCAAGTTTGTTAAGAAACGCTCGACAAGATTTAGGTGGAATAAATTTGTTAAATAAACCAGGAGGTCGTCTGCAAACAATGCAAGTGTCGGACTGAATATGGGCTTTTAAATATGTGTTGAAATCAAACTGATTATATGATTAAAAACTACGAGACGTATTATTCTTTCTGCCGTCATCACGCTCCATAACTCACCAAACTTCACACGTGTATCAGGTATCATAAAAAATTCAATATTTTAAAAGTTTTGTGCAAATTCAGCAAAATTCTGTTCCTCCAGTTTCTCCGTCACACGTCAAAATCACGCCAAGGCTCACTAAACAGTGTCCTACGCCTAATTTTCACTGCATCTGGAACAGCTCCAATCCAGAACGGCCATCCACCAATTCCTACCAGATCAGTTTGTGAGGTGAATTTCGAGGCGGATTGCGGACAGCAGGAATCGCTAAAACTCACATGAACCCGCGGATTCACATGCAACCGCGTGATAACAAGTTGTCTTTAGCCACAGAGGCTAACCTTATAAGCAGTAGATTGTGTCCTTCCAGAGGAGGAAATCTACTTCTAGACTTCTAGAATCAGCATCTCCTCATCCATAAGTGTTTTATTTTGAAAAGAAGCCGGATGTTTTATTTTGTGTCTGTGCCCGACTTCCTTTCCAGCACGGGTTAATCTGTGCTGAATTTATCCGCCATGCTCCGGCGTCCAGAAAAACTAGAACTCTTGTGATCAGCTGAGGAGTCCGGCGATCCGCAGAGGAACAGAAAGAAGTCGGTGTAAATTGACACGTTAACTTGAATGGTTACGATCAGCTACGATCGGAGGATACGACCTTTTAGGAGACGATCAGGATGTGGTGGAAATTGGGGGTTATTGTTACGATAAATTCCCAACAGTAGGTTTGCCATCAGTATCAAATACGTAAAATAACCATTTTGATAATTGCTGACTCGTCAATGACTAAAACAGACATTATTTTCAGCCCTGACAGACAGATCTTGGCCGTGCGTTTCCTGTTTTTCCAGGTCCATCAGGATAAATATCAAACTAATCTCCAAGTATATCTCGCCTGCTTCGTGATGCAGACCGAGGGCATGCAACCATCTCCTCCCTGCTCAAAGCATTCTGGGATACCTGGCAGGCGTCACTTTTGTGCCTCATTGTCTCTCATTATGACAAAATTCAGCAGCAGGAGAAAATTTCCGTGTAGTTTTAAGAAAATAAACCCTGTGGAGTGTGGCTTTTTATTCACAAGCGTTTTTGGGCGATTCGGTCGCTCGGCGCTGGAAATGCCCCGTCACCAAACCTTTTCCTTTCGGTCAGATCACCACATTGCGTGGGGATGGCGTGATCGTCGTGCTTTCAGCCTGACGGCCCCCTCTCTTATACCGAGAAACCAGCGTTTGTGTCCCGTGTGAACCTAAAAGTTAACATCGGTGCATTGTACGAACCAAACCAAGACGCCTCAGCGCCAACAGAGTATCTGGTTAGGTCGGTCGGGGTCGTGGTTAGAACACAGGGAAGTGAAGTCCTGGTCCATACATGACTTCAATTAAAATGGTCAAATTTGACGTCGGGTCTCCAACGAGACTCAGACCTGGTCTCCTTGATTTAAGTCTCGGGTTGTTTGATGCATCCATCACCCAGACCGCCACCCAAGCAGACTCCATGACTCAGTCGCCATGGAGTAAAAAAGAATAACGCTGGTTTGTGCAGAAGGATACGAAACAACATACGTCCATATATCCTGAACGTATATATGTGTAACTTAATCGTAAAAAACCGAACGCCCCTCACGTGTTAGTCATGGTCGCAGTGACGGCGGAGGCCCGCAGTTAACAAAAAGCCGCTCTGTTGTAATGAGCGACTCCCTCACTTCCCAGCATCCCTCATTATTTAGCCTCCGTTATTTAGACTGAGAATAACCGCCGCGGTAATTCGTTCAACTTGGTGGCGGGCTGCATAAGTGCTTCTCATGCAAATGAGCTAAAATGTGTACACCAAATTACAGCTTGTCACCCCGCATAAGGCAGCGGCCGGCGGGACGACTCGCAGGAGAGGTCGTCCAGATGAGGTAGCGCTGGCGAAAAAGGAACCAAATGAAAACGTCCACGAGGTCGAGAAGATTTCTTGCTCTCCCTTTGAGGCTGCTGTTTGATTGGATTACCGTACAAATGTGTTTCGCAGGGGATAAATCAAAATGCTTTTATCGCTGCTGGAAACTGGCGGACCAGAGACCGGGGTTCGAGGAGCTGGACTCGCCTCACAGAGAGATCTCAGCAACAAAGACGCACATTCGAAAGCCCGTTCTCATCCTTTATCACACACTGTTCCTGTTTTATTTTGTGGTGTACGGACGTGTACATGCAGTCTAATGCATGGCAGAGGTCATGTGTTAGAAGCCCTGCCATAAAAAAAAGCCCAAGGGGCAACGGGGGGGAAGAGAAGAAAGCCGTCAGTGGGGGAGGAGGGGGAGCGCGGAGGCAGAAGGGGCGTCTGTTTTTCCTCAGGAGCGAGGCCGCAGAGCGAAGTCGACATGGAAAAGCCGGAGAATGGGAAAATGGTGCCGAGAGCGAGAGAGCGGCGGGATCGAGCCAAAACCCTGCACTCAGTTTTACTAGACTGAGCTCCGTTAGGTCCACTCTGCTGCAGGATCGGGTTTTGTTTTGGTTCATCTAAGAGGTTTATATGATCTCAGATCTGTCCAAGACAGAGTCAAAATGAGGAAAATGAAGACGAAGATCCAAACTATGTCTTTTAATAATCTGCACAATAATGAACAATATCTCTAACACTAACAAACTTCTTACATTTCTGCAAAAAAACCTCAGGATAAAAAGAACAAGAGTCACTGAGAGACATCAGGATGTCAGATTTTCACCTCATGACTATTGTGGCTCAAAAAAATCCCATTTACCATATTTTTATGATATAAACAGAGAATATTGGGGGGAAAAAACATCACAGATGGTAAATTTTACTTATTAAGTAAACATACAAATAATAAATATTTTAAAAAGCTTTTAATGTGACATTTTGATGATTAACATGTTTAATCTTTTTCCGTTTTTCTACTATTAATACTTATTAATACTTTTTGTTTTTTCCATTTAATCATTAAGTTTGTTGTTTGCTTTATCTAATTATTGACCAACTGTGCTATAAATGCTTTTATTTTGAAAAAATTCTGTTCAAAATTTAGATAAAACAATTATTTTATTGTGAAAATATACTTTTAATTTGACTTTTTTATGCTTAATATTCAGGCTGCTTATGAACCCGTTTAAAATGACTGTTTTGCAGATAAACGCTTTTATTTTGACATTTTACTCTTAACCATTTTACTGTAACTTTTATGTTACTGATGACGTATATACTTTTCAGTCCTAATACAAATATTACTCTCTCTTTCAGAAATGAAGGTTATTGTGTATCTGAAATATTGAAGCAGCTCTCATGTACGTGGATGAAAACAGAAACACTCATGACTCGATAATTCGATCAGAGTTTTCACTCTGACAGCTAACCTGATGCCATTACCTCTTTTTTTTAACCAGGTCCGTTTCTTAGACAGTATTTGACCTGGTCTGATGTCAGCGCTGGCCCAGGGTCTGTCGGGGGAACCGGGGGGTCCACTGGCACCAGCAGGGCTTAGCCCAGATTGACCCTGAGCCTCTCATCTCTCTTTTCCCACAGGAGGACTGACCTGGGCAGCCACAAAGCACTCACGCTCAGATTTATGTCCCAGCAGCAGAATTACACCCTGAAATTCACCAGCGGTCTCTGTCAGAGATGTAATTTAAAGTAGGAATCATTATCTGTCAAGTATTTTTAAGGAGAAACCAAAGGCATCGTAACGGACTTTATGGAGTTAAAACATTCACCTTATAGATGTTTCTCTGAGTCGAACCTTCACATGCTCGTGGTTAAAGATCTGTTGGCCTGGATGTTAAAGTTTTATCAGAAGAGGAGAAGTCGTTCCTTTGCAAGTTTTAGAAAATAAATGATTGTTGGAAAACTTTGTGAGTATGATTACCATGAATCCACAAAGATATCTGTAATTATAGAAAGTGTGAAACAAACATGTCAAGTGAAGACGTGACTCTGAGAGTCTGACTCTTCATCACCAACCTCAGTGCTCTCATATCTGAAAAACAAACACATACGAGTCTTTTTTAAACGCCTCTGAAGTCCATCAGACATCATGAAAAACAAGTGCCGTGTAAATCAACTGTAAACCACCACAGCAGATTCTCTTCAGGTGAATAAAATGAAAACAAAGAAAAAAAACTTTGTAAACAAAGTTCCCTCTGATTGCTCTTTAAATGGAAAAGTGTAAAAAAGTACCCTCTGAATGTCCTCACAGTGTATTAAGTACAAAGTATTTTGTGAGCTTTAAGTGTAAAAAAAGTGCCCTCTGAGTACTAACTGTAAACAAAGTACCATCTGAATGTCCTTACAGTGGATTTAGTGTAAACAAAGTATTCTCTAAGTATCATTACAGTATATCAAGATTTGACCAAGTATTCTCTGAGTATTTAGTGTAAAAAAAAGTATTCTCAGAGAATCCTTACAGTAAATGAAGTGTAAACAAAGTATTCTGAGAGGATTAAATGTAAACAAAGTACCCTCTGAATGTCCTTACAGTGGATTAAGTGTAAAGAAAGACAGTGTAAACAAAGTACCCTCTGAGTATTAAGTATAAGTACCCTCTGAATGTCCTTCCAGTTTATATAAATGTAAAACAATTGGTCTTTTTTGTTTCTTTTTAGTGTATTGACTTCATGTCATCCTGTTGTGTTTCCAGTTGATAAAATGTAGACAAAGTACCAAACTTGAATTTCCTTCCTCATACATATGATAGACTGGTTGCTCTTCCTGTTGATAAAAAGTAAATGAAGTGGTTTACTTTCTTTTTCAAAATGTGGACAAAGTGTATCATCGTCATCATCGATCATTATATAGTATATCCTAAAATCTTTGATGGCATACTTCAGGTGCTTTTTTAAATTTCATCCTCGGTGCCCCTGAACCCTCTCCAGTGCAGTGAACTGTCTTTTTCCTTTTCATGGTGTTTCCCACTCTTAGTCAGTTCGGCACACTGTACTTGTCTTGGATTTTCTCCAAACCAACTTTTCAGAAACTAAAAATTTCCCTGAATGTGCTGATGCAACGCACATATTTTAGACTTTTGGCACAAACCCAGTTATAGCAGTGGAGACGTCACTGCAGCTGACTGTTTAATCCTGTTAACGGCTCCAGGTCGCTTTAAAGTCGCCCTAAAGGCTGGTAGTTTGTTACAACTGTACAGCTAAGAATACGTTTTGGCTCGCAGGTCTGGAAAAGGTGTGAAAATTGAAAGAGGGAAAGTCCAGCCTCGCCCCGCCATGGCATCCCGAGCTGATAGCGTAAAGGTCATTCCATCAGCTGACAACAGGATATGGTTATGATAAGCATCCAATCAGAGCTCATGCTGCCTTGATAAGCATCCAATCTGAGTGTGAGAGCTTGTCGCTGCATTCCAGGGGCTGATCTGACACTATCATGAGGGCTGATGTAGCCGGGACGAGAGCGGAGAGGCTATTTTAGGCTCTGTGAAGATAGGAGGGAGTTTCAACACAGCTGAGACACTCTGCGGCTGAGCTCACACACCGGGAAACGACACTTAGGGTCAAAAAATAGATACTGCAAGAGTTTTTACTCATCCAAAAAAAAAAAAACATTTTTACTTTATTTAAGAGTTTTTTTTTTTATCCATTCTACCAATAAAAGGTCCTTTGGTTTGCATGCTAGAGTCAGTTTGGACTAAATTTGAGGTTTAAAGTTTGAGCTTCTCTGAACTGAGTTTTGAAGAATTAATAAAAACCTTCAACACTTTAAAAGTTTTAATTTCTTCAGATGAGGGCTTGACACTAACTTTTTTCAGAAGGAGCACAAAGAACTTTAGCGGCACGATGAAAATTGATAAATAATGTTTGTCTTATTGTCCGACCTTAGTACTATTATTTGAAATCAGTTTTAGGTCTTTTGGTCACATGACAGTGAAGCCATTGAAGGAAAACAGCCTTTTCTGAGAACATCAACAGGTAATTTATTGACGGTCCCTTATTCAACACCAACGTTGACAGTGAGGGTGTCGAGTAGATTTAACCGCGCTGCTGTTGTTATTCCTGGTTATGGACAGTGAGAAGACACCGGTAGATCCTCAGAGAATGTCCGTCAGATATCCAACCTGAAACTAACTTCACCGCCGTATTTACAGGAAAATATATCCAACCTAAAACTAACTTCACCGCCGTATTTACAGGAAAATATATCCAACCTAAAACTAAATTCACCGCCGTATTTACAGGAAAATATATCCAACCTAAAACTAAATTCACCGCCGTATTTACAGGAAAGTATATCCAACCTGAAACTAACTTCACCGCTGTATTTACAGGAAAATATATCCAACCTAAAACTAACTTCACCGCCGTATTTATAGGACAATATATCCAACCTAAAACTAAATTCACCGCCGTATTTACAGGAAAATATATCCAACCTGAAACTAACTTCACCGCCGTATTTACAGGAAAATATATCCAACCTGAAACTAACTTCACCGCCGTATTTACAGGAAAATATATCCAACCTAAAACTAACTTCACCGCCGTATTTACAGGAAAATATATCCAACCTGAAACTAACTTCACCGCCGTATTTATAGGAAAATATATCCAACCTAAAACTAACTTCACCGCCGTATTTACAGGAGAATATATTCAGTCTAAAACTAACTTCACTGCAGTATTTACGAGAAAAAACACATTTGTTACCTCGGCTGATTTTTTTTTATGCGCACATGTGACCCTAAATATATTTTACACATCTATTTTTAGTAGCAAATGTGAGTGAAACGGTCGAACTGTCGAGTCCTGAGGTGAAGAGTTGCACATGCAGAAACAGACATGTAGTTGGGTTGACTGACAGGTGGGCGTATCATCGCGTGAAGTTTGAAAACAGACTTGTCTCTGGATTAACTCTTTGTGCCGAGGACGGTCTGTTTCTGACCGGTCTTCCACTCTTTATGTTTGAGCTCGTCATGAACAAAGAAAAGGAAAAAGCACAAACTGCAGCATCAAAGCGGGAAACTACGACTGAATTGGGTAACGTTAAAATCCCCCTTTTGTCGTATGACGGGTGGAAATTCAGACCACGAAAAAGATCAAACCCTGAAGGTTTGGGAACGTCCACAGACCTGTGGACAGACAGTGGAGAACCTCTCAGCAGATGAAATCACTTCCTCATCCTCCAGTCGTTACAGAGGATACCTTAAGTCGGCTCTCTCTGCATCGATCCTGTGAGCAGAACCAGGTGTGAGGGATCTTACAGTTGGGAACAGAACAAACAGATCCTCCATGTGATCATTGCAGCGCGTCGTAAAATACCCATAAGCCCATCTTAAAGTCTCTCCTCCTCCTCCTCCTCCTCCTTCTACCAGGTAACATCTGCCAGAGTCTGAGCACGTCTCCTCACAGCTCTGTGAATGAACACACTTTAGCCTGGGTGGCCTCGGCGGGGAAACGAAGCCCTCGCCCTGGTGTTTAACTTCTCTTCCTACCTTCGCCTCTCCCAAAGCTCCTTCCAGGTAGAGGACTAATGGGCGACTCCACATCTGTGGCCCATTCACCGTTTTAATGAGCAGGAGAGAGAGAGAGAGAGCCCACTATGAATGGACAAGCAGGGGTTTTAACTAGCTGCCTCCGCCATTAAGAGCCTGAAGGGCAATTATGTTAGCGAGCACAATGACCCCGACACCAACGCAGAGTGTTTATACACAACAGCCCTCACACACACACACACACACGTTTGTTTACTTATTTTTAGAAATGAACGATATGTTTCCTGACAATCATGATGGCGGCTTTAAAAGGTAAACACACGCGAGGACGCTAACCTTTGACCTTTTAAACAGTTCACTTCAACGGAAAAGTTAAATTCACCAGAACAACAACGAGCGCTGAGTTCAAGTTCACCTTTTCTTATTCTTTAATAAACTTTAACTGGACTGGATCTGACTGGGTTGGATTGGACTGAATTGAATTGGATTATATTGGATTGGACTAGACTGGTTGGTTTGAATAGGACTGGATTCATTTTGACTGGAATGGACTGACTGGATAGAGTTCTACGGGATTGGTCAAGACTGGATTAGTGGGATTGGGCTGGACTGGACTGGATTTGGAAACTGTCACGCTTTGGACTAGATTTAAATGGAACTGGATTAGATTTGACTGGATTGGACTGGAGTGGACTGAACTGGACTTAACTGGTGAGACTGGATCAGACTGGGTTGGGTTATACTGGACTGTATTAAATTACATTGGCTTGGACTAGACGGATTTGTTTGAAGGGGACTGGATTCATTTTGACTGGAATGGACTGACTGGATAGAGTTCTACAGGATTGGTCTAGACTGGATTGGTGGAATTGGACTGGACTGGAATCCAATGGTGTGTCCCAAATCACATACTTCCATACTAAATTCTTAAAATTTTGAGTGTACTCAACGCAAAATGGAAAAAAGTATGGATAGTATGTAAAAATTGAGAATGCAAAAGTACCCGGATGACATACTCAAATCGGACAAGATTTTGAGGATCCGACTGTGGACACTCGCCGCACTTTTATCCGTACGAATGGCTGCGGTGCCAGTGGGTCGGCGATGGTCGACCTGAGAGCTTTGTACAGATGTAAATAATAAGTTGCCTTTGACATGTTCTTTCCACCAAGCACCGCCAACGTTTATGGTTTTGAGTATATTTGTGGTGTAACCTGGGTAACCTGTTTGTCTTTTACCGCAAACGTTAACGCGAATGATAGTTAGCTCGTTAGCTAGTGGCGGTAATTAGCTGATGCAGAGATAGCCGGTGACAAATTGGCGTAGAAGAAGAAATTGCGTCGTAATTTCTGGTGAGTTGATTTAGAACGTGTGTTTTTTTTTGATAGGATTTGATTGGATTAGATTTGAATGGAACGGATTGAATTTAACTGGATCGGACTGGATTAGACTGGATGGTAAACTGACCATGAAAGAAGCTGCTGTGTGAAGTTTCTGTGGATAAACTCCTCACTGCTTTAGAGCTGATTCTATAATACGAGAATAAAGAAAACAGATTAAAGCTAACCCCACATCTTTACTGCTAATCCACAATCATAAAAACGTGTTTGTTTTTTATTTGGACAGGATGATTGTATGATTATTCCAACGTTTTGCAGTTCCTCCTCTTGATTTACACTCCTGAGAAACGGCTCTACAGAAGCAGCTGTGATTGAAATTTTCTGTTTTTATATTTATATTTAATTAAACCGACGTCCTTCAGGATGAACTGTTTTGGCGAGGCCAGAATAAGCGACGTGACACCACCAAGTTTGAGTTTTTAATATAATGAGTACGAACTCTCAGAGAGGATGTCGATGAGATGACGTCTCTCACATTATAACCCCTCTCGGCCTCTCGGCTCGCTGAAATCCTGGGCTCAGTGTTTTCAGCCTCTGTGGGTGTTAAAGTGCTTTTAGAGGAGCGGGTCCCTGAACCGTCTCCACCTCGGCGTTTCTCAGGGTCAAACCTTTACGTCCATGTTTTGACTGTCAGCCTCTCTAAACCCTCTGGGCTGTTCTGACACAGAGCAGCCTCCCTCTGTTAAACCTGCTGCTGTGAAATCATTAGAGCCAGCCTGCCGGTGGTCCAACAGGGCCCGGCTCTGCCTGTGTGTGTGTGTGTTACTGTGTGTGTTAGTGTGTGAGTGTGTGACGTGAGGAGCCACACGGACAAATGAAGCTCGTTTGAAAGTCTACACTTTTATAAATAAATCATCGTTTTTTGTTTTTTTTTAGTTAACGTTTTAATCACATGATCTTAAAGTGATCAGAAAATAATCATCAAAATCAATAATTCTGATAATAATCGGACAGGGGTGTCTCAGTGATGCTGTTAAAAATAAAACATTTAAAATAAGCAGTTTTTCACTTTAGAGAATTGAAACATACATAAATTTATTGGTGTGATAAAATAGATGAAACTTGAATTAAATGATTAAATTACTGATTGGTTTTAATCTATAATAAGTAAAATAATATATTAGTAGATGACCTTTACTGCAACAGTGAAAATAAGGAGCAACAAGCTGTGAGTAATGATTTCTACAATCTTATGATCTATCATATGTCACCTGCATATTTTTATTTATTATTCAGTGTTAAATCTGTTTTAAGAGCGTCCATATCGAGCTCCTGTACCAAGAAAAAGTTTATACATGTTATTATCTATTATTCTGTGTTTTGAACATTGTCTTGCAAATTTAACTTGAATGCTAAATGTCAAATGTAATAATAATAATAATAGATTTTATTTTTAACGCACTTTCCATTTGAAAACAAATCTCAAAGTCAAAGTACAGGCAACAATAACAAAAAAAGCAGCAATAACAGTAAAATCAAGCAGCAGAACAAAACAATAAAAACAGTCAGCAGATAAAATCAGATCAAATCAGATAAAATCGGTCTGGATAAACTTTCAGAAAAAGGAATGTCATCGTGAATACTGCTTTAATATCTCATGGAGTTATTTTAGTGCCGTGCATGAAGAATATCCTGAACTTTCTTTATTAGAAATCATTTTCTGCCGTTTTACACCTCTTATAAATAATTCATGATTTTGTTTGTATTTTAAGGTCATTAGTTTTAATGTCAGTGTGTTTTATAACCTCATTAGGTTTCTATGTTTAATGTTGTTTAAGGCTTATTGAATTGATTCTTTGAAATATGTTTTAAAGGATTGTTGAAGTTTGTTTGTCCCGATACTGTTTTTTCTTTCACCGATAAAATTCTCCTTTACAAGAAAACTCAAACTGTAACCCTCCAATAATGTAACCAACACGGACTCTGAGGTTTTGGACTGTTTGAGGAAATACTAACATAAAAAAATCAGAGTTGGTGAATTTACTGAGTTATCTAGAGCCTCTGAAACAACAAATCATAATGTTTTAATAACTAAGCTTCGATGTGTCACCGGGAATAAGCTAAACTGGTTGAAAAGCGACTTTTTAACAGGAAGCAGGTTTATTTATAACCAGTTACAGTGTGGTGTACCACAGGGCTCCATACCAGGCTCATGTTTGTTTCAACGACTTTAATTCATATCAAAAAGGCTCTTTTATATTTTATATGCACGTGATCGTTTCACTTAATTACAGGTAAAGTTGAATATGACTTAATAGTTTGTGTGAATCGTGTTTTACATGTATGGACACCTGGTTCTTTAGTGCAATGAAAGAGTCCTCATGTGATCTTTAAGCTCCAATATTGATCTCTATCACATCAGATCCAACAAACTGGAACAGCTGGTGAACGGCTTGAAAATACAGAAGCTCCTATTACTAAGACTACGTTTACACGTGACCGGATATTTTCATAAACGGACATTTCACTCTGCCTGCACACCACTACGTTTTCAGAAAAGTTTTAGTTTATACTAACTCGTGTTTATATGCCGTTAAGACCATGCCAAACCTGTAGGTGGCAGTGTAACGAGAAGCTCAAGCCAACGTTAGCCAATCAGAATCCTGCATAGCAACAACAACAACAACGTCACTTCCTTCTTTCCGGCGCACAATCTGCCGTCGTTTGCAAACAGAGTTTTCCAAAATCTCCACTCTGGCCAGAGTTTTTAAAAACCATCGTTTTCAGGGTCGAATTCTCCGTTTGCATATGATGGCTCATGTCTTCGTACGTGTAAACAGGGCCGAAACTACCTGTGCACTCTGGATTTAAACGTCTATATCCGTCTTGTTTTAAAATAAGTTAAAGCACAAAAACATAAATCTGATTAAAATAAACTATCAAAGCTGTAAACTTAAATTAGTCGCAGATCTCATTTAAATGCTGCTGCAGCCTCGATGTTTTCACAAAGAGTCTACGTTAACATTTACATCCACAAATCTACAAATTAAACGACTGTCTCGATTAATTTTATAATTCTAAATGGATCACAACAAACATACTAATTTACCTCAGGTGATTCCTGACTTACTCAGTAGAAAGAAACATCATTTTAAATTCTCATTAGTATGTTGAAGTATCGGTTTTATTCAAAAGTGCAAAAGGTCGTGCAAAATTCGAGCTTTTATTTTGAAAATTTGAAGTTTAGGGGGTGCAGCTGCAGGGCACCAGGTGAGATGAGAGGCTATGAGGACTGCAGCATGTCGAGTCCATGCTGGCGCCTGAATCCTGCTGTCTCTTACATGTCAGATATAACAGGATGATGTCTGCAGCAGAGAAATCCTGGTTGAAATAATTTTATTACAGTCGGTTTATAACCAGATTAAACATCATCAGAGAAATTTAAAGGCAGAAATCAGAAAAAAACTTTAATTTTCTGGTCCTAGTTGTTGAATTTGGACATTTGCATCTTTTCTTCTCCTGAAACTGAATCAGTCAGTTTGAGAAAAGAAGCTGTCATGGTTGTTGCACTGATGCCTCCTCAGAAACTTTTCGGTTCCTGCTCCTAAAACCTCCAAACCTTGTCTGTCCTCAGAGCTCCAGAACAAACTCCAAACATCAGATCTGCTCGCTCACAGCCGGGTTATATAAGTGACATTAAATTAAAGAGCGCCTGATGATTAGAGTCAAACTTGGTGTCCAAATGACTGCAGAGATAAACAGAAGAAGCTAAAAGGTTGTTAAAGAAAGTGTCTGAGTTTATGTCCGTTTACGTCCCTTCAGCCCGTCTCCGTCACCTCTGCGCTCCACATTCCAGCCGTCCCGCTCTTATCTTTATGGGCTGAGGACGGCAGGATGGCTGCAGCTGGAGGACGGTCTGGGACACAGATGACCACAGAGAGAGGACCGCACCGTAAAGTTATATAAGAGAAGAAGGAGAAGAAGGAGAAGGAGAAGAAAGCGGTCCTGTGATGTGGTGGAGGACTCAGATAGGGAGACGGACTAGAAAGTGAGAGATAAGTGAGGGAGAAAGCTGCGCTGGAGTGTCTGCAGTAAAACTAAATGGTCTGGTAAAGCTCTCAAATGACAAACATAAACTGTCCTCCACAAGAGTCCACTCAGAGCCAGACGTTTATCACGTTTGACTAAACTCGATTTGAGGGAGAAGATTCATCCTGAAAAAAAAAAACAAACAAGATGATAAAAGAGAGAGAAGCTCTGCAGCGACAACGGACGAGCGATCTGTGGAGAATTTCACAAACTTCAGATTTGTCCGTCAAAAAATCCTGTTAAAAATGTATCATATTGAATATTTATGTTTGTTAGTCTTAATTTAAAGCTCCTGTGAGGAACGCTTGTTCTTGTTAGTTCTCGTGATTCCTGCTGTCCATAATCCGCCAAGAAATTCGCCTCACAAATGGATCAGGTGGGAATTGGCGAACGGCGAAAAAAGCTGCCGTTCCAGACGCTGTGAAAATTCAGGGTTAGCCAAAACAGCTGATCTTCACACCCCAGCTACTAAAAGGC